TTTACTTTTGTGTGTTAAAAACTTCGTTTTAAACTTAATATAGACTGTTCAGGGTATAAAAACACCGCCATTTTATCAATTTTTGATAAATTTTTCGACCGTACGTCATTGTGCGGACAATATGTTCTAGTGAAATTTGTTTTTGTAGTTTTCGCACACAGAGAAGGCCTGTATCCCTGTAGCAGTGGAAGACTAATGTTTTAAAATCCGTGAGAGATCGCGTGTAACTTGAAAACATTTAAAATATGTTCTTAAAACATTTATAAATATACCTTTGAAATTGATATAGTAGTTATTCTTTTAATTTCGAAAAATCGGCTTTTTTAGACTGTCTCACTACGTGTGCCCTTTAAAACTGAATTATTATTATTTGTTTTCTTAATAAGTAGTAAATTTTTATAGCTCATTCTCATGCAAGACATTTGGCATAGGTTTTTTATAAGTAATAAATATTATAATACCCTTTACTGCAATTCTTTACATTTAGCAAGTGTTAGCAACCTTCAAAATTCAAAATATCAAAGATTTACGCCAAGGACTCAATAACTGACCAAGAAAATATATTTTTATAAAATATTCAAAAACATTGTATAAATATATGGTGGCACTAGAGATGCCTATATTTGAAAATGATTTCAATAATTCGAGGTAATTGGTTCTACAGCTTTGCTCTGCTCGAGCGCCAGTTTCAAGGCAGCCCGAAACGTAGAGACTGTAAGAACATCTGTTCTTAAACAACCTACGCTCTATTAGAATTATTTCAACTGTTAAATATAGGAAAAAATCTTTAAACGACTTATTAAGAATTGTTTACTATATTGTAATGTAATTGTAGTGTATTGTCCGGATAACAAAAATCAATTAAACGGTTTTAAAATAAAGGGTATTGGGGGACTTTATCCGTGGGTAATATTTCTGATCCATTAAATTCAAATATTATGTAATATTACAGTTGGACTTAGGAAAGTTGTATAGTTCCATGATACGGAATCTTTAATTTCTCGCACTCTCTCTCTTGCTTCTCAGCTATGATGACTCATTAGTCGTACTTCTTTAAATTTACGGGGAAAAATTTGTTGTAAAACAAGGAAAACATTAACTTCGGCTGCACCGAAGTTATAATACCCTACACATCTGTATTTCCTATAGCACAAAAATGTATAAAACGATCTTAGTCGTGATTTTAGTCGGTCAATTTGTATAATAGCTTTAACATATGCTATAGTGGGCCGAACTGAACAACCTTTTTAGGGATTATAACGCTGCTTTGGGTTATAATTCCTGCTAAATTTCGTAAAGTATCTTGTCCAATGAAAAGTTTTTCAAACGTGGACTTGGTTTTGATCGATCAGTTTTTATGGCAGCTATATTCTATAGTGGTACAATATCGACGTTTCCGACAAATGAACTACTTCTTGAGGAAAAGAGGACGTGGACTAAATCGATATCTCAAATTAGTCAGTTCGTTGATCATTTATACATATACTCGTGTATACTTTATAGGATCTCCGACGTTTCCATTAGGTTGTTAAAAACTTCATGGCTAAGTTAATATAGCCTGTTTAGGTACAAAAATAATGGGCAATAATTGGTGAACTCGTGGTGCAGTTTTATTATTAATAGCACACTTATTCCTTTGGAGATGTGCTAGAAGTTGAACTTTTAAAATTTACATAAAATATAAAATCTTTCAAAAGTAAAAACTGGTTTGATCTACCTTTTATAAGAGTATGTTCTATAAAACAATACGACAAGACCTTATATACATATGTATATACATATATACATATATACTTATGTATGTACAAACATACATATGCCAAGCGCTAGTTTTTTTAACGCAATACAATCCGCTCAAACAGGATTAAAATGTACAAAGGAGCTTAAGAAGAGATCACGACTAAATAAATATTGAGTTTTAAGCTCCAACAAACAGAAATCATGAAAAATGCTATATATACATACTTATGTATGTAAACTTGCAAATATGCATTCATATAAATATATATAGACGCAATACTAATAAAAATACACAGGAGTATGTAGCATATGTACATATGTATGTGTGTGTATAATTGTAAAATTGAAGTGCATCAATTGTCGATGTCGCTGCCAGTTAACTGAGGTGAATTGAAACATTGTCACACAATAAGCTGAAATAAAGAGAGCAAAATGAAATCAGCACCATTAGACCGTGTAAAGTCAAACCATCAAAGCTTTTCCCTACAAAACGTCAGCGTTTAGACGGCAGCATACGAACATTTGGAAAGGAAAAGCGTAATTTCTGCACTTTTATGCGTTCGCTTTATGTTTTTTGTTTTCTTATTTTTTTCTTGTTTTTATTTGCTGAATGTCATAACGTACGACTGTATGGCATTGAGGTGATGGCAAAGCCTTCAAGAATTCGCCAGAGCAACAATGCCGCGCTCTCGACTCTCATACTTCATTCTAGGCATTAGCACTAATACAGTTGCACATACAAGTATGCAATTGTGCACATGAAAATCGGCTTGCTCACTGCTTGTGCACTTGACGCGCATTCGGTATTTTAATTTTATACTTGAACATTGCACAGTGATGTGTTGGGGAGGATTTCGTACACAAAATTGAAACAATTATCCTTTGTGTACGAATTTTTATCGACAATGGTTATTTATTATTTTTCAAATATAATACATACATATTGGACAAGGTTCGATCATTTTTGAAAGCAAAATAAAATTATTTACGGCCGATGTGAGGTCGGGAGGTGCAAGGGGATGCGGTGGTGGTTTTACGGTTCATCTCAATTTTTGAGCAAAACTACGAGTCTCATGAAATAAAGCTACATAACAAAGTGGCAAGTAATAACAAGATCTACAACTTTTGTGTCAATACTTTTTGACATAACTTCAAAATATATGTGAAAATTTTAAATAATCGAGCTTTTGGTTTTTTTATTTTTATCTTTTACAACAAGTTTTCTTTCTCGAACTTTGATGTAAACTAAACGTTTTATGTCGCAAATATACTTTAACTTTTATTATTTAAAATATCATTTTCCCTATTTTACGTAGCATCGGAAAACATAATTTTCAATAGAAAATTCTCATTTTTGGCTGAGTTCAATCAGTAGGCTTTTCTTTTTTGAAAATACAAAAAAGACCCCACTAAACGATTCGAAGCCGCTCTTTTCCTTTCATCCACCTGTCAGCAGCTGTAAAAAAAAGCTTTGAATCATTTAGTGGGATATTATATTTCGTGAGCCGATCAAAAAATTTTAGCATCTCTACATCACTGTGAGCACTTTCCATTCATTCCGAGGTTTATGGTCATAATGAAAATAAAAATATGAATGAAAATATTATTTAAAAGCTATAAAACCTTTCAACCGTGATCGATTTTATAATTTTGACCAGATATATTTTAGAATAATAAGCATCGGACTCATATCGCTAAACAAAAAACAAAAAAACAGTCCTGCATCATTTGTTCAGCGGCCATGAATATAAAGCGTGAAACATTAAATTCGAACTACTGCCATATTTTAGCTTCCACATGAAACTCTCTAGGATTTAAATAGCAAAATTCACCATTAAGATTCGTGTAACATGAATTTGTCATTTAGATTTACTACTTATATATAATAATATTTTAAGACTTTCTGCTACAATTTCTCCTGATATGATGCGAATTTGGAAGTCGAAAAAATGATGGATTCTTAATATTTTAAATCGTTTGCGAATGTGAGATAGCTGTTTCTGATTTTCCTATGTTAGCAAAACATTTGTAGACGAACCATGAGCCATCGAGTTGTAGCCAGACACGCAAAGCACTGTACTCTCCAAAATCTTATTCCATTGTAGTACTAATGGTAATACCAGCTTTTTCTCTTTTCTTACTCTAATGATTACCGTCTATATTGAAGCTACCTTCTGCACAATTTTTCACTACATGAGCCTACTGTGCAATAATGCATATATTATATTATAGATGTACATATGTATGTTCGGATGTTTGGCTTCATTTCGTTCTGTTGGCAAATGCTACCGCTGTGTCGTGTCTGCGGCTGCGATTGCCGTGCCAAGGCAAGGTGTTTGCATGCCTTAAAGTCGCTAAAAGTGTCTGTGTGTTGTGCTTTTTTTCATTTCGTTCTTCTTTTTGTATTTCGCTACTTACATACATACGTACTTACTCGCAAGTCAAACAAATATAGCAGACGAACAAGTGACCACCCCACCGCACAGCGACCCTAACCATCACACACTCAAAGGCTATTGCTTGGCATATGGTGCATGTGGTTGTTGTTGTTTGTAGGCTCTAGCCATAGCCTAGCGCATCTTGTGCACTTGCCTACGTCTGTGAGCGCCCATGTATTGGTGTATTTTTGTGCTTTACGAGCGATACGAACCGCATATTGACTTCCCGACTGACTGCCACTATACAAACATATGTATGTACATATATAGGTGTGTGTATTTGTAAGCCTATGAGCACTACTACTGTCGACCACTGCTGGTGGTTGCTAGTTGTCTCGTTGGAGTGGCTGAATTTTAATACCCATTACTTGTACGCGTCCTATACCATATACACCCGCTATATCGTGTGCTATGCCACAACCATGCCACTATGGCACTGTTTTGGTCGTAGCTATTCATTTACCACATCGACACTGCCATAGCAGCTAGTAGCTGTGCTGGCTGCCATGTCTGTTATAGCATATGCCACTGCCAGCTTATTGTCTGCTTGCGTATGTGTGTGTTGTTGCCTAGCACTGTGCAATGTTATTGTTGTTCTCTACTTATCGCTTACATTTGTATGCTCGCCATCTAGTGGCGTTTGCCATGTGGCTTAATATAACCAGCGTCGTCATTAGTATGTGTACACATACACACTTATATACGTATACACACATATACAACCGTGCTAACGCCTCTGTACCCACCGCTTTCGTTGCTGTTATTACGTATTAGCATTTCCATGTATTTGTTGGCCGTTGTTGATTTTTCTCATACGAATACGCGGTACGGTTTTTATTTCATATGGCTAAACAACACACAGAACCAACACCAGTGCCACTAGTCGCTTCGCGTTACTCAGCAGTTAAGCATTACAGCAAAGTCGAAACGCGCTAAAGCACAGCGCACGAGAATAATAGTAGAACCGACAACCCTGCCGCCGAAGCAACTGAGAATAACAATACAACAACAAATAACAATAGCAAGAACACACAAAAAAGAGTAAATAAAGTTGATAAAAAGAAGAAACAACAGCACACAACAACAATAGCAAGCACAAATATGGGCCTAGCATAAACAAAACCAGGTGTTGGGAAGTGTCGGTGTACCTGTGTGCTACGTATGCATGCGTGTGTGTGTGTGTGTGTGTACTAAGCGAAATAAGGAGAGACCAACGCCTTCGTCACCACAGCGCTCGGCTCCACGGCACTCATCGACAACACAACGAAAACGCGACTTAACGACGAAGTCCACTCAAGGTAAGCCGAACACGAGCACCAGCACCTTTTTGGTACATGGAGTATTGGTAGTATCCGTTTGTCAAGTGGAGCTGCGCATCCAGTAAAAAGCTGGCGATCGAATTGTATATTATAACGTTAGAGTAAAGTATCACCTGATCTACGCGCACACATATATACGCTTATGAACACATAAATGAAAATATAAACACATGCAAAAAGATTACGTGTACGATCTACTAGTTGGTAGTTGTTGTGGGAGTTTGCGTAAAAACAAAAACAATAATTACGAAATGAGCAAAGCTGTGTGAAAGCCAATTGAATATGCTGTGCTCTACGAAAGCTAGTGGTTAATCACCGTTGAAGCTGCAGCTGCTGCACTGCACCTGTATGGGCACATACATGCATATATAAGTATATATGTATATTTTATGTGTGTGTGTGGAGAGCGCATTCGTTACCAATTGAAGCAAATAGCCAACAACAACAAACGTTTTTTTTTTGTTTTTTTTTTATTGAACGCCAGCAAAAACAAAACAAGTGTGCATACAACTAGCACTTAATATTGCTAACTGTGTAGTCTTGTCAATGCCTTCGCTTCGTACACACATTTGATTTGACAAAAAGTGCATGTAAAGAGCACACAAAAACAAGTGGGGTGCAAAATTGCGAACGAGAAAGCGAGCAGTGAATGGGAAAGTAGAATTGGAGATAAATAAACGCAATTGCGCGCATGCAAAATATATCACATACAAACATACATGCACATGCACATGCATATATGTACGAGTATATTGTATATACATATGTATGTACTGAGTTGTCATTAAAAGAACAGTTGCTTGATTTGTGTGCAGAATTTGGAGAATTTTTAAGTGGAAAAAACGAAATTGCAGTGTTTTTGCAGAAAATTTTATTGAACATTTTTAAAGTTGAAATAAACAAATAAAAAATAGAAACATGAAAGTAATAAAGAAAAATTAAGTTACATAATAAGTAGGAAAAAATAATAAAGAAAAATATTTTAAAAAATTTAAAAGTCTTGAAAATATAATAAAAATAAATACTCTCCATTAAAATAAAAAAATTAAAACTAATAAAACTTAAAAATAAAATTCAAAAATTAATTCAAAAATTAAAACAAAAATTAAAATAAAAAATATTAAAAAATTCTCAACTGCATTGCTTTAAGCTAAAAAATATAAATATTAAAATTTAAAAAAAACATATAAAAACTCTCAACTGTATTGTTCTATGCTAAAAGTGGCATTCTAACCTATGCATATAAAACTTGCATAAACGCATAGCGCCTGCATACATTAATGCATGCATATAAGCAGCTAAAAACCGCCAACTAGCGTTTACAACAAAAAATATACAGTATAAACCACTGCCTTTACAAGAACAACTACAACTACACATACTTGCAAGGCATAACGCATATAACAGCGCCACAATGACCGCTAAACCGCCAAAACGTGCCAATAAAGGGGTAAGTTTTCTATTTTTACCACGCATTAAAGTATTAGCCACATTTTACGCATTTTCTTAACAACCCTGCGCAAATACATACATACATATGTACATACACTTAGTTAGCCACACACTACAGAATGGCTTGTGAGCAGTTTGCTACTGCCCAACACGCGCCTCCAATTCAGCCCTCCAAAAGTGGTCAACGCTTTCGAGCAAACGCGCGCCCATACAAGTACATACAAACACACACAGCAATGCTTTAGCTTATCGCCCCGTCGAAAGCATGTCGGTTAGTACTACGAAGATGGTCTACATTTTCAATACCCAAACAATTTTGCGACATGTATAGACTATAAGCGTTCTATAAGCTCTAACAATAGTTCTATAAGCGCACAGCGTCTCTCTATGACTTATTTGTACAACAGACAAACGACACCAAGTGTATGTGTGCCGTATTGCGTTGGTGTGTGTGCGCTCGCGTGCACCTTTTGCTACAGTCGTATTTATTTTAACCACGTCAAATAACGCATTGAGGGTTATTTTTGTATTTTATAGAACAGCCAGAACAGCCAGTAGGGCCAACAACAATGACAGTTACACAACAATACAGTCAAAGTGGAAAATAGCGCACAAACATCAGCAAGTATGCAAGTATACATTTGTGTATGAATATGTGTTCATATGTAAATATGTACGTACATATATTTGAGCCAAACAGACTCGTTGCCATTGCGACTGCCAAGTTTTAGTTTATGTCACCACTTGTGGCAATAACAGAATCGTGCATACGAACAATGACACATAATCGCGCATACATATCTAATTGTACACGTACACATACATATACATATGCATATGTAAGTATGCATGCACACGCAATTGCATACCTCTTATAGGCATAGTGCTTATGGGCTGGCCTTTATGCCTTCGGCTGTTGGAAATGAGCAGTAAGTGAATGCTTTTATAGAAGCATTTGATTGTCTGCGCCACAATGATCCTCTAAACGAATGTTGCTCAAAAAGCCATAAAATTCGTGTTGAAAGATTGTAAGCTTTTTTGGAATTTTTACCGGCAATAAAGAAAATATTGTTATTATTGTTGTAGCTGCAGAAAAAATTCCTAAAATAATTTCTAGAGATACTGCCGAGATCACACTTCTTGGCATTCGCGTACGTTTTGGTAACGTAGACCCAACAGTTGTGATAACAAAGGAAATATGAAAATATTTTGTTGAGGAACGCGCCGGGGGGTAGTATTTTGCGAAGTTTTTTTGTATATTTTACAAATATATTGACCACAAATTATATAAAATATAGTTATTTGAATACTAATTTAGATATTTGGTAGTTTTTCAATCTTGACATTTCTTCGAAATATGTTACCATGAAATATGGAAAAAGAAAATAGTGTCAGAGGAGTTAATCTGAAGAATATTTCGGACGAGTTACAAAAGATCTAGCTCTACTAGATCTAGATCTACGTAGCTGAAGACCGCACATTCATCAAACACATTATTACTACTGAAGAGATGTGGGTTTATGAATATGACGTCAAAACTATCCAGCAATCTAGCTAATCGCGCTCTAAAAATGAGCCGAAACCGAAAAAAACAAAATTCACTGAAGGTCATCACAGACTTACAACAAGTTTATGGAAAATTCAATTAAGTGTTGGCATACTTGTTTTGGCGCAGGAGCCTAGTTTGAAAGTGTACAATGATTTGTATCAGAATCCATGAAACTTAATCTTTAATTTTTGCCAGTCTGGGCCAATTTTAATCATATGTATAGTAGCTTTTTCTCAAAAACAATCGTTTCGCTTTAAAGATATATATTTCTTTTTGTCAAAAAACTCGGAATAATATTGTCAGTTTTTACTTAAATTGTCGTTTATAGACCAAAGTATCGAGGTATAAATTAGGATTTAAAAAGTAAAAATACTTTTAAGTGCATAATCGAGAGGTCCAATAGAAGCACTTATATCCCTCGATCACTAATATAATATGTATTAAAAAAATTTGGTGAAACGATAATTAAATAACAAACAAAGGTAACATCATGGTTCAAAACAAAAAACACGCTGAATCGGTCTATTGAAAGCACGCGTAGCAACTAATTCGTACAAAGTTTTCGTAGACCCAAATACTCATGTGCGATCTGTCCAACATATCGCTTTTACTTGTATATCTTCAAAGTGGCTGGTATCAAACTCATTTTACGGTCATCCAAAATGATTTTTTGATCATTTCCTCTGTAACTCCATCCTTCCAATGTCCTTAGGGTCGTCGTCTTTGCTACTCTATTACCTATTTGGAATTAGCAAATCTCTCGCCAATGTTAACTATGTTTTGTAAATATAATAATATATATATATAATATATACTACATATATCTCACGAACACTCTGTTCGATTGCCATTGATTTTCACTGTTCACATATTCTTGGAAGGTTAGATCTCACTAAAAAAGATATTCAATTCTGCTGATACGAACTTGTTATAGATTACAGAAGGCGAATAACCATATTGAAATATTTATTATATTTTATTTAAAAAGCTTCTGGAAAATTCGTTCAATAGTCACTTATAGGGTCTTGGCATATTACTAGCTAAATACAGAGAAATTTTAACTCCTTTCTCTATACCATGATCTCACATCACAGACTCTCAGTAATTATACTTCAACAACTAAAATCAAAAAAAAAATTATTTTTCTTGCGCTTTTCTAAGATCTTAACTTGTAAATAGAAACTGAAGGAATAGAAAATTCCATTATAAATGTCTATAAAATATTTATAAAACCCTAAATATTTAAATCTCTTTCATATTTTCATCAACTTTCAGATCAAACGACGTAACGAGCGAAACATACTCACATTCTATGAGAAGATCGCCGTCATACACTACTACGATGAGACGAGTGTTTCACGAAATCGCTTGGCTAAACTATTTCACTGTTGTGCCACACAAATTCGACGTATACTCGAACACAAAAATGAATTGCTACAACAATTGGCCACACTCAGCGAGTCCGATGCGACCAATTTCATTGAAGAGATGACACGGAAACGGCGCAAATTCGAAATGAGCGCCATTAGTTTCATACTTCACCAATGGGTGGAGCGTTGTCGTGAGTTGCGTTTGCGCAAAATCATAACAAATCAGACGCTCAAGGACACGGCACTCAAAATGGCCGCCATACTGAATTTACCAAGCTTTCGGCCTTCGTATCGTTGGCTGGATCGTTTCCGCAGCAAATACAGATACACAGCCGAAGATCTGGGCACAGCGGGTGCGCATGCCGTTGATGGTGAATTGGCGGTTGAGGATATTATTATTGAGTATAAGGATGCCTTACCGAATTTCATGCAAACCGAAATATCAGAAATAACCTCACTAGATAAAGCATTGCATACGGAGGTGGAAAAGAAAAAGACGCTGCTACAAAGTACAAGCAATGAGAATAGCGTAGATTATATAGTTAGTGATGAGGAAGATGAGGTGGAAGAGGTGCATGATGATGCCGCTCAAATGGACGATGACATAGCTTTAGTGGTGAGTGATTCCAAAGACTCTAGTGGCTGCTCATCCAACACCAATACGAGTACAACAAACAATAACCAGCCGGATGAACTTAATGGTGAACAAATAAAAATGAATGCCGGCACCACAGCTGTACTGGGCAGCATATTCCCACATCTCGCTGTCATACATCAGTTTGCGCTACTCAATGCCGATGTCAAGGCGCTGGAGTTGATCTCGCAGCTGGGTGTGCATATGCAGAAGCAAGCCGTCGACGGCGCATACAAACAACTGACGCTGGCGTCAACAAACGAGGAGTGTGTCGCAGACAATATGCAGTCGGATGTGGGCGGTTTGTATGCCGCTGATCTTGACGATATTGTACTGATTGAATGAGTAGCTTATTATCTATATGCGTACATGTGTAATACATATATATTATATGTATGTATGTAGTTTTCTAGTATTTCATTTTTAGATGCTCTAGAGCTCAAACTCCACACATTGGCCTTTAAATATTTAAAAAATACACCGCCTTAACATAAAACTATAGTCATAACTTTGAAGTCACATAAGCTAATAAATAAGTCCATATATTTGGTGAATACACATATATTCTTAGATTTAATATTTACATTTAGTGTACCTAGAATTAAAAATACAAGAGTTTCAGTTCATAAATGAAAGCTTTGAAGCATTAAATATTATTCATAGAAATGAAGTTTATGAAGTTTATGTATTTACACTGTAAAAATAATTAGAGGATGCGCGAATACGAACTACTGATTCCGTTTTGAAAGGACTAGCATTTCTTTGCAACTATACTTAACTCTTAGCATACAATTTTTATTTTCACATAAGTTTTTAGAAAAACTTTCGCTTTTCAAAAAGGTAGAGCTGCCCCTTTAAATGATAATATATGGCCTAATACCATAATGGAAAGGGTTTGAGTTCCATTATAATAATTTCCAATACAGAAACACGTCCAGAGACTTAACGAGCTTAAGGGGTTATATACAGTTAAGAACCGAAAAAAAGTGAATTTTCCAAAAGTTTTTCTGACAAATCTATCAAATTTATTGTTCCAAAAATGTATACACATATTATGGTATCTTTTAACTATATTTTAAGACTTAAAACAACAAAAGCTACAGATCACCGGCAGCTCCTTTCAAAAAATACGTTTTGTGGTGACCACTATATCTCTGAACTGGATCATCTGACTAAAAAACCAAACAGACTTCGTTAAAGTAATGTTAAATTTAGTAATTTATCGAAGGAGTAAGCATAATACAAATTTTTTGAAAAATGGCGGTTTCTCAAAAAAAAAATCGATTTTTCACCGAAATTTCGATTTTAAATTGTTTATAAAAACAAAAATGTTTATCGGAAAGAAAAAATCTTCGATTAACTACTAAAAAATATTATTAAGAAAAATATTATTTGAGACAAATCGGTTTAGCCGTTTTCGCGTAATGTTGGTCGTCGACTTTGAAAACTCCATTCTGAGGAAAACGCGCTGGCGCTTCGGCCTTGTACTTTTCAAATTTGCACGTAACTTCGAAAATATTCACCGGAACGATATGAAATAGTCTTTGTGTATTTTTTTGAAACGTATGTAACCCCTTAACGAAAGACGACAGCATCTCGGAAAATATTTTTTTTTCATTTTAGTCGAGAATTTACTTATTTCAAAATTAATTGATCATAATGCGGCGATTTACATGGAAAAGAAAACATTAATGTTTTCAGTGATGAAAAATCATTCACAGGTGAGTAAAATAAAAATATAGAAATTATTTAAACTCCTTCGGTCCTCTTTGAATGACCAAGTACATGATTTTCAAATAGAAGATGGGAAAGTCTTAAAACCAAAGCTAAGAACAAGTAAGGAAGGGCTAAGTTCGGGTGTAACCGAATATTTTATACTATTGTAAGTTGCACGAATCATAACCTGGGAAGTTCCTTCAAGTACTGGCGAAACTTTATATTAAAAAATGTGAATTAAACATCCATTATTCATCATCATCAAGTATACTCGAGAACATATTTTGAAGCAATTTTATATACAAATCATACTCACTGATCGACGTATTCGCCGTAAAATTTGTTAGAAAAACGAAAATCATTACATGTGGTATATGGGAGTTGGGGGTAGTACTTACTAATAACATACCAAGTAATACTAATAAAAGTGTTCCCTGGGTTTCACATACCATCATCATACAATATAGAGTAAAGTCAGCCGGATGTTCGAAAATTCTGATATTAGTTATATAGGGACTAGGCAAGTTTCCAACCGATTATATCCATTTTAGGCATAAAGATACACTGTTATTAAGAAAATGCGCTCTCTTATTTTTATTGAGATAACTCACATATTGGTCGATTTATGCGGTATAAAGTCCCGCGGAAGTTCGAAAATCTTTATATTATGTATATGGTGGCTAAGGATAGTATTGACCTGATACAACCCATTTTTCGCATACTGACATACTATTACAAGGTAAGAATCCTCTCTGAATTTCAATTATACATCTCACATGTTACACACGATATTTTTGGTAAAGGTAAGATATCTTAATTTTTACTCAAGTTACAGCTTGGACGGACAGATGGACGGACATCCAGATTTCAACTCGTCTCGTCATCCTGATCATTTATATATACATAATCCTATATATATCTCGATTACTTTTAGGTTAAACAAACAAACGTTAGGTGAACCAAACTCTGTAGCAACATGTTGCAAGACTATAACCAATAGTTGCACCGAAACTAGATAACCCTTCATAAATAAAAAAGTTTTCCATACTAAAATTTACACAATTTGTGCGGAGATTGTAGCAATGTCTTCTACAATAAACCATGCCAAATTTTGTGAAGATAAATTGTCAATTAAAAAATCTGTCCAGTTTTTTATAACTATATTTTTATAACTATTAAAAAAAAGCAGCATGATAATATTTTCAAAAAATTATTTATAAATGCTATGAGAGTTTATGAGGTAAAGAGTAACTCGAAGTTACCCCGACCCGTTTTTTAAACAAAAGACACACTTCTTAATATTTAAAATATTATAAAAAAGTAAAAACCTCACTAGAAGCCACAAGTAAATTATAGTCCTCGTAATTTATATTTAGATACATTTCGAACTTACCATCTTCGCTGAGGGCTTATAAATTACATCCAAACTGCAGGATGGGCTCGCAATTTGCGGTTTTACCGACTTCTTCTCACCCTCCTCATCTTCTTCTTCGTCCGTCTCATGGCCTTCACTCTCCGCCTGACTCGGCACCGGACTAACGAGCTCAATGTGACTAGGCGCCTTAAAGGGCACTTCGGAACCATCATGTACGCGACGCGTCAAATCATAAGCGACACGCAGAAAACGTTCGCGCATTATGGAATGTTCCTTTAATTCACTGGGCGTACGCTGTGGATTTGTGCACAGCAGATAATCATCGGTTTTGGAGCATTTCTTTTTGATTTCACGTTGAAAGCGTGACTCCTTTACTTTTTGATTGAGACGTCGCAATTCATCCTCGATGGTCATCACTTTGGAAATAGTCGAATTTTCCGGTCGTTCGCATTTACGCACTTTTTCGCACATTTCAATCTTCCAATCAGGTGAGTTCGGGCTATCGCCCATATAGGTGCGCACTTCATATGGATTCTTCGATGGACTGACGTCCGATTGTAGGGTCACAAATTTTTTCAACATTTTTATGATTTATATTATTGATATGCTACACTTTATTTTTGACAAATTGTGGAAATATATTTAAAAGCGAGTTTTGATGCGCTATAGAATGGAAGAGATTAAATGTAAAAGCAATTTCGCGAAGACAGAAATTTTTTTAAATCCTCTAAACTGACAAAAAAATTTAAATGTCTGATATTTGACTTATTTTTTATTATAATTTTATTTTATTTTATTTTTTTCTATTTTTAAGTGTACTCTTATATACAGTAAGTTTAACACTGAATTGAAATTTGAAATTATATTTCAAAGAGACCTAAATGCCTGCTACATATTCACAATTTTCTTCCGAAAATAAAATTGGTGTTACTCAAAGCTTGTTCAATTTAAAAATTAAGATTAATCAAATATTTATATTGATATAAAATCAATATAAATTTTTTATGGAGACCACTGAGGTTTAACACCCTTTATTCCCAACATCAAAATTATTTTTCTAGAATGGTAGCATCTCAAATTTCTGCCACAAAAAGACATCTCATGAAATTTTTAAGCCTTTCAGAATCGTCTTATAACTTGTAGGGCATCCGATATATAGGGTAATATAGGGTCAATACGAATACCACAAATGGAAGAATAAGCTCTATGAAACTTCTGCCAAAGCTGTTAATACAAATTACGTTATATAAATTTATTTTGAATATCTCAAATCTAACATATTTATAATAGATTGATATCAAAACAAAATAATTTTCACGACAAGACTCCCGGCGTAAAGACTTTTTGATATGGTAGTCCTTTTTGGAAGAGAAATTAGAACCAGGTAAGTTTAGGAAATCTCAAACCACAGCACAATCTTTTCCACACAAATGTTGCTGCAAACTAACAGATATGTACCTTCTCTAATCCACTGCATTAGACCACAGTGGAAGACTGTTAATACTGTTATTGTAGCGACAGAAAACACTTCTCAAATAATTTAGAGAAATACTTCTGAGTTACAGTCCTGGCCGAATAATAATAGGTATCCGATCCAGTAACGTAGACTATACCATCGTTGGAAAAGCTGTCTGGTATATGGCTAATATGATATTTTTTACTGACCAATCAAAATCTAAATTCAAATTAAATACTTTGTTTTTGTGTAGGGTATTAAAGCTTTGGTGCAACCGATTATAACGTTTTTCCTTGTTTGTAAATGAAAATTGCATATTTTAAAAATAATTATAAAAAATAAAAAATATTGAAATCCCCTCAAGAGTTAATAACTACAATCGATAATTTTTCGATAAACTAATATGAAACTTAAAAGATTACCGTAGTGAAATGGAAAATAAAACGAATAACTTACTTCAGGCAACACTATACCAGTACGAAATCATAAAATCAGAGAGGAAGCAAAGAAGCAAAACAGAAAAGCCAATAAATATATACGAAAACAAATAAAAGAAACATAAAAAGTCGAACAACAAAAAAATGCGGCAACAGAATAGCGAACGAATGGGTTGACGAACAACCGAACGCATTGGGCACGACAGACGATGTCAGGTTTCTCGTATTGTAATCATCGTTGAAAATTGCAGTTGGTAGTGGAAAATTATATAGATTTTTACTTGGGCAACTTGAAAATTAACTTCAAGAAGTACAATTTGATGTTAATTCTAACATTCTAAAAATAGATATAAAATATGAACAAATAAGTTAAAGAAGCTACAGGCGATTAAAAATCAACAAATAACAAGAATATAGCCAAACGTACACAGTGGTATCAGTGCTAAGTATTGTGATGGTGACCGATTGGAGAAGAACGCAGAACCTAAACACATTGTTCATTAAGTGAAGCACACAGAAGTGAAAGAACTAAAAACGTTCTACACAAAGACTTCGTAATAAGACTGGTTGAAGATTTTATGAAAATATTTTCGACTCTACGCAACTATAAAAATAGGCAATCACTAAGGGAGGTGTGAACAAAACGCTAAAAAATGTGGATACATCCAAAGGAAATACTTATACCACCAGCATTTTGGTAAGTAATTAAAAGAAAAATGCATTGATAGCAAAGAGTTTATTTTTTTTTGTGATTCCTGCATAACTACATTAGTTAAGATTTTTTACGCAGCACCTAAATCGGATAGCATACACAGTTTTCATAATTAGTACAAGCACAAAGGCAATAAAAGTGAGTGAACAGCTGGTTTTGCGTGCCTCTCGGTGCTGTATACTTACAATCATACAAGTATGCACTCAACAAGCAATATTCTCCATATGTATGCATAGGTTTATTCTATTGTTGGACGCACTTGGTCTTATCAGGAAATCATTGAACTCTGACAAAACGCATTTATCTATTATAAATATTAATTAGTGCCATTTTTATTGTTAACTTCATGATCATTGTATTGTTTTTTTTTTTCAAAAGGGTTGACGAAATGCGCTCAAAATATTTTGTGCTACAAAAACGACGTGGACATGGAGAATCACGTAGCTTCACCTCACTTCTTGTCAATACATTAGACAGCGTTTGGGATACAAAGCCACCACCATATCGCATACTTCATCAAACGCCCAAATCTGAAGTATATTATGGTAAATTTCACTTGTTTAAATCGACACAGCTACTTAGATTTGTATAAACATATTTTTATTTATAAATTTAACCATAATATTATAAAAAAGTTCCTTGTAATCTTACTTGATTAATATAAATGCTTACAATATACTACAATATTAGTACCTAAAGTAGATAGGATTATTACATTCTGTCAAATACTGAAGTTCTAATCGTTAAAAATAGTCGATAAATCCATATTTATTAGGAGACCCAGACAATTTCATTCCAGCTAACCCCTTAGTTACCCAAGTCCATATCCAACCATTCAACCAATTCCAAATTGCTGTATTTAAATAAATTTTCCAATAATTTTTTTTTCGACGCCATGAAGACACCTGAAGTGATAACTAAAACCGAAAATGTGGTCGAATTGTAATGCTATTTATTCTAATTTTACTACGCTTCGACTTAAGTTTGGTTTTCTGTATATTTTCATTGTATTTATATACTTATAATTTTTTTTTTTGCTATTAATAATCACGAAATTTGATTTTATCTCCATTGTTATATGTATGCATTGCGGTTTTCATAAATAATTGATAAACTTTTAAAAAAAATTCAAATATCTGAGGTTTAACTCAACTTAAACTTTTTTATTAACTGCAAATATTAAAATTCCGCTATCTACCCAGACATTTTTGTTCAAGGGTAGTTTTTTGACAAAAGTCCAGCTCGTATTTTAATATCGGTTTCAACGACATAATTAGAATCATATGTAATTCACTTTTACCCGACAAGATTTGTGTATTTACATGCATATGTACTATGTACATATATTTGGTAGCTTAATTCAACTTATAAAATAAATAATTTGATTATATCCCTTATATACGTGCATATATGTTAATATTTTTTGCAGCTTCTGATTATAAAATGAAAATACCATTCTGTTATTGTTGTATCAATAAATAGTTTTGAAGAATGCTTCCCAGGTTGTTGTTGTTGTAGCGGCAAAATATATTCCTGAAGTAATTTCGAGGAATGATGCCGAGTTGACAGTCCTTGGCCGGGAACGAGTTCCCAGGTGATAACCCTTGGTCGAATATAAATTCTTATGCAATATGTTCTGTTGATATAGATTAATTATGAATGGATGAAAATATAACATACATATAATCCACCAAATTGATAGAATTTCATTGAAAGGAGCTAAATATAATATGGCTAATAAAAGGCTATTATTTAACAATAAAATAAATTTTGAAAATGGGGAAGAATTAGTGGAAATCAGGGTTGCAAATAATGCATAAAAAAAATAATTGAATTAAAAGAGAAAAATTTTTGTAATCCCGGAAATCTTAATATAAATATAAAATAGTTTTTAATATTTTTTCTCCCAGATACCGGATTTTTTTAGAATTTACATTTCTTCCTGTTACTATACTACCATACTTTGTGTTCTATCATTTTGAGCTAGAGCTCGCACAGAGCTATCATCTTCAATACTCTAAAGCACTGGTCGGCAAACTTACACCTTTTAACGATTTATATTTTTTATCATATTTTAATTCCGATTTTGGGATTAAAATGGAAAACTAATTTTTAAAAATTGAAAATTGAAAATCTAATTTTTAATGCAAAATTAAAAAAAAAAAATAAATGCGCCACCATGCATAAATTAGCATTCAATATTTCTTTATACACGATTTTTAAGATATAATTTATGAATACTAACTTTCTACAAAATTTATGTTATCTTTCATTTTAATTTATCATAGGCACCATGAATATTACCCTAGGCACCATGCATATTGCAACTTAATTTTTTCGCCCACTGTACCCATAAGCAATTATGTGTAAATATAAAGCTTACAATAGCAATAAAAAACCTAACAAAGGTAGCGTAGAGTACATGGATGAAAATTGTATATCAAGAAACAGCCAAAGATAGTATGTTATTAATATTAATAATGACTCATCTAATCAGTAATATGAAAATACTGTATTATATATGTATATTGTCATTTAAAAATGCAATTAACTTTAATTTCACTAAATACCTATTCATTTTCTCTAACTGTATAAGCGATTATTAGCTATTGTTGCATATATTCTTTTGTTTGCCTTGTGCATAGCCAACCCATTTTGATAAGCCCCTTGTGACGTAGATGGCATGCACATAAAGACTCTAAAGTTAAGTTGCAAGAAAGCTATAGCTAGAGCAGTTTTTTAGTACTATTATGTTGATTTTCACTAATTTTTACACAGTGAACAGGGTATACTAAGTTTGCTACGTATTTTGTAATACCCAGAAAGAAACATCGGAGACCTTATAAAATTTAGATATAGATGATCTGCATGACAAGCTGACTCGATTTAGCCATGTACGTATGTATATCTGTATATATGCGAACTAATCCCTAAATTTTCAATATACCGATCTGAAATTTTGCGCAAGTCCTTTCCCCCTAAAAAACTACTCATTTGTCGGAACCGCCAATAACGGACCTCTATAGCATATAGCTGCCATACAAATTGAACGATCAGAATCAAGTTCTTGTATGGAAAACTTTTTTATTTGACGAGCTGGTTTCACGAAATCGGGCGTATTTTCTTAGTATTTATATTTTTTATATATATATTTAATTATTTATTTATGCAATGAAAAAATTTTTTACTATATTTTGTGGTTTGCTATATTGTTTGTTTCAAAAATTATATACCTATTTTGACTTCTTAACTAATAGAAATCGCCATTGGCTTAACACAAGAGGAGATCGTTAAGGATTGGGAATGGCTTGCTGAAAACCTATTCAAAGTTCTCAATGAAATGGAGAGTGAGGAAGAGATCACCAACTTTACCATATGTAAAATACAATCGCTTAATGCGCAAAATAATCAAGATGAATCGGATGAATCGGCCAATTTCAAAGTATCCGCTTCGAAATTTCAAACACTTTTCGAAATGCCAAAAGAAGAACGTTTGGTCAATACATATGCATGCACGTAAGTCATATTACTTTAACTAAAAATCAGTTTTAATTAAATTTCACAAACATATGTATATACATATGTACATACATATATGCTTACATAATTACTTGCAGCTATGTTAAAAATAAAATACCGAATCAAGGTAATCTATACATTTCATTAAATCACATCTGTTTCTATTCATACATGCTGGGAAGCGAAACAAAGCGTGTCATTCGTTTTGCTGAATTAGAAGACATTAAAAGACATGGACAAATCATATATTTGAAAACAGTTAATAATATGCATTACAATTTTACATTATTAAAGGATGTTAAGGAGGCATATGGTCTGATAGAGCAACTAAATAAAATGGCTATACAACAATTGATACAAGTACAGTGCAATTTGACGATGACATAAATTATGTGAAAATATACTAAAATTGGTGTATGCACTTTTCAGGACCCCGACAGTCCCATAGTCGATCATGATGCATCGGTTTTCCAGCGTTTCGGACGCAAAGCATCAAATAAACCAGGTCTCTTGCGTGATTTAACGGCACGTCAGAAATCTGAAGAGTACCGCAATTACTTTCGTCTGCCACAGACCGAAATTATTGATGGTCAAATAAAAGGTAAATGTGTGTGTTAAATATTCATATATGAAATTGTCTGTAATTCTTTTCTTTTTTTTATGCTTTAGCCAACATTTGGACACCATATTCCAAGCGTTATGTTGGTGGCAATATTTACTTGTCACGCAATTTCTTTTGTTTCCGCAGTGACGTGATTGATCTTGTTAGCCTGGTCATTCCAATGCGTAATATTAAAGTGAGTTTTTTTTTTTGCAAATTCATTTTCATGGACTTTTATCTTTAGCTAATTTATTTGTATTATCTTTTTGGCTAACGCAGAGTGTAGAGCAGAAGAATGATGGTCCACATCGCTATGATAATCAAATTGTACTGCTTACAGCCGAGAATGTGCACTTTGTATTCGCACAAATTGTCGATCGCGAAGTGTTGGTCGAAAAAATTAGCGAATTACTATCGCAATTTCATGTGTAAGTAAGCGTTGCTATAATTTATGTCGTAATAAATATTATTAATAAATATTTTTAGTATTGAAATAATATGCTTTGCTTTAAATAAAAGTAAAAAGATGCATAATTGTAATGTATATTTCGTATATTTTAATTTTGTAATTTTGCAGGCCTATCAGTCGCGAACGCGCTAAGTATGACATATCCTGGAGCAAGCAGTCAGCGCTAATGAACTCATTTAAGACTAATTTGAGTGCCGAAATGTTGAAGATACAAGAGCAGAAGGTATACAGCTGCAAAGCATTATTTCTCTTCATTTATAAGCATATAACTAACTAACTGCTTTCAGCTCTCACGCTGGGAGTCACATTTTCGTGATTTTGGTCGTGGTATTTCCATGTTTCGTACAACAGACGTTATCAATTTGATTGTCGAGGGCATTCCAGATAAATTACGCCAAGAAATATGGCTGTTATTTTCCGGTGCAATACACGAGAAGCATATGAATCCGGGGCTCTATGAAGACTTGGTCGAGAAGGTATAGTTTAGCCTAATAAATGTTCTTACAAATTTGTGCCAAATTGTGTATTTCTATTCAGGCTGCTTGCATTAAGCAATCATCCACACACGACGAAATCGATCGTGATCTACATCGTTCGCTGCCAGAACATCCGGCATTCCAGCATGCCGACGGTATTGGCGCTTTGCGTCGTGTCTTGCAAGCATATGCTTTACGCAATCCACAAGTTGGCTATTGTCAAGCTATGAATATTGTCTCATCGGTATTTCTGCTATTTTGTGATGAGGATAATGCTTTTTGGTTACTTGCAAGCCTTTGCGAAAACTTACTACCCGACTACTATAAAGATAAAGTAGTAGGCGCACAGATTGATCAGAGTGTTTTGAATGAACTCGTCGAGACCTACCTACCCGAATTGCACAGTCATTTGGATCAGTTGGGTATTATACGCATGATCTCACTGTCATGGTTTTTGACGATTTTCATAAGTGTCATATCGTATGAGAGTGCAGTGCATATAATCGACTGCTTCTTCTACGATGGCGCCAAAATAATATTTGTGGTATGTAAATATATATATGTTTTTTTTTTATAAATTTATTATACCATTATATTTCATATTGGATATACATATGTATTGTACATATGTAAATAATTTGACAACACATTTCTCTAACACAGATTGCGCTCCAAATTTTGGAATGGAATTGTGAGAAACTGCTTAAATGCAACGATGACGGCGAAGCAATGGAAGTGCTCTCCACATATTTAGAGGGTATCTACAATCCCGAATATCGCCTACCGGCACAAAGTGACAAACAAAAGCCTGAAACACAGCCCATACAGACGCTCATCCATGAGGCGTATACGAATTTCGGTGCTAAAATCTCGCAACAGAAAATCGAAGAATTGCGCAATAAACATCGACGTCTGACAATACGACAATTCGATATTGATAACGAGAATACAATTGTGAAATTTCACACCGATAATATGTACTTCGATCGAGAAGAATTACACCTACTGCTTATGATTATACGAGAGGAAAAGTCAACGCCACGTAAAGTGTTGCAACAGAAGGCGTACTCAGCGCTGGGTGGTGAATCGCCAATATTGTTGCCCACAACAACAGCAACAGGTCGTAGCGGCGGCGGTGCGGAGAATAATTGCAGCCGCTCTGAGTCGTACAGCGTTGATTTCGATACATTCCGTGCGCTATTCCATGAGCTGACGCCTTGGCGCAATTGCGTTAGCATTGATTTGGCGGAGAAATTATTTAGGGTAAAATGTTTTTTAGAAATTTATATAATTTTTTTTTTTAGTTGCGTTCACTTAGCGGACTATTGCAGTAACTTAAAAATTCGATTTAGCCATATTCGTCATTTCGTCCGTCTCAATATACTCGTACTAGTCCCTCAGTTTTTGAGATATCGATTTGCAATTTTGCACAAGTACTTTCTCGCCAAGAAGCTGCTCATTTGTCGGAACCCGCTTATTTCGCACGTTTATGGGATATAGCTGCCATACAAACTGGTTGATCAAAATCCTGTTCTTATATGGAACAATTTTTTATTTGACAAGATATTTTCATGAAATTTGAAATGGCTTATTGTGCAGGGTAATACTACAATATCTGAACAATATAATATAATATCGGACCACTATAGCATATAGCTGCCGTACAAACTGATCGATCAAAATTAAATCCTTGTATGAAAAACTTTTTTCTTTGCAAAGATATCTTCACGAAATTTAGCATGGATTATTCTCTAAAGCCACGCCACAGTCTCCGAACAAATTGTTCAAATCGGATCTTTATAGCATATAGCTACCATACAAACTGATCGATCAAAATCCTGTCCTTATATAGAAAACTTTTTTATTTGACAAAATATTTTCATGAAATTTGGCATAGATAATTATCCAAACCAACGGTATAATAACCGAGGAAATTATTCTGTTCGGACCACTATAGCTTATAGCTGCCAGTCAAACTGTTCGATCGATCAAATATCCGTTCCCACGACAGTCGGGTCTACGTAACCGGAACGGACCCGGATATTCCGGCCAAGGACTGTCAACTCGGTAGAATTCTGCCGCTACAACAACATCGATCAAATATTGAATTATTCTCATTCTGTTTGCTCAGCGTGAAAAATCGGAGGTTAAGAAGGCGATTACTTGTTCAGTTTTAGTTTTTGTCGATACGAACCTCCCAGAATAAATTTAATGCAATGAACATTTCAACAAGAGAAAGCTTTCAAGTTGAACTACATGTTGCCTTACAGTTATTTAAGTTAATTAATTAATTAGTCGTTTATTTTATGATGCCGCGTGCTCTTCATTTAATTATATTCACCATGTTTATATCACAAACAGCTCACTGATAAGAAAAGTACCGGCTCAATTGAATTTTCACAAATCATAAATGCATTGGGTTTGGTATGCTCACACAAATACACGGAAAAATTGAAACTACTGTACATACTACATTTACCGCCATTGCTTTCCAAGGCGGAAATTGAGCAGGCCAGACGTCCAAAACCGAAGGCTAAAGAAGATGCTGAAGAGGCCATTGAAGCTGAAGACTTCTTCGGGTACAATTCAAATATACATAAATGTATACAAATTTTCCACACTTTCATTATAATTTTCTTCACAACATTTCTCTAGCGATGATCCATCCGAATCAATTGAGGCGCTCCCCTCACCTACTGATAATAATTTTGACGAAGACGATTACGCGCTCATCGCAGCTACGAAACATTTACATAGCTTAGCCGGTCTCTCGCAGCCGTCATCATCAACGGGTATTGCGGGCGCCATTAACGGCGAACGCTCATCAACATTCTATGTCGATTTGCCGCGTCAACATGGCACACCTATGGATGTGGCACGTTCACAAAATGGCGCAACAGGCAGCACCTCGGATCTGATCGACAATGCATTGCGCCATCAGGGACGTTTCGAATCCACCGATACTTTTTCGGATATATCCGATTTGGGTGCAGCAAAGGTGACGCCGCCGCAATTGAATGTGGAAACTATTTCGAATTTCTCACAAATTAGCGATTTAATAATGGCAACCAGAGTGGAACGTACCGATTCAACAACGGACACCAAAAGTTTGGGTAGTCTGCGCTACTTGCTGGATCAACCAGATGATGGCAATGCGCCGAATAAGAATATACCGAATATGAGGAAGGCAAATTTCCAATTCTTATGGCGCTCACTGATGGAGATAATAGGGCAACAAGACGAGGACATGCGGAAGGCACGTAAGTGCTCAAAAATATATAAAAAATGATATATGAGTAAAATGGAGAAAAAGAAGGTGAATACCGATTGAGTCTGAGTGTTTGCCGATACGATTCTCCAAAAGAAATTTCCTTAGCAATGAACAATCAAGCTTTGCAAAACTTTCAAGCTGGGCTACACGTTGCCGTACATTATTTAAGCATAGTTAAATTTATATTTATATATTGTATACCTATATATACTCGTATATGTATATATAATCGTTATACGATTTTTATAGTAAACCAGATTTATATTTTACTTTATAAAATTCTAGATGAAAACCTTTTAGAGCTGGGCAACAACAATATGAAGAAAGAGATCAGTTTGGATAGCTTTACTCAATTGAATTTGGGTAACGGCGATGAGGTTCGTATTCACATATATGTACATAGTAAAAAAAAATTATAAAATTTGCGAAAATATTTTAAACGCATTTACTTGCCAACAGCCTGATAGTAACGGTAATCCGACGACACCCTCTGTCGAGTCAAATGCGACGACGAGACTCTTCCAAGCTTACGAAGAGGAGTTGCAACAAAATTCCAGCTCTGGTGGCACAGGCAGCAGCAACAATAGCTCAACAGATGTGGATAGTTGGGAGATATCTATAAATCAATTTATAGCAACAGTTTTGGCAGTCACTTCGATCGTGCAATGTTTCTATATGAAAACACCGATTAAAGAGAATATAGAGCGTATGCAAAAGAACCGTCGTAAATGTGTTATCACAAATTACTAAATAGCTACAACAAAAAAGAAAACAAAAAAAAAAAAGAAAAATACGTTCCAGTCGCGTACAGCCATTAGATGTATCTAATTGCTTTGAGAGAATGCGAGCGCGAGTGATAGAGCAAGTAGCAAAAAATGAGTATTCGTAAATACAAATTATTTGAATGTTTTCCTAAAAATACGCAATTCAAATAACTGCAATAAAAAGTATTGGTATTTTTTTTTCTTTTTAAATATCGAATATACATACTTATATATATACACAACAAAATGCATGCATTATATAATAAATATTAAAATTATACAGGAATACCTATATATAAAAAATATAAAATATACACTGTGACACATACGGTGTTGGCGTTGTAAACGATTTTTTGCAAAGGCATTGCCACACACGCCCACATGCTTCCCCAAATTGTTCCGACTAAAATGTAATAACTGTTAAAAACAAAAACATTGTATATTTGATTTTTGAAAATAGTATGATGGAAAAATGCTTTGTATACGTCGCTTTATATTGTCATGCTAATATCGTTCTAAACATTTTTAACTTGTTATATATAGTTAAATGTTCGTTGGTTTTACCTTCAAATACAAAAACAAAATTCGTCTAAAGTTACAATGTTTTATGAAAAGTATTGAGGTCCAAGCGCATACTTTCTCATATAAAACTTAATACAATTGCTGTTTCTTCACAAAATTTCTTTTGGCTGTTATACACACACTTACAAATATAGCAAATTTCGGAAATCTAAAATCCTGTATAAAAAACATACATACATACATACATACATAAATAATATATATACATAATAGTTGTAAAAAATATGAATAAATACACTGGTACATACATATTAGTAAAAACAAAAACATATTTTTATTATAACACTAAGAAAGGTTAACTTCGACTGCATCAAAGCAATAATAATACCCTTCACAGCTATATGTAAAATTAAATCTGAAAACTTAGCAGCAAACGGTTTGCATTCAACGGAAAATGTTTCTTTAGTTCCTTCCAACAACGTTGTTTTATATAAACAACTTGCTAGTCGAATTAAGGTTACTTTTAGGGCCGTTTTCTCAATGTCTGTTTAGCCAAAATTTTTCAGCTAAGTTCCGGTTGATTCAGCCAAAAGAAGGAGTCTTGGAAATTAACTAACCAGAACTTAACTGACAGATGATTGCTAATCAGACATTGAGAAAACGGCCCTTAATCTTAAGATCCTTATCTAGATTTTGTTTGGTTAGTTTCTATGGCAGCTAGATGCTATAGTGGTACGATCTGAACACTTATGTTCGGATATTGTAGCGTTGTCTTAGGCAATAAACTACAACAAATTTCGTTAAGATGTGAAATAAAAAAATGTTTCATACAAGAGCTTAAGGGGTTAGGGGTAGTAAGAGACACGAAAAAATGAGAATTTTCAGTACTTTTTTTTTTTGTTATTAAATCATGTTATTTTACAAAAGTAGTAATATGGCATTATTATATAATGTTTTGATTTGAAGTCACGAAATTAAAAAAAAAATTTCCAAAGTTATAGCTGACTGCCTCTAACCCCTTAAATGCACTGGGGTATGACGAAACTTTTAGCTTCTTTAAAAAATTGGTGATCGGATAGATATCACATGTCTGCCCACTGGCTGTCAGGCTTAAACATTGAACTGCAGACTTGAAAAGCCTTCTACACGACATGTGACAGTTTGGGGAAAATAAGAACATAACTTATTAATTTTCTATATGAAATCGTTATATGGCAAGTAACACATTGCCACCTAAGTTCAATTAAATCAATTTAAAAGTTGGTGATCATCATATTCAATATATGAAATGGAGTGGAATGGATGGTAAGTGTTACGTTCGGTTTTCTTGTTTGGTTAAAATATGTGAAGTAGTACCATATATGAAATATCCACATATGACCTAAAAGCGTGTGGAGTTTCGGCGATTTTTTTTTCAATTTTATTGTTGCACTTATTTTGGTTTAACGTTGTTTTTGTTGTAGCGCCGGAAAACCTTCCGGAAATAATTTTGATGAATGCGGCCGAGTTAGCAGTTCTTGGCCAGATAAAAAATCGGGAGATTTTTATTTATATCACTGTTTTAGTGTAGTCTCGAATATATGCTTGAACTTTTCAACTGATGATGGTTTTATGCCCGCAAGCATCATAATTTTCAAATGGACAGTTGAATAAATATTGGTTAGTACTGTTGTTTATGATATCTAGTTTCTCTTTGCCGCGCCCGAACCGTGCTGAGGGAGCGTCACCGTTGGTATTGCTTTAAGGCCCTAAAATTAGTAACTTCGGCGATGATTTAAGCGAACTAACTATCCTTAAAAGTCCCGTATTTAGCGTCTTCACTACTAGCGGAAAGGAGAGATATAAGGTGACATGGCAGAGCACGCTGATGGGACATTGAATGCTTCTGATGTTCATTGCGGTTAAAAATTCGATATATAGATTTATAGATATGCAACTTTATAAGTCGTAATTTTTATTAATCTCTTTCCCTTTTCTTTTCATTATTTTCAAACATCATATAGCATACATATATTATGAGCAAGTCAATTTCAACCTAACCAAACTTAACATTTTACATGAAACATCTGGCCTTATAGAAAAAATTGAACTAAAATAAAAATACAAAAAAAACGTTAACTTTGGTTGCAGCGTAGTTATAATACTCTTCACAAATAAAAAAAGAAATTCCGTGCAAAAACGTGATTTTGATGGTTTAGTTTGTACGCCAGCTATATGGTATAGTGGTCTGATATCGGCGGTTCCGACAAATGAGTAGCTTAAAGTTATTTCAATTATCATTTTAATTTCCATCCAATATCCCACAAATACAAACCTGTATGCGCATTAGAAAAAAACTCTAATTAATTGCTTCATATACTGATTATTATGTATTTACAGTTACACACTAGTGTTACTCATCGCTAGGTAATATTATATAATATAGTTTCATAATATATTTGTACAATCATTAACTTTAGTTTTTAAATTAAATTTCGTGCTTTCGTGTTAACTGCTACTTAAACATAAAGTCCATAAATCTTAAGCTTATAAAATATTTGAAAATAATTTATCATAAACATACATATATATCGAAGCGTATGACTCGGTATAGTCCGCGATTATTAGGCATTCAAGTCGAGTAAAGACAAGGCAATTGACACTTATCTAGTGATTATTGCTTAAGGATATCAAATTTGATTTGAATTTGGATGCAGTTACTTTTATGTTAAGCATTTATTTAGTTATTTTCCATTTGCATAAATTTGTATGCATTTCGAAAACAGCTAACTACAAGCATTTTCTGTCTGTGTTATACAAAGTTGTTGGATAATATGCAAATAGTATTTGCAACAACAGCGATGGCATAAAACGTAATTTGTATTCGATATGTAAAATAACAAAATTAATGCATTCGAACTCAAGCTGCACGCTAAATGGTCGTTGCATTTCTGTTCTTTTTGAGCTTCTGAATTTTTCAAAGCAATTTTAAAATCTCTGGCCGCCGTCTCAAATTTATCTGATTTAGATTAAGCAAAAAAAAAAATGGATGCATATATAAATACGTTTGGAGCTCTTAAAGGCGTGAACTCTTTAAGCATAATGCAAATATAGTCAATATATGCAAGTTTAGCTGACAAAATTACAAAATTATTGTACAAATTCTTAAAAAAAAAGAAATGTATTGTATTTTAATGCATTTACATACATATACTTGTACATATGTCCAAAATATGTGTCTGCTAAAAATAACCGTTTTATTTATAATGAACTGAATGAATTTGACTGTCTGGTTTGATTTACGCTTTAAGTTTTTTTCATAAAATTTTTTATGAATTCAGAATTCTTATGTTTTTTGATAATCTTGATAAATTTGTTTAAATTTCACTACTGCTTGTAAGACATTGACTGCTTTATCTCAAATTATTCGTACTTTTAATTGCTGTTCTATTTCTACTATAAGCATTTTATATGAGAAATACAGAATATAAAATTCTGCAAAATCTTAACAACAAATCCATACAACTATAACAACTGAGGAATGTGTCTTATGTAGCCTTAACTAACATTAAATGATAAAAGGAAACTATAATTTATAGTAGTCCATATGCCTCTTGCTCGCTAATGCTATGTTAACCTCGCGCAAATTTTTTCTATTTTTCGAATTTATTTTTCTGCTCGTTGCTTATATGCCGCAATATTTAAGTAACTACACTGCAATATCTTTTACACTTTTTTTCTCTTTCACTTTTCAATTGGTTCTGGCTCATCCAGTTTGGATTTTAATAATATATGTGTGCTTAAGACAATTATGTCTACAACTAAAACAATATTACATTATTTACAAAAACGCTCTTGACAAAATACAAAAAAAAATTATAATGAATGATTAATACTAACGTTATAATATTTATATATTTGTTATGTAAATAATACATATATTCATAAATAATATATACTATGAAGAACTTTTTTTTTAATAAATATAAATATTTTGAAATTTTTGTAGGCTATTAAAACGCAACGCAGTACACAAACTCAGGCTCACTCAAAAAATTATAATCAAATAATTTAACATATTATATTTACAATTTGTATTCCTTGTTTTGCTTTTTTAATTTTGTTGCGACGCACTTTTATGCAGCTGAATCAGATTCTGTTTTCATGCCACTAGACTTTAATTCACGTTCTCTAAAGAAACCACGCTCCGTTTTGCATTCTCTGATGGTTACAGTCTCTAAATTTACGGTAACATCTGTGATTACCACTTTATCCGAGATATTACATTTATTTGGCAACCAGAAACGTGGTGGCAATGCTTTCGGCGAAAGTGGCGCCAATGCACTTTGTCGTTGTTGTTGTTCCGTAACGTGTCCATTACGCTTGGGTGAGCCAGCGCCGTCATCGCCCGTTCCCTTGTTATGTGCTGCCGCATGATTATTATCCGTTTGACTATCTGCTTGTGATGATGAATCATCGTCGTCGGCATTCGACGCAGCTGTGGCATTGTAATGCTGATGCAGTGCTGCGTTCTTTTCTGCGGGTGTTGCTTGTTCTGGTCGTGATGCTGGTGTTTCTGGTGATAGCGGTTCAGTCTCAGACTTAAGCGGCGTCGATATTGATGTTGCTGTATCTAAACTGGCACCAGTAGCACAATGTTGTTTAGGTGGCGGTGGTCCATCCGGTGAGGTTTTTATAGTGACACCTATTTTACCAGATTCCTTTAGTACCTCAGCTTTACGTTTAGTACCCATAGAAGTGACCTCCTTGCGACTTAAAGGCTGATCTTCAGAACTGGAAGAATTAGAATCAGCCTCGGGAATGAAATTTAAAACGGAATTCGAAGCAACGGCTGCTGCAACAACAGCAGCCGACACTGATGCCGACGTCGAGGTATAGGTATGGCGCTTATTACCACTGTTGTTAGCAACATCACGCTGCCCATCTGTATGTGGCGAATGCGAGCGATGATGATGGTGATGTGAGTGCTTCTTATCTTTATCCTTTTCTTTATCATGGTGGTGATGGTGATGGTGATGGTTATTGGATAATGCAGCGGATGAAGTAGATGCTTGATTTATATCACCATCATCGCCAGTGAAAGTATACTCATCCTCCTCCGACTCCGGTTCAGGGTCATGTGTTTTTTCCTTACGCTTTCCTCCACGCTTTGATGGCGTATTAGATGATCGGTTACTTTGTTCGTATATTTCAATAAGCCGCCGATCAAGTATATTAACCTCTGGCTCCCAGGTGTTATACCGCTGATTCCAACCTTTCCATTTTACTCGGTATTCCAAAACACCCTATTCACGAGATAGAGAATAAGAATGTAAAATATATAAGAACACGAATCAACCAATTAAAAAATTTCCAGATACAACAAAAAGTATACTAATTTTTTTGAATTTTTATATTTAGATGCAGAATTTATAAAATCAATTTTTGTATTATCTTCACACTACTGGTTTGGGTTGTGGATGTTAAATAACAGTTTTTCAATCAGAATAAGTGAATTGTACAAATATTCACTAAATTACTATTTCTGTACTTGAAACTTATTTTTTACGTTCCTAGCGCAAATATTTTCAAGGACTAAACAACAAGATCTTACGCAGTTCGTGACAGGTGGATCCCGTAGATAATTACATACATTTTGAAACATGACGTTATGAAATAAAACAAAATTATAAGATGAAATATAAGTTTATGTCTGTATATATAACAATAAATATTAATGGCAGATGCTTCCATGTACGGAATACGTTAATATATATATAGCATTAAATATTTTTACTTAACTTAATTGTTTCATACCTTTCTAACGCGTTTTTGTATAATCCGCTCCGCCGCGTAAACGCGGTCATCCGAACTTCCCATGTTGTTATCCAGTTTAACAAATTTTAATGCTCTCGCACCGTATTTTTCATAAATCGAAACACCACTTGCAAAAAAGCGCGGCAAAAAGTGTGTAATATCGAACAGTACAATATAAAGATTTTACGTATTCTTTTAATATATATTACAACAGCTTTTTACACATTAACTATTTCAAAACAACACAAGTATTTAATAATTGCTTAAGTCGTCAACAAAACAGGTAGCTACGCAAATAAATTGTGCGCAAATTGTATCTTGCAAATATATAACAAAAACTATCTGCTAAAACCACTGAAAGATCTATTGTTGTAAGAAACATTCAAGCGCCAGCGCTTGAAAACACCGAATAAATAAAAAATGCGAAACGTCCTTCAGCAAATGTATGTGCTATTTCACTCTGACCAATACATTTGGATCGTCAATATAGAAAAAGTACGCAAATCGCTACTCGTTCTACCCGATGCGACGACGGAATATGTATATTTCGAAAATAGTTCTTTTATAGACAGATGTAAATTGTCATATTTATATTTTAAGCACACACTTTTGTTTTATACAACTTATTAAGCGTTCACTGATATTTATTAATTAACAAGGCCGCAAAAAATGTCCATAACAATATTAAAAACACGACATAAAAATTTATACATGTTTTCTCTACAAAAACGCGAGAATAATTGAATTCGTTATTTTCGTTCAAATCGTCACTATGCTGATAATTGTTGTTTTCATGAAACTCGTTCCTTTAATAATAGCGTTGCCAATTAACAACGCTTCATTATTTGCATTGCCAACTAGTTAGAAGATATTTTATACATATATATTCTTAATGTCAATTATTATATGTAATATGTATTAATTACTCTAATACTCAGTGTATCAATGATGATAAAGAGTTTATTAACTCTAAAATACATTCGATTTCTTATACTAATTTTGAATATTTTTTACGGAAAAATAAAATATCATTATTTGTATTTGTGCTAATTGAGTTTGCTACTGGGTAAACTTTATTTCCATGCAGACAATTACGAGCGGCAGTAGTGTGATACTTTCAAACACATTAATCTACACAGAAATAACTGTAAATGTGGAGAGGGTGGTAGCGTAGGAAGTATCACGCACTTCGTGTCCTATCGTCCTACGAGCTTTTACGATTTTTTTCTCTCTGTTTTCACGTAAATACTCTGGTCTATATAAAACGTCATTACTAACAGGCTTACAGCCAAATGTTTTCGTACGAAATGCCAGTACACTTTTGTGCGGTGGATGAAAAGTTATAATCACGGCGTAACAACAAATAATGTAGACGTAAAACGAAATTAAGTCTAACTACATACATACATATGTATATATGAACGTAAAAAAGAGTTGTCACGCGAATACACACACTCATAGAAATGCAAAATTATTAGAAACCTATTTTACAAATCGCACCAAACTGCCGGAAATCAATGTGAAAAAATCGAAATGTTAAGAAATATCACTAAAATGCAGGATACATGCAGATACTACTTATGTTATCAGTGAATTCGTGGATTTCGTACAAGATATGGGTTGACTTACATATACTAATAATAAGTACTTGTATGTATGTGGGTCGTGAACTTGCAAAGGACATACTTACACATCGGTATTACACGGCGCGTGGGTGGCACAGTGTACAAACAAAGGCCGCAAAAACTGGAGCAGCAGTAGAAAAATAAGTATAACGGGGTATATATAATAAAAGTAACTTTGCATTGCAAGTGCAGCGACAATGCATTGGAAGTGGTGTAATTGCAATTACGTTGTGACATCTTTGAGACCAAAAGTCGCCATTGACTGAAGTTGCGTTTAAATATGAGCAGCTTATGCTACTATGCATACTATGTACTACGAAACATGAATCACGTGAAGAATAAAAGCATAAAGCAAATAATCCTCCCAAATTGACTGTGATAAAATGAAAAAGGGATATGCGTAAAAAATTAAATTGATATATGTATAAAACTAGAAACTGTGTAAACGGGAGAAAAATGTTAAATATTGAAAATATAATTTACAAATAGGAGTAATATAAATGCATACCCAATGTATCAAAGCTTTAAAATTCAATTATAATCAGATAAATCGCTATTTATGTATATCAAAATGGAGCGGACAAGTCGTGATAGACCGTGTGGGTGGGTAGCAATTGCGCTGAGCAAGGAATGGAGTGACAAATAAATCATGTACTGAAAATCTCTGTCGTCACATGCTTATATCTATAAGTTGAAAGCTTTAGCAAAGAGGAGTAGATAACAAAGGAGCATGTAACTACACTTAATCTAGTAGTTATCGGAGTGCTTTAGATGTAAACAAAACACCAATTTATTATTAACTAAACAATTTAAATAATTTTTATATTTATTAATATATAATAAGTATTAGCGTAAATTTCTTTGAAATACTTGTTATGCCGCAATCCGTATAATACATATAAGTAAAGTCCTAACATGCCACAACAAATAAAACTATAATATGAAGATAATCATGTGACTGGTGTTTTTACTACGAAAACGTCGAATAACAAAAATACGATAACAAAACAACAGACTGCAAGTTTATAATAAAAAATAAACTATAAATACAAATACATATGTAAATATATAAGTACAACGTGTGTAATAATTGAAAAATCAAATCGCACTGTATTAATTAATTAATCAACAATTAACCGACGACTTTACTTTGCAGTAGTTTATGTAGCATATTTAAGTTATGTATGTACATATATGAAAACAAAAATATATAATATATACAAATAGGGTTAAACAAACTACAACGGCATCAACGCAAACAGAAACTGCTTTAAAAAGTCAAACAGTAGATGAATAATGGAAAATTGTTAAATTATGGACTTGGGTGTGTAAAATCGATTTCCAAAGATTTGTTAAAAAATAAGCTCGAAAAAAATAACAATTATAAACAGCAGCTAAAAAATAAACACTAATTGTAATTACATTAAAGTAATTATAAGAAAGAAGAATTTATATACATACAATATTGTCTTTAATACGCAGTTAATATAAAATATTAGGGAATTTAATGTGTAGTTTGAAGATATTAAATCAATACGCGGAAATAGTAGAAATTTAAAGAAGAATCATATACATACATACATACATATATAGTGTCGTGTATACGAAATATACAAACTTGTTGAAAATATAGACAATTATATACCAGTATATGCATAAGTGTGTGTGACAACGATTTATAATTCTACACCTATAAATACATATAGAACAATTATATATGCTACGTTAACGAGTTTAAATAATAATATAATCGTGTATGAAAGATTACCAATGGCCACGTATTCAATTAAATATTAGTATCGATTGTCACTAAAACTTCGAAAATTTAATTAGCGCATAGTAAAATTTAATGATAAATAGCAACAACGTAACTCGTGCAAATAATAACAAACATACTCACATACAAAAATACAAAACTTTAGTTATAACAAACAATAAGAATAGAAATATTGCCAAAACCACCGCCACTACTCCGATATTGCTTAGAATCGGACAGGAAAGACATATGGACAATCAAAATCCAAATACAGAAACGTCATAGCCTAACATATGGTTATACCGATTACATTTACCACATGACGAGCGGCAAATGCTCCCCAAAGCATACCCTTAGCTACTAAAATAAGTTGTGAAGCAAGCCCACGTAAACACCAATACTTGGAAAACAAACACTTTTGCTACAAAAACAAAAAATCAGGGAAAGTGTATAAACAAAACTGAAGTGTTGCGTTGTTCGGTAAAAAAAAGTGGATGTTTGCGAGAGAATAACGAAAGAGGCCACTGATAGCAATTGTGATTTGAATAAAACAGTGATAACTGTAAAAACACCACCCCCATTTTTGTTCAACTAACTGTTAACTAACAGCTAAGCGACTATTATTATATACTTGTAAAATACATTTCTGTTTAACGTTATTGGAAATTGAAAGCACGAGAAAACGGAACTTTACAAAAGCTTTAAAACTCCTATTAGCTTTTATTTGAGTAAGCATTTACTACTACAGCACTTTGAAAACTGTGCACAAAAAGCTAATTCTATTGTTGTTACGAAGAAAACCTGTTGCTCAAAGTATAACTAGAAATTACCGTTGAGTATTAAATAGTATCCCACCAACACCCGTTTAAACAAGTCGTATAAATAAGTAGTTAATGTGAAACACTAAAAATATTAAAACAAAAATTATTTAAATAACGTAATATTCGTGTGATGCCTATCCCCAACACTCCTTCCCAACAAGCATCCTTTCACTACTACTACTTCGCTTTATATTTCGCGCACTACAAGACTCGAATGTTATAAGCCACGTGTGTGTCTAGTGTATTTATTGAATATGTCCCATATACCCGACGATGCCAGCAGTATGAGTGACGACGTTTTCGAAGATCCCGAGACCACGCAACGCCGCATCGAGGATACGGCACGCTATCGCGCCAACTATACAACCAGCGGCAGCGGTTTTGGTGGCGGTGGTAGTAGTGGTATCGGTTCCAGTCTTGGCGGCAGCAGCAGTAATGCTTTCAGCACCGGCTATCCAGGCTATCGTCCACCAGTTAAAGCATTACAAATGTATGCACTTGAAGACGCCGTTTTTCATGGTGATGGTGATGACGATGAATACGAAGATGGTTGGCGTTCCTATCGTTACGATGAAGTAGGCATGTACTGTCAACCGCCGCAGCCTCCGTTCGATGACACGATCAATCATAAGGTAATATTTTCGAGTAAAACTAAACGAATTACACAAACACAATTATTAGTTATGTACCTATATTTTATCCTTCTGGGTGAGTTTTATAATCGGCAAAGCAATTTCGACCGAGAACGCAATGGTGCGACAGTCATTTCCTTGATTCACAGGTCCAAATACTAAGTTAAGTCCACTCCTTCGAGATTGGAAAGAAGATCTTCATATTCCTCTGATAATATATTTAATAACTGTCAAGGCACCCATTCGGCCGTCATTTATTCACATCGATAAATAATTCATAGAGCTCCTCTTTATTTCACTTCCAATTACTCACTCGATTCAATTAACTATAACAAAAAAATATATATAATAATATAAGGTTATTGTTTATGTAATATTATTTAGAAAGTAAATACTTCAAATCTTTTTCATTTCATATTTTTAGACAATATTACTTGGCGATTCCGGTGTTGGTAAAACATCATTCCTGGTAAAGTACAATACGGGCGAGTTTCGTTTAGGTTCCTTTTCTGCGACAGTCGGCATTGCTTTAACGGTAAGTGAAAATAATTATTATTCCTTGATAGTTGCATACCTTTGTAACTGAGTTAGGGTACTATTTCACATGTAACATATGATCAAATATTACCCGGACTGACAAATAGACTATATATTCATGTATATTAATACACATCTTTATTATCGCCTTTAAAATACTTGTAGGCTCCTGAGCCAATAAAAGCATGCCAACGTTAACTCCGATATTCCATGCTATAACACATGTATCTCATAGCCTCGGCGTATTCATAAACCCACGGCTGCCATCTTTACTCGGCGTCAGGTTCAGGTGTTTTGGTATGAGTCTAGCATTGATACGCTTCATCAAATATATTAACTTAAATGTCTTGAGTCCATCTATAAGAGCTGTTGAGATCCTCTGTTATCTTTCTGATGCCAACACAATGGTTTTCCAACACGGTTTTTTTAACTTTTTTATATTATCATCATTAGCGGGTACGAGAACATACCGTGGCACAAATACTTCTGTTCCTGATAAAGTAGACTCGCCAAAATACTTTTGCAACATTTTCAATGATTCCATAGCCATATGTTTTATTGGAAACACAAAATTTAAAGCAAACTCATTAAATTTTTTGTTTTCCATCGTAAAAATCACCAGGCAAACATTTCTAATTATAGACATATGGAGATCAAATTTCACCCGAACATATAAATGGGTTGTACCAATCTAGGAGAACAGCTTTTATAGATTCGATTTCGCCCGTAGCATAAATGCACCAGTCCGGCTCATATTTGATCAAATCTACATATAGATTAGATATTACTAGCAATTTAGTAAAACTACTTAACCTCTAGTGCTTTTGTTGGCTAGGTAGAACAAAGAGAGCTTTAAAAAGTAAAAATATTTATTTACAAAATTAATTATCTGTAATATCCGGTGTAACCTTGTTAGCAATAGCATAGAAAAGTAATTGAATGAAATCTTCTTTTCCGTCTCGGTTACAAAAGAAAGCAACTAATAAGCATATATGTATGTATAATAGTTAATTTTCTGTATTAAACACTGCTGGAGACATTTACCACTAAAAAAAGATTTTATCTAACTTAATATTTAAACTAAACCTAAAACTCACAATTAGCCTTGTGATATTATTATTATATTACTATTATTATCATTTAACGTGGGAATTCAATAACAACAAAAAATTTTATAACATTACTCATCACTAAAATTAATCTTTTACTAAGGCTGTGTCAGTATTTAAATAAGTGGTCTAATTATGCATTATTTAAACGTGCATATTTGCTTCTGCTGCCAGTAACTCCATATTTTTGACTTGCGCTTATACTAACCGCATTTGCCATTTTAAATTAGTTATTTTAGCATAGGACCACGAATAGTACAGACTAACAGAAACGTCTATATGTTCCGCATATGTTTGCAAGCATTTGCCAACCACGCCATCGCGCATCACTCATACGCCATGGCGCACTCTAAGTAATGTATGTTTGTATGGTGCTGTCCTACTTGAGGTCAGCCGTTTCAAAATTGGCTTCTGGCAGTTTATGTGAATAAACCAATTATAACGAGGTTTTTGTGTAGTGAATTCACTTTATTATAACCTTCTAAATTTGGTGACAGACTTAAACTTTCAATAGTTTTATTAAAACCATTGTGTAGCTTGTCGATTGTTAGAATTAATATAGAGTGAAATTTATACATATAACATAATTAATAATATATCGATATAAATTATTAAAAATAAATTGTGTTATCTGATCATGATGGAGTTGGAGTAAAAGGACGTAGATTTAAGAAAAAGATTTACTATAGTATTATTCAAAGTATTGCCTATCTGGAGCTACAACTTTTTCCCATCTGTCTGTTTTTTTTAATCACCACAAAATATGAGGCTGGCAATCCTGCGTTGTAAGAGAGCAATCAGCTGACATATAGGTTCATAATACCGCTCTACGCTTTGGCATCGGTCACTAACTGAAGCCTAGGTGCGTAGTCCATGTTCCGTTAGCGACATCGTGTTATTGATGTCTTTTTGAATACAATTGCGGACAGTTTTAACGATTGAAATCCAACAGAAAAAGAAATTACACCTAAAAATCATTTCTTGAATAGGATGAATGAGAGCAAAAGAAGGCTATAAGCACATATGTATTAATACAAATTCGTTTGAATGTATAAAGTATTATATCGCAATAAGTCTTATGTACCATATATCAAATTCTCAGAAATGCATACAAAAACCACGAAAATCCAACATTGTATACAGACCAACATCTTGCTGGTATATTAGACTCTTATCAACATGTTGCGCACCAGTTAGACAACATAACAACACTGCCGCATGTTGGCTACCGCCTGCTGCCATCACGATTAATGGCTTCAATGCGGCAACACAGCATGCGCTGATTTCAGTTTTCTGCGCATTTCCTGCACATACGGTCCACTCCGTCTAGACAGATGCCAGCGGTATGCTTGTACACTTGTGTGCAGTACAGTGATTCTTGCACACGGAAATTAATTGTTGACCACATTGAGGGACACAAAGTGTAAGTGCATGTGTGCAAATAGCATAGTATGCAGACATACATACATCTATACATATTTAAGTATATGTATGTAAATAGCGATATTAGCGCTTGAAGAAAATACTGTGATTCGTGTGTTTATGTACTCGGCCATGCCTATATGCACGGACAATTCGTTCTAAGCGTGGTTCATAATTCGCACAGTGCGCCAATTTTTCACCTGCTGCTGCATTATTACAACAACAGTACCAACAACACGCATACGAGGCCATAGCACCCACTACAATTGGAACGACGCAACTCCGCTGCTGCTGCTACAACAGTCGCCATTGACATTGAATTTCGTTTCAGTTAATTTAAACGCTTGCTGCATTCCGCTGTGATCAGTCGGTGCTGTCGAGGAGTGTCGTGAGTGAATGTGTGAAAGGTTGCATAAAATTTTTGTTAAATCAAATAAAAACTTTTGAAAACTTTTAAATTTAATTTAATTCGGTATTTATTTCAAAAGTGCTGCTGCAAATTTAAATTGAAATAATAATTTTGTTTCTGTTCACGCTTGAAAAAGGTAATAGCCACGTATATTTAAATCCTGGAACTAGATGTTGGTTGAAAAAATAGTAAAATTCACATCAAAACATGAGCGTATTTCGCACAAGTTGTGCACAAGTGAATCGTAAAACAAGTATTACAGGTGAATTATGACAGTTTTCGCGTCCAAGCATTTGCGCTAATTATAAACAAATATTTTAAAAAGTTAAATTTGAGTTGAAGAAATGATATTTATTTAAAAGACGCATTTTTACCTGCTACCTTTGCAAAATATGTATAGAAATGCAGACGAGTCTGTATTTATTTACACCAATATACACATTCTTACTTTTAACTCATATTTATATGTGTGAATTGGTGCTTACAATTTTTTTTAGCGGTTTAGCCTAGCTTCTCATTCTTTTTGTGGTACACATTTCTTGTTTCTTGCCAAATGTAGAGCGCTACAAGTTTTAAGTCACTTTCGCCGTCGATTTCTTTTTTATAATTTTATTTCAGATAGTATTACCAACGGAGACAACATATTGCTTATGGTAAGCAGTAATTAACAGGAATACTACAAAGAACATGCTATGGCAACATATAAAAACTAATAGAAGATTTTCTCACGGCACTTAATTTTTTTTTATTTTTTGTTTCTGTTAATTAATGTTAATTTAAATTTAACGACTTCAATTCGCAAAAAAAACGCAAAAAAAAAAAACGTTAACGAAAGTTATAATAGTCTTCACAGCTGCATTTCTGATAGCATAAAAGGGTATATAAATATCATTATCTTGATTTTGATTAGTCAGTTTTAGTAGTAGCTACGAGTACATGCCATAGTGGTTCAAACAATATACTCGGAGATTGTAGCGCTGACTTAAAAAAATAGTATATACCAAATTTTGTGAAGTTATCTTGTTAAATAAAAAGTTTTCCATACATGAAAGCCATTTTGGTCGGTCAATTTATATGCAAGCTTTATGCAATAAAGGTTCGATCTAAACAATTTATTAGGTTAGCGTAGCGCTGCCTTGAATAATAATCTTTGCAAAGTTTCGAGAAGAAGTTTTTTCAAATAAAAAAGTTTCCTACCCAAGAATTTTATTTTGTTCGATCAGTTTATTTGACAATTATGTCCTCTTGTGGTCCAATATCGACGATTCCGACAAATGAGCAGCTCTTTTGGGGGAAAACGACGTGTACAAAATTTAAGACCGATATCTCAAAAACTGAGCGGCTAACATAGTTCAGGTATATACCCACAAACTTATGTCTAAATGGGCTCAGCTCATCACGCTGATCATTTATATACGAGTATATGTACAGTTTATAGTGTCTTCGACGTTTGCTTCTAGGTATTACAAACTTTATGGCAAATTTAATATACCCTGTTCAGGGTATAAAAACGAAACTTATATGTATATAAAAAGGAAGTCCCCCTCTTTGTAAAATTCGTTCTTGTTTGATCTCACATTTTACTATTATTTTGCTTGATAGATAATTCCATAAAACAGCATTTGATTTGGTCTTTGAATGTTCAAAAACAAATTACGCCATTTTATTCTATAGAAATTGGCGATAAATAATTTTATAAAAAATGTATTATTCCTATAATGCTTATCATAAAATATAAGCCTGTTATATCTCCCTCGAGAAGCAGGAAAGTGAGACCAGCATTGGTAATGCTCTTTCAGTTCATCTTTTCCGGTTAATATACATATATTCTTTTCACTAATATTATAGATTTTTGCTTCTATTAGAACAATGAATATTATTTTATTCTTAAGATTCTCGTTAATAGGCTTAAAAATATGCCACTATACCTATTATTGGAGATTCAATATTGCCCGTTGGTATAGATGAATTAATTAGATTAGTAAAAATAAAAACAAAATATTTTCTTCATTATCAAATTTTTCGAACGCAACTGAAAAATTATACCAAACATTTCCTTCTTACCCTTGTCTCTTAATAGACAAATTTCCTTTGGCGAAGAAGTAATATCTTGCCTAAAAACCCATCAATGAATGAAGGAACATGTTATATAAAGATTTACTCACCCAATTTGAATATTTAAATTATGATGATATGATATGTGTTCAAAGCTGTCGGTAAAGAATCTTACAAACATTAAACGTATACTTCATTACATACAGTCCATACATAAAATTTTTTTATTTATCGAACAGCCCTCGTATTAAAAGTGGGGTAAATTTGGAAATAAACAGCGCACAATCGAATATATTATATCATATTATACATATTAGAAAATATGGCATCTACCTTTGTATGGTTTTATTTTACAACATCAAAAGTGATTAAAATTTGACCAAGTTATAATGATTTTTTTTTTCAATCATCAACTTGTCTGAAGGTCAACGCAAACTTTTGAAATTAAAAGAGCAAGGACAAAATCTGAAATTAGGGTGGTTTTATTTTTGTTCAGTAAATGAAGTGAAGCAAATAAAGATAAAAAAATAATTTCATAACACATATACTTATATACTTATATAATTTTATTCATCAAACGATCAATATCAAGGTAAAGACCTCTTTATACACTTCTATGCTATAAGAAATGCACCTGTGACGAGTATTATCGCTTCGGTGCAGCTGAAGTTAGCGTTTTTGCTTATTTTTGATAAGAAATTTTTTCTTTGATATCTAAACGTATCCGTCCTATTATTATATTTCTTCCATACTCGTTATTATGAAAACTTGAAAACCGTTTATAATTACGTAAAGCAGTAATAAATATGTATGTACGTACTCGTATGTGCATACTTCAATTCACCTGAGCACATGAATTATTTGCGTACTGTCGAAGGCCGCTGAAATGTGATGCCGCAAAAATCGATAATGTACACAACTTATTAATATGTACTCGACTTCATGCAGTACAGATAAGGAAATGGGATGCGGGCAGACGGCAAGAGGGGGAGTTGTGGTTATTGGTTACTACAGCAAATTTGAATATTATCAAAGCCAAAGCGTTTGGCGCGACACACATACATAGATTTACTTGCTTGCAGAGGCGCCCCCACAAGTACACAGAATGTTGAAAAGGCACAAAAGATGTGGGAAAACTTATTGAAAATTTAAAATTATTGTACATTTAAGCAAACGCATGCACACAGTTAGCTATAAATAAAATATGACAATGACATAATAGTATGTGTACCAAATCTTAACAGTTGTGAACAGTACCCTTACTTCCGGTAGCACTGTTAAAAATATTGAAATAAATTGCAAACGTTTGCCTTCAGGGTGGCTTCAGGTTTGCCTTTGCTTACGCATCTATAGACACGTGTAGAAGATAATAGCAACTCCGATTATTATATTTATTTTTTTTTTGTTATAATAGCCTTCGTTGGGCTTAGGTGATGAGTATGAAGAAATTGTACGCTCAAGCGGAAAAGCTTTGAAAGCATTTTTTCTGGAAAATGGGTAGATTTATTTGTTATCTCGCCTAAAGAAACGTTTCAACAATCAGGGTGGGTCAAAAATACGAATATTTTTTTCTGGTACTGGTACTGGTACTCTGAAAAATATGTAGGTTCTTAGACACCTTATTTTTGTAGAGCAGTAAATTCCCTACAAGACTGTGAGCTTTGCAATTTAAAATGATGAGTGCAGAGACCGTAATGATTATAAGTTTTATTTTAAAAACCACTTAATAATGATTATGGATTGACTTTTATCATTTTCTTCACCGATAATGATTAATTTTGATTAATTTTACAATAAATCATAATTAATTATTATTTTTGAGCAAAAACATAAAAAATAAAAAGTAATCATTATTTTTGAGAAAAAAAAATATAAAAATTATTTATATACTTTTCAGAGTACCAAGCGATAAAAAAATCTTTTTTTTTCACCCACCCTTATACATACATATGTATATGCAGATACATACATACTTGTAAACATAGCTTTTATCTTTGTATAAGTATTAAAAAGACATGCAATAGATTGTTGTTATTGTAAGTACAGTTGATTTATAATTGTTGAGTATTATATATTATATAACAAATCTTCTTATGTGGAACTGCTTCGCTTCAAAGTCAATAAAAAAAACAAGTAAGGAAGGGGTAAGTTCGGATGTAATCGAACATTTTATACTCTCGCAAAGTCAAATGGTATACTCGTTTGAGATTTCTTTGTGGATTGGCTGATATTTTCGGTAGAAGGTCAACTATAGGCATCGGGGTCCACATATTTAGTACTTAGGGACTTGAACAGTTCGATTTAGACAATTTTTGGTCACAAGGTGGCATACTTTAAACGTATTATTCACGCAAAGTTTTACCCCGATATAATCATTGTTGCTTGATATGCATAGTGGAAAGTGAAAGGATCAGATGGAATTGAAAATGGTGTTATATTGGAAATAGGCGTGATTGTAGTCCGATTTCGCCCATTTTCGCACTATAATATAGAAATATGAAGAGAACGTTATGCACCGAATTTTGAAATCGGTTAAGCAGATCCCAAGATATGGGTTTTCACCTAAAAGTGGGCTGTGCCACGCCCACTGTCTAATTCTGAACGCGGTTCCTATAAAATAATCTCATACCATCCCAGAGATAAAATTTAATGTCTCTGGCGTGTTTAGTGCTTGATTTATCGTGCTTTTAGTAGTTTTTAACAGTACCGTTATATGGGGAGTGGGCGGAGTTGCCACCAGATTTCAACTATTTTCACACCGTCAATAGAAGTGCTAAAAACATTTGCTTCTAGTGAATTTTGTTATTATAGCATTAGCGGTTTAGGATATATACACATTAAACCTATTAGAGGCGGGACCACACCCACTTTTAAAAAAAAAATTTTAACTGCAGATGCCCCTCCCTAATGTAATCCTGTGTACCAAATAACAGTCTTGTATCCAAGTTTCATAAAGATATCTCAATTTTTACTGAAGTTACAGCTTGCACGGACGGACGGACAGACAGTCACCCGGATTTCAACTCGTCTCTTCATCCTGATCATTTATATATATATAATCCTATATCTAACTCGATTAGTTTTAGGTGATACAAACAACCGTTAGGTGAACAAAACTATTATACTCTGTAGCAACAGGTTGCGAGAGTATAAAAACAATAAAAAACGTTAACTTCGGCTGCACCGACGTTATAATACCCTTCACAGGGGCATTTATTATAACATAAGAGGGTATAAAAACCTCTTTATCTTGATTTTCATAGGTCATATAATCGTCCGATCTGAAAAATATTTTCGGAGATTGTAGCGTGGCCTATGACAATAATATATGCCAAATTTAGTGTTGATATCTTGTCAAATAAAAAAGTCTTCCAAACAATAACTTGATTTTGATCGGTCAGTTCGTATGGCAGCTATATCCTATAATGATCCGATATCAGCGATTTCAGCATGATGCAGATGTTCTGCTTCTTGGAGAAAAATTACGTGTGCAACACTTCAGACCGATATCTTAAAAACTAAAAGACTAGCTTGTGTATGAACAGACAGACATTGCTAAGTCCACCCCGCTTCATCACGCTAAAAAAAATTTTTATTCCCCGCTGACTCTAAATTTACATACAATTAAAAATGATCCCTAATCCCTGTTTTTTTTTTTGTTTATTTGAAATAAATTGAACTCAACTTATTAAAACTTTTGGCATAATTATCTCCTCACACTCTCATTCGCACAGTTAGAGTCCATATTTCTTGGAATATACAGTACAGTATGATTTGCTTAAGGCCATTAAAAATTAATTAATTTTCCTAACCTGCAGACAAACAAACGCACGAATATATGTATATAGCTATGGATTCTGTAATATAATAGTAATTATTACGTATTTGCTAGAAACCAGAGAGAGAGAAGCAGCAGAATTACCAAGTACGAGTACTATATAACAGTAAGACTTGTTAAATTGAAGAAAATTACTGTATTAGAAAATGTAATTGTATTCAAGGGCAGAGTAAGCCCTGTGTGATGATCGTCTTTCACTTCAACTCATGCTCTTTATTATCTATTATATATAAGTACATGGATTGTCATTGTCTTCGGTAAATTTAATTCTTATTGAAAGCTTTTTTATATAATAACGGTAGGCTGAAAATGTAAGATTTCTTTTATTCATGGACGTTGGCAGCCTGAGAGAAAACTAGATGGTTCTAGGGACTTCTCCAAATTTTTATGTCGGGATTCTTCCCGTATATTAGATAGTGAGCTTTGGAAGTTTCTGGCAAATGGAGTGGCCTACAAAATTTAAGCGCACTGCGGATGGCGAATGTGTTTTTTTTTTTTAATTTTTAATTTCTAGCATAGCTCCGGTATACTCTCCCCCATCAAATGGATGAATGCAATGTCTTCAACAGAGTTATTATCCAGGCGGAAGACTCTCTTTTCAAAACAAGCCCTGTTGATTTTGAAAACATACCTGTTTGAAAACGACTACAATATTAAGTTCATTAGACTATCGTGCAGTGTCTGTCTACCAGCGTCGATAATGGCGCAGTTGAGTTTCGGGCCGCTTCAGCTTAGATACTTCTTCCTCGCCATCGACAATGTTCTTCTTGTCCGTCCCTGAAGGGGTTGGTCCAGACGCGTGTTGTTTGGTTCTTCTTGAAGTTTTAAGCGCCTTCAATCTTCAGTCATGACTCGGAAAGTTTTTTAGAGTTAGTGTGGGTTGATGTAGGGGCACTTAAACATAAAAGTATATTTTTTCTAGTTTTAATTTTACGTTTTTTTATCTACAATACAAAATCATCCGTACTAAAGTAGCATCAATTTTTCTGAAGCTATTAAAAAATCTCCACTAAATCAGGCGTTTCTCACACTCTAGAGCATTTCGTAGTCATTTGGTCTTTTCCTACTTAGTCAAACTTTGTCAAACTTACTGGTACGTGCCTGCTCAATACACAAAATTTTTTGGTGTTGGCCGTAACACTTCTAACAACTACACTATGGTGGACGCACTACTTTTTACCTAAAAGTTATAAGTACGTCTTGTATTATATGTCAAGAGTCTGAAAATGGATAGTTCTACATATGTTATTTTGAATAGTGATAAATATGTATATGTTTTATGGCAATATTTTTATGTCAAAAATGCAATCGAGAGACAACCGGGTCACTTTTCTCAGTGGTTTTTGGAACTTCGTGAAATCAGCTGTTATTATTAAATTTACTGCAAACTGTATGTCGGTGTCCTTTTTGAGTCTTGCAAATATTGCGGCACTGTGGGAACCAAGCCTAAATATACATACAGTGTTCCAATAAAGTCTTCGCACAGCACCTAGTTAAAAGTTTATTGATAAAATCAGCCACACGTTGCAAAAGTTTTTAAATTTTTTTTAATAAATATTTGTTTATGACACATTTTATTTTATATAAATTGAAAAATAAACCCTGTATGTATAAATATTCATTGTCAAACAAAGAGTAAAGAAACATATGTAAATATAAACAACACATTTTAAGAAACAAATATATTTCAATTATGACACACATACGCTGGTGCATTCGCCACTTGGCGAATATTCAATGCACTCGCGTCGAATGGCCAACGCTCTCACACAAGCTCATGAGTGCTATCTCCACCACTATCGGCACTCTCAGTCCGATTAGCACTACAGCTGGTGGTGGTTGTTGCTACGACAATGACCAAGTGACGGTGCCAATAGTCAGTTGTTCAGTAAGCGCCGATTTTTTAAGACGTGTGTGTGACATTACGCTTGCTCATCGCACAACTATCCGAAATAATAGAGTGTGCAAAGAGATAGTTTTATACGGTTTAGGTACGACAATACAAAACAAAAAGAAAATGAATAACGACACCGACAAAAACATGAATATTTGCCAGCTGCCAGAAGCTTTATCAACAACAACAAGCGGACAAGAGACAACAAAGGTGAAACCAATGAAATCAGTGCGTATTGTAATTATTGGCGCCGGCTCTGCTGGTATAGCTGCAGCCACAAAGCTCTTACAGTCGGGATTCGAAAATGTTCTGTTGCTGGAGGCTGAAAATCGTTATGGTGGACGCGTACATACGATATCTTTTGCGGACAATGTCGTCGATTTGGGTGCACAATGGTGTCACGGTGAAAAGGGTAATGTCATCTTTGAGACGGTGCGCGATTTGGATATGCTACAGCCAACAGGTGACATATACGATGACTACAAATGCGTGCGTTCCAACAAGGAACTACTATCCGAAACAGTCGAAAATACGCTAAAGTCGGTCGCCTTTAATTTGACACCCGCACGTCAGGAGGGCTTGAAGGGTTTCGAAGGTTCCTTAGGCACATATCTTACAGAGGCATTTTGGCGCGATTTACAACAGTCACCGGAGATTGATAAGACTGTGGCGCGTGAATTTTTCGAAAACTACAAAAAATTCGAAAGTTCAATAGAAGCCTCAGATCACCTTTTCGAAGTTTCCGGCGTAGGTCATCTCGAATATTGGGTATGTGAAGGAGATCTACTGCTAAACTGGAAAGATAAAGGCTTTCGCAGTTTTCTGCGCTTACTAATGAAGGCAAAGAAGGATGAAGCAGCTGCGGACGATATGGGACTGCTAAACAAACGCATACAATTCAATGCGCGCGTTCAAAACATTGAATGGCAAACGAAAAGCGGTGATGTGCGCATACGCCTTTGGAACGGTGAATTAATCGACGCGGATCATGTCATCTGCACCGTATCATTGGGTGTGCTCAAAGAAAACCATAAAGAAATGTTTACACCTGCGCTACCGCCAGCTAAATGCCGCGCCATTGACGGCCTCAAATTGGGCACAGTCGACAAATTTTTCCTAGAATTTGCTGAACCTTTCGCACCAGTCGATTGGTCGGGCTTCGCTTTTCTTTGGCGCGACGAAGACTTGGCGGAGCTGCGTAACTCTGAGTACTTTTGGTTGGAGAGCGTTTTTGGCTTTTATCGTGTCTCCTGCCAGCCGCGCATACTCCAAGGTTGGATAATTGGACCACATGCGCGTCACATGGAAACTCTCCCCGAAGCTGAGGTACTTAAGGCATTGCTTTGGCTCTTCAAGAAATTCTTCACATTTGAAGTGCCGCCACCGTTGAGATTTCTACGCACACGCTGGTACACTAATCCCAATTTCCGCGGTAGTTACACATTTCGTTCCGTGTATGCCGACGAGCTGCGTACAGGTGGTTGGGATATAGCCGCACCGCTTACTGCTGCCACAGACGGTAAACCGTTGTTACAATTCGCTGGCGAAGCGACGCATACACATTTCTACTCGACAGTGCACGGCGCGGTGGAGAGTGGTTGGCGGGAAGCGCAGCGCTTGATTACCTACTATCTGCGACGCACTTCACAACTATGAACAGCGTTGCGAAGGCGGATGTCATGGCAATATTACGAAAATCTACGGCGATAGCTTAATGAGTAGAAAAGATTATGTGCATAATTTGCTCACTATCTTGTTTTGTTTTATTATACTATGTGCTAGTATGTGTACCAGAGAAGCTGATAAAATACTGCACTTGTGTAGCTATTTGATATTGAAAATAAAATAAGTACTAAGTTAATAAGTACCTATTATATTACTGTTTTTTTTTTTACGGCTACATTGATTTGAGTCCATTATCTACGGAGCGGTAGTCGCTTTTACTTGTTGAACATTCTCCAAAAATTAAAAAGATAAACCAAAGTTAGAAAAATGCTGAGTCGTATATCTGGTACAAGTTAGATATAAGTTATACATATCAAAGTGATCAGGACGGCTCGGCGAGTTAAGTTCCGAATGTCTATCCATTCGTCTGTCCGTGCAATGGACAAATTAAGTAAAAATTGAGATATCGTGATGAAACTTGGTACACAACTTACTAAGTAGATTGGTGGAATCAGACCTTTAACACGCCCACAAAGTGCCGTTAATCGCATAAAGCCCTATAACTAAGCCGCAAAATAAGATTTAAAATTTGAGTTTGGTCTAGGGCATTGTTGAATGGAGCAGCATCGGTGACTCAACATTTTTTTAAGTGGACGCGACCCGCCACCTATTAGTTTTAAAGTACATATTTCATATACCACTAAAGTTAAAACTACTAAACTTGCTGAAAACTAGTTCTTGCTCTTCCTCATACACTATGGAAATGGACCGACCCCTCATATCACAGTTATGTTGTAACTACTTAACGATAACTCACTAACTAAGTACGTCAGAAGCATTAAATTTCACACCAGAGATGCTGCATAGTGTACAGTGGGCGTGGCACCACCCACTTTTGGATAAAACTTCATATCTCAGAAACTACCAAACCAATTTCAGCCAAAGTTAATGATTTTGATTTTATTGATTTGATTTGAAAATGGACGAAGTCGGACTACAACTACGCATTTTTCTCATATGTCAAAATTTAAATTCCATCTTATTCTTTACACTATATAAATATAGCATCAATTTAGTTAGCAAAATAAGTCTTTGAACCTATAGTGTATTCAAGGTTGAAAATCTTTTAATTTCTTTATCAAAAAATTACCGAAATCAGACTATAAAAGGGGACTATAAAATGTCAAGGCCCCAGATACTGAATTAAATGACTTCTGTGAATAAAACTGGCTTTATACCGAAAAAGTCGATCAATCTATGAGATATATTATTGAAACTCTCTATTTTCATGATTGTATGCTCCTGTGTCAAAAATTAATAAAATTGAGCCAATACCTGCCACTTAGATTTTTGAACTTTCATTATACCATATATATCGATCAGTATGTAAATTATTTTAATGAAATTCAATTCTTTTTAATAACGGTGTGTCCTCTGTACCGCTCTTTTGACTTTTTGGCACAGTTCAACTATCGCTTTAGCCTAGAACTAGTTTCCGACTAGGATATGCAATTTTTTTTTTTTAATAGCGACTGATCTTTGTTTAACTTATGCAAAAGTCGAAGTACGTGTCTACTATGACAGAGCCTCTCATAAAATCAGATAGTTCCTCGTAGTTGACTAAAAACTTGTATATCCCTCTCCACCGAACAACATCAAGAAGCACAGCAAAAAATCTAACATTTGACTTTCTGCATAGAATAAAGTTTTATTTGCTAGAATGCGACGTTACTATTTTCGAAATTTTCTTACTATATACATATTCCCAACCAACATCTAGTACGAATCTATATATAACCAAATACAAGAATAGAGTACAATACAGAAGAGTTAACTGATGTATATACAAAAAAATATTACAATTAAAATATAGATCACCAAACCAACTCACAGCCCAAAAAAGTTAATATATAGATTAAAACAAACAAGAACAACAAAACGAGCACAACAAACTCAAACCTTCGCCGATTAATTCAATTTCTAGTCATCAATCACATCATCTCCTTAGTGCAAACAAACAATGCGTCGTACATCAAGTGTGTGCCGCGTCAGTCATCCCACTTCCCATCCCACATCTATACCAGCAGGCAGCTCATCAACTGCCACAAAAATGCCAATAAATGCACGCGCACAAAGCGATGACACTGATCCGCATGACAGCGCTGACATACCGCGGCGTGAGTCCCTGCACAAGCCCACATGGCAATACAATATCCCCGGGCAGTCACAACCGAGCACAGATGCCACGAATGCGCCCAGCAAAAGCATAAATGTCACATCAGACTCAGACGATGAAGATGATGAGTATCTGCGGCGCCCAAGTATCGTTAAACATCATCACTACTATCAGGAGAAGGAAGTGCAGCAGCAGTTGCAGTTACCCACGAAACCGTTACAACAATTGCGACGTACCAGTCTACATGGCGGCGTTTGTTTCAAAAGCACCAAGAATAGCGGTAACACAAAAATTGCGCGACACCACACCATAGCAAGCGCTGATTTAAAACCGACTGCCGACAGTAATTTAACTGCGCGGCGCAGGAGTAGTTTGACACATTCGACACAGTCATTCGGATCGATGATGCACAATACTGGGGAACTATCAAGGACTGGCAATGCTCACGATACAACTGCTGCATGCCACAACTTTTCCAGATCTATGGATGGTGCAACATTTTGTAGACAGGCTGGGCGTGCGTTAATGCAAATGGTTTCGTTGGGTACACAGCCGAATGTCCAAGCGGCGCCGACAACTAGCAACGTCAAGACCTATGCTATAGGTGAGGAGGAATACGACATTATGGGAAAGGTGATGTCAATGAATCCTGTTTTTTGCTTATATTTTCGTATTCTATATAATTTTTAAGGTGATCATTACCACTTTTCTGATAACGGCTTAGAAACTAGCTTGGCCAGTAAAGCCATGAAGCGAAAATTCTCTACTCATTACTTACATGAGTCAGTTAAGACAACGATCACGCCTCATATTCATATTAAATATCTTAAGTCTCCAAAATTATTTTTATATTTTGTTGAATCAGATATTGCCGTTTCGTCATCCTATGATCCCCAAAGGATCATAGTGCAGAAACATGTATTTTCAAAAAAAAAGTGTAGCGATCTATATATTATATTATATAAGTTATTGAATATCGTCTTATATAATATTGTATATAAAATACTACTTGTTTTCCTAATTGCTTTTACTTTGAATTTCTATTAAAACGTAGACCTTCCTAAGTGTGTCAAACCTCTACACTATATACCTATGATATGAATTAAAATAAACTATTATTCAGCTTTTAAGAGCTTTTGGGTCAAAGTGAGTCTGTTTTTGAAAGAAATTTATATTCTTTTCACCTACCTGAGAGCTACACATAAAATATTGTGACTTTGAGAAACTTGAAGTCTTGCTCGTGCCTTTAGCTTCACCACCACCTTTAACTTTCTACAAGCACTTCAAAAATTCAAACTTATTTTGTATGGTCTTCATTTTACCCTCCGTTAATTGCTGCTCTGTAGGTTATTATGTTGGGCGACTCTGGTGTTGGAAAAACTTGTCTCCTGATTCGATTTTATGATGGAAAATACATGCCACACTACTATATAACTACAGTAGGCATTGATTATCGGGTAAGAAACGGCTCTGGCAACTGTCATCAGGGCTGGTGTGAAATGGACAAAACTGTTGCACGCGTGTCTTTCTTAACTTTGGTGTACGTACCTATTTGTTTGTTCTCCTTTCAACGCGTATGTATATATGTTCTAATTTTAATATACAATAGTAAATATTATAAGCCTGTCATGATATGATATTTATAAGCAATTGTATAAATGTTAAAATTAATCACTAAAAAATGGTGGAATACACTGAATGACAATCGCAGACTTAAGCTTACTCCATATGAGTAAATATAAATTATGCCTCACATTATCGTCACTGTCAATTTCTGAATATGTACAATGAGAATTTATTTTCAATTGGATTTTTTTTATATATCATAAAACACAGATTGTATGATTCAGGTTACTCATACGGCGTGTGTTCGTGTTTGCCGAATAATTCGAGTTCTAACATTTCATTTTAAATTTATATTGGTTTAATGCCACTTGCAATTTCACATACCATCTAATCAAATATGACCCGGACTGACAAAAAGCTCAACATATTCACATATAATAATACAAATATTTATTATCGCCTCCAAATTTGGCGCCTGAGCCAACATAAGCATGCCAATGCCTTCTCCAACATTTCATATACTTGTTGCAAGCCTCGATTTTGATTTTTTCGGTTCCGGCTTTTTTTTGAGCGCCATTGGCTACATTGTTAAACAGTTTTGAAGTTATATTCTTAAACCCACGTCTCGTCACCAGTAATGATGCGTTTGATAAATGTAGCGTTTCCAGCTACGTTGTCAAGCATCTCATTTACGATCTCTACTCGACGTCGTGTTTGCAAAAGATTCAGGTCTTTTGGTGCAAGTCTAGCATTGACTTGCTGCATACGCAAAATATAAACCAAAGTGTGTTGAGTCGATCCATAAGAGATCTTGAAATGTAATTGATGTTATCGTCATTAACAGAGGTGTATGGACGATTCGCATGAGGCAAGTTTTCGATGACTTCAAGAGCTTAACTGAAGGCTTTGTGCCACTCACGTAGTTGTGTTCGTTATAAAGTAGACTTTCCAATACACTTATGCAAAATTTTCAACGATTTTGTAGTTGTGATAACATTGAAAACTAAAAATTTCAAGCAAACTCGTGGTTCAAAATTTTTTTCCATATTAAAAACCGCATCTTCGCGTCGTAAAAAAACAGCTGCTAAACACACACTAATTGACATATGCAGATCAATTTTCACAAAAACATAAAAAACGTTATACCAATGTAGGCAAAAAATATTTATCGATTCGGATTGCGTGCACAGCCAAATGAATCCGTCTGGGTCAAATTTGATCAAATAGTATATAAAGAAGATTTTAGCAGAATTTTTTATCTCATGGAAGGAGACCTTGTATGGGAAGCTAGTAAAAAAAAAATGATTTAGCATAAAATAAGATGGATCAATAATATGCTAATCGCTTGAATGATTTCATTTTCTTTTATATTAAAAACTCAAAGTTCTTATATAGTGTTTATATTTTCTTCAATTAATATCCCTTAAATATAACTAACAGTCCCGGGTAGTTTGTAAAAGTTGTATTCCTCTTTTCGTGCTGTTTTATGTCTTTTGTGATATAGTTTGTTTATTAAAATTAAAATAAATTGCAACCTGTTGAAATATTCCTATCATATAAGTATACAAATGAGGGTGATCCGATAAGTACTTAGCCTACAAGAAGCGATGCTCAAAGTTCTTTGACCTGTTTGATAAATATAATACATATTCTGGAGTTCTGAAAAGTAGATCTTACTAGCGAATAAAATTTCTGTACGGCGAGTCACTTTTTCAAGTTCTTTTTACAAAACAGACGCAAAGGGCAAAATCTAAATAACACGGTGGCCCCGTATTGTCATGGTAGAATACTTTTTCTTTTCAAATTAGACGTTTTTTTGGCAACTCTGTGTCGAATCGGCGTTTACTGTCCAATTCTTAACAGTCGCCATCAAAGAAGAAGAGTAGCGATTTGACTAGTTTTCCATTTTTATCAAAAATTAAATTAAATTTCTTTTGACAACAGCCATATACGAGAATGTTGGATACGATAGCCAAACCAGCGATTAAACTGAGTACTTATCGGACCACTTTCGTATATAACCTTTTAGAAAAAAACATAACATAAAACAACATAAATCCTTCGCAGAGGACTAATAATTTGAAAATTCTCTGCTATAGTATCAACTTATATTTAGACGTATTACTACTTAAAATTTATATAATATTATAAGTAGTTAATATATAACATTCCAGTAAGTGTTCTATGGATTTACATATACCATCTGATCACATTTGACCCGACCTGGCAAAAAAAAAATGTTCACGCATTTTAATATAAATCTTTATTATAAAAAATTAAATTATCGATTCGGTTTGGGCGCGCAGTTTGAAGGGACAGTCCGAGTCAAAATTGATCAGCTGGTAAATACAAGGTGTGAATGTCGTATATATAATTATCGTATGCTTTAAATTGTAATTAAAACAAAGTGCTATTTAATGGCATGTATGTGAGTCCCATGTTTACTACTAACGTTTGCGTTTACGTTTATAAATACTGATTTTGTTTGCCAACCCTCTATTCAATACCATGTATACCTCCAGCAGTGTTTACTACAAATAGCATAAATTATATGTATTTTTAATATAAGCAAATAATATATACGTTTAAGTATAACTCTACACGCCTAAGTTTTTTATCTATACACATTTTTGCAATTATTAGAACAAAGTTGTGGTTGTGGATGGCACACGCGTCAAATTGCAAATTTGGGACACAGCTGGTCAGGAGCGTTTTCGCAGCGTCACACATACCTATTATCGCGATGCCCACGGTAAGTTGAAAGGATTATAAAAATTCAAGAGATTTTTTAGTGTCTTTTTTTTAATATTTTACTTTTCGTAGCACTTCTACTTTTATATGACGTCACCAATAAAACCACTTACGACAACATTCGCGCTTGGCTGGGCGAGATCAGAGATTATACTCAGGACGATGTTGTGATTGTGCTTATTGGTTTGTATTCAAATACATACATATACAATACACTGTTTTATTTAATTTCAATTTAGCCAGGCAGAAATATACATGTATAGATATAGGGTGCTTATTTTGGGGGTTTCATTTCTGTAAAAACTTAATTTATAAGATACTTTTTCTACCAATATGGACTGACAAAAAACTACATTTTCAAGTATTTTAACACAAATTCTTATTATCGCCTACAAAATCAGAAGCCTGGGCCAATTTGATACAAGTCTAGCATAGATAGTCGATCCATAAGATATGTTCGGACCCTCACACGAACATAGAATATATTACACCAATCTAGGCTAGGGAAAAGCTTATATTCGATATGGATCAGTCCATGTGAAAATTCAGATAGGTGTATGTAGTATAGTACCTAAGGTCTAAAACCAAAAAAATATTAAAATAATGGCTGTAATACGATTTCAAGACACCTCGCCCGCCCCATATACCATATTAGCAAAATTATTAGTCTTAAAAATTTCAAAATTGTTATCAATTGTGAACTCGTAAGTCTAAATAATTTAAAATATATTATAAAAAAATTTGGATGCAATAAAGGTAACAAGGCGGACTGCAGCAATAGTGAACGACAAGTGAAACGTGAGGATGGCGAACGTCTAGCACGTGAGCACAATGTCCCCTTTATGGAAACATCAGCAAAAACAGGATTGAATGTAGAACTTGCTTTCTCCGCTGTGGCTAGGTGAGTTGTACAAATAAATGAAGTAGTTCAGATATTTAAGAGCTTAAACTAATTGATAACATCAGTTCATTCGACAAATTTAAAACAAAAAATTTTTTTTTTAATTTCCAGGCAATTGAAGTGTCGCGGCACCTTCAATGGCGATGATGGCAAATTCAATGTTCACGAATACGTACGCGATAATACACAAGCACGCACAATGTGTGCTCAGTGCAAATCGATGTAGACATAGTAGAACTGGGAATTATCACAAATACACCCATACATAATTACTTGCCAAAAAAAATTATAAATTTGAAAAAAAAAACTGAAACAATTAAATGTATAAACTAATATTCAAAGCTTTATAAACCGTCTTTTAAATTTGTGGGCTCAATCTGATATATCACAAATCATCTCTTAATTATAATAGACCTAGAATATTTTCCGTTTTCATTACGTTTGAAATTAAAATTAGTTTGTAGATAAGATCGTGAATAGAGGGAATCCGGAAATTAAACAATTATTAGCAGAATTATTTGTATTTCAACAGAGAACGTATATTATATGATATGATTTAAACGGCTACAGCATACAACAACAACAACAAATTTAATTGGCAGAAAATATATGGCTGCTTTTGTATGATTCGTTCACATCGAGGCGGCGCAAAGCAAAGCTAACCAAAATGTTGCGCAACTTTCATCTTTTTACGCTTTTCCAAGCAACAGTCGCCATTTTTATTACAAAGAAGCGTGAAAAGCCAAGCGTTCCTTCTAACATACCCTTTGCTTTCTTCGCTTCTTTGCTGAATTATGAATTGTGAAGCATGTATATGAATCAGCTCTGTATTGCATCTATCGGTTAAATCATTTGTTAATTACTCAAGAGCGCTACAAGAAATTTCCGTTAAAGTTTCTATGTGTTTCTTAAAGCGAACGATAAATATAACCGAAAATCTTGTTTTAGTGTATCATTTATCTCTTATTTATGCATTGGGCTTATGAGCTGCACGGTGCATGGATAAGTTTCCACGCTTACTATTTCAATGTTTTAGATTTCCAGTAGTCATCACTTGCTGAAAAACATCCACTACATAATAACTTTCATTATAACTCTCAACTAATAGAGAACGTATATATACGTTCTCTGCAACTAATTTAAAAAATCTCTTATGGCAACATTGTAAACAGCCACTATTATGTCAGAGAATGTAGATTATATTTTACATCCTCTGCTATTATGTGTCATTTTGACAATTGGTTTTTTGACATTTGTATTTTGCGGTGAACGTGCTTTCATTCGAGACACATGGTATTTTGTTAAATATTTTCGAGTTTCTTAATCTTTGTATTATTGGTATATACAATAATTTAGCAAAATGTCTGAGGTGTTTCATCGGCCTGGGCCGTTAAAGCAAACCAATAAAGCTCACAAAACTGGGCGACATCGATCGAAAGGAGCTATAGAAAATGCATTGAAAGGTCGGGTTTCACTTAAAGTGGTGTCGCATAAACACAAACAAGAACAACGAAGAGAGCAGCGTAGACACCAAATGAATCAAGTAAATCATATATATTATAAAAGTTTATAATAATATATAATATAATATATTTAATGTATAAATAAACTTCTTTTAAAAGATGCGTAAAAAGAAACGAGAGGAGGCGAGATTAGAAAAATTACAGTTAGGAACTCAACACAGTGCTCCATTCATGGTTTGCATATTGCCAATGCATCAACAAATTGACGCGAGGTCAGCTTTAGCTATATTAGAGAGTTGCGACCCTGAATCTGTTGTGCAAAGGACAGACACTGGAGTTACCTATATAAATCTACCACGTTTCAAGCAAAGATTTTCTTTCATTATTCCACCAATAGGCCGAGGAAGTGAGGTAGAAGTGTTGGATTACTTAAAGACTTGTGATACGACCTTACTGTTAACTTCTGCAGCTATGGGAGAAGATGAGGTATTTGATCGGTGGGGTCACCGTATTTTCAATATGATATCTGCTCAAGGAATACCCTCTCCAATAGTAGCACTAATGGATTTAGAATCAATAAACCCTAAAAAGCGAGGTGATGTTAAGTCGTCTGTTCAGAAATTTATTTCAAAGGTGTTGCCGAAAGAAAAAATTATGCAACTGGATACCAATGCCGAAGGTCTCAACGTTATGCGCCGTATTGGTGGACAAAAAAAGAATATACTTCCAAATAAAACAAATAGGCCTCACTTATTCAGTGATAAAATTGAAATTGCAGCTCAGTCAAATCAATTAGATAATAATAATACTTTGAAAGTAACTGGATTTTTGCGTGGAGCACCACTTAATGAAAATTCACTTGTACACATTCCTGGATTGGGAGATTTTCAAATGCAACAGATAGTTTCAGCACATGATTCTTTTAAATTAGATAAACGAACTGAACAATTACAAGTACAAGTTCGAGTAGCAGACCAACAGAAGCAAACTACATTGCAAAAAGAAAATATACCAGATGCTATGGATGCAGAACAGACATGGCCAACTGAAGAAGAAATCAAAGCAGCACAAGAAGAAACAAAGAAAACTAAGTTAGTCAAACGTGTACCTAAAGGATGGAGTACATATCAGGCTGCTTGGATCCCAGATGCTGAAGCGGTTGAAGCAAAAGATGATGCTAGTAACGATGGAAGTGACATGAGTGGTAGTGATGAGGAAAATGAAGATGATGAAGATGAATTCATGTCTTGCGAAAATCAATCTTTCGACGGAGAAGTGCAAAAGCCCGATTCAGATACAGAAGAGTTTGTGGAAACAGCTTCGGTATCAGACGCTGCAATAAATGAAGAAAAATATGATCTCCAAATGGACTTTCATGAAGAACGCGAAACGATGAAAAAACTAAAGGAAGCTCGTGTCGATGAATTGTGGCCGGATGAAATTGATACACCGCTAGATGTAGAAGCGCGAGACCGCTTCCAAAAATATCGTGGTCTAGAATCGTTTAGGTAAATAAGCTTTTGTAACTAATATTTGTGTTCATGTATATATTGTGTATGTTTAATTGAACAGAACCTCTCCATGGGATGTGAAGGAGAATTTACCTTATGATTATGCGCGCATTTACCAATTTCAAAATTTTGATCGGACAAAACGTCGAATTATTTCCGAGGCTAAGGAAGTTGATGGATTTCAGGTGAAAGTTTAAAATAATATTTTCTTCGAATATTTGCTGAATATAATTTATCTTATTTAGCATGGCGCCTATGTAACCATATACATCATAAATGTGCCGCAAACTAAATGGTTGGCCTATATATCAGCGCGTCAAACCAAAGGTCTTGTCATATATGGTTTACTACCACATGAGCACCAGATGTCAGTGATGAATGTTGTGCTTAAGCGACTGCCCGATTCTGAGGCACCAATAAAGTCAAAAGAGACTTTAATTATACAATGTGGATATCGCCGCTTTGTTGTAAATCCAATTTTCAGTCAGCATACAAATGGAGACAAACACAAAGTAAGTTAATATTTTGAAAACTTAAAGCAATCAAATTAAACTTGTTTATTTATAAATTACTTTCAGTATGAACGTTACTTCCGACCACACACAACCGTCTGTGCTACTTTCTTTGCACCAATTCAGTTTCCCCCTGCTCCTGTACTAGCTTTCAAATTAAATCCCGATTCAACTTTAGCGCTAGTCGCACGCGGTTGTGTGCTTTCCTGTAATCCAGATAGAATAGTATTGAAACGAATTGTCTTAAGTGGACATCCAATGCGAATCAATCGCAAATCAGCGACAGTGCGTTATATGTTTTTCAATAAAGAGGATGTCGATTATTTCAAGCCAGTTAAACTACGCACAAAATGTGGGCGCTTGGGTCACATAAAAGAATCTTTGGGAACTCACGGTCACATGAAATGTATGTTCGATGGACAGCTACGTTCTTATGATACAGTTTTTATGTATCTATATAAGCGGGTATACCCGAAATGGACCTACGAGGAGTGTCTGATATGTAGCGATAAAGATGAACACCAGCTTGAGGACGAAAAAATGGAATAACTCGATTAACATATATATTATAGTAAATGTACTTTTAATATTTATTACGAAAAGTGCAAACCCTATAAAGTTTTCAATACATGAACATTGTTGTTTGTTATTATACAATACACTTTATGGTGTTTCTAAAAAATACCCTGTGAGGAATGTAAGTAATTAGGTTTGGAACAAAACCAAGTGACTTCAGGAAATGATCTGGACTGGTTTGTTGTAAATAAATAATTGCTATCTGAGAAAGTATCTATTTAATTTGCAATTGCGATTATCTATAACATTTCTTAATTGTAAAATATATTAAATAAAAACAAAAGTATATAAATATACATATATAAAAAAAAACTTGAATTGACTTGTCTATAAAGCACAATTTAATGGATTTTTCATGTTATATTGGTCAAGTAAAAAATTCGTTCGGGATTTTATTGATTTTTCAAAAGATGATAACTCTGTCTACATTTGTCCAATTTAAGTCAAATATGCGCCGTTTTGTTCGTAAACTTGTTGCCAACGAGATGCCAACTTCATTATACCCCTCTCATAGAAGGCTGCGCCCCTATTGGCAAAAAACTCGGATAGCCAATTTTCACAGGCCTCTCTTGACGCCAACTTCTGACCATTAAGCGCGTTCGCCATGGACAGGAAAAGATGGTAATCACTTGGTGCCAGGTCCGGGCTGTAAGGTGGGTGCATTAGAACCTCCCATCCGAGGTCCCGGAGCTTCTGGCGCGTCACCAAAGACGTGTGTGGCCTGTCGTTGTTCTGATGGATCACAATTCGGCCTTCGTTGATCAAAGATGGCCTCTTCTGGATGAGTACTGCCTTCAAGCGGTCCAGTTGTTGGCAGTAGAGGGTCGAATTGAACGTTTGGCCATAGGGAAGCAGCTCGTAGTAGATGATTCCTTGCCAATCCCACCAAACACACAGCAAAACCTTCCTGGTTTGGGCCGCTTCCCCGATCTTTGACCGCGACCGTTTGCGCTCGATGTTGTCATAAGTGACCCATTTTTCATCGCCAATCACAATCCGCTTCAGAAACGGGTCGATTTTGTTGCGATTCAACAGCGATTCGCAGATGGAAATTCGGTCCATCATGTTTTTTTGCGTTAGTTCGAATGGTACCCAAACATCGAGCTTCTTTTTTAATCCAAGGTTATGCAAATGGTTCCAAACGGTTTTCTGGCTTATCTTTAGTTCCTCAGCAATTAAATAAGTGCTTACGTGGCGGTCTGTTTCCACTATTTCCATGATTTTATCGCAATTTTCGACGACAGGCCTCCCGGCGCGTGGTGCATCTTTGACATCGAAATTACCGGAACGGAACCTAGCAAACCACTTTTGTGCTACACGTTCGTTTACAGTATCAGGCTCATAAACTAAATTAATTTTTTCAGCCGCTTTGGCTGCTTTTTCGTTTTGATCGAAGAAAAATTGTAAAATATAGCGAATTTTCTCTTTGCTGGTGTCCATCTTTCATTGTACAAATCATGGTACCCCCTCCCCCCCTTTACCAAGGATGACATGATGCGAGACTCTCTCATATTCGATGATTTTTCTGTTATTCTCTTTCCCTGATTATTAAAATCAGGGAATTTCGAACAGCTGATGTCAAAAAAGGCGGGATGCCAGAAATAAACCAGCTAAAAATAGCTAACAAAAGCAGTACAAAACGAAATTTCAAGGAACGACACAAATACATTTGAATAACGTGCAACTAAATTTTATTTGTTAATTTAATTTAAAACGTTCATTATAAAACCATGATCTTTTATTATGACTTGTTTTGTTTCTTTGTTATAATTTTTTTTTATTTATATGCAATTATTTTATGTTATATGATTTTTAAAAAATTTTATAATATAAATACACGTATATAGGGATGTATATGCGTTATAAAGGTCTACTCGGGGACGGAGCACCTAAAAATAATATTGAAATACAAAATACCCAAACGTTTTTTTTATAATACCCAATCCATTTTCTTTCGACAGTGGCATGATTGGCAAATGTTATAAAAAATGTGGGTTTTGACAGCTCTCTCTCGATTCAAAGAGTCTCATCATTTCATACTTGCCTTTACGATGCTCAAAACATTGTAAAAGTCCACAAGTAACCAATCCTAAGATTTGCACTAATCACACGCAGAAATGTCCACTTGGTACGGGTTGCCTCGAAAGCTCTTCTACTAAAATCACACTTTGTACGGGTTGCCAACCAATATTCTACAACTAAAACGTCCAAATGATAGAAATCTGCTATAGTGTGTTGCCGCGTTATGTTTTATAATTTATAACTTTAAGCTTTAACTTTTTTTATATTTATTTTTGTTTTTGCTAAAATTAATACCAGTAGATTGTTTTCCCTTTTCGAGTTATAATTGTTATGAAAAGTAGATTGCTTTAGAACTGTATATTTTATATGGGTGATTATAGGCCTCCTTAGGAACCGAACACCCAAAAAAGATCGATAAAGCGCCTATATTGCAACCTCAGAGGTGGTAAGGAAAAACAATAAATATATAATAGTCTTTTGTTTCAAAAATATTCTTGAAAGTTTTCATTATTATTTCCATTACAAATACATGTTCATAAACAAATTGTTAAAGTACATTCTTTTATTTAAAACTCTGTGTCAAAAAAAGGCATATTCGATCAGGTGATCGCGGCTGATTCACACTCATAGGAAAACAGCTAATTCTTTGGCTACTTGTAGGCTTAAAACTTTACTAGAAAATCTTTTAGCGCAAATAAACACGCTTTAGCGCCGTATAGTATGACATGATGCGACACGTAACACTAGTACAATGGGCAATAACGTCATCTCTCAGATAAAAACCGAACGAACTTTTTACTTGACCATTATTTATATTTCCTTACAATTTAAGCCAACTGAAGATAATTATTTTATTACTAGGTTTGTTAAATGTTCGCTAAAACATTCATACCTTAAGGAAATTTTCTAAATTGCTTTTATGAGTACGATACTCACAGTATTTCCGATCAATTTATGTATTTTTTATATACATAATTGCATTTTTATCATAATTATTATTTAATTGTAGTTAGCCATTATATTGCATTTTCCGCAAAATTCCTCAATACAAATAGATTTTCATTAGAATCCGCCAGATGTCGCTTCAAGCATAAAATGACATTTCATTTGACACACTTTGAGACAGACGTGTCAATAGACAACGAAATGAAGATTGATGTTTTGTTCGCGGCGCAGAATCTTTTCACATTATTTTTAATTTTAACTAAAAAAAATTACAAATCTTAAAACAAAACTATTGCCCCGTCGCGTAGCAAATACTAAATTCACCTGTTGTTATCTAAAAAGTGCATCAATAGAAACTTGTTAAACAAGAAGTCGAGAAAGTTTGTAAGTTAGCATGGCGGGGCAAAAATTCCAGTATGATGAAAGTGGTGGAACATTTTATTATTTCCTACTATCATTCCTCGCTCTAATACTTGTACCAACAACCATTTATTATTGGCCACGCAAGAAAAAGGAAGGTAAGTTCTTTATTGGGAGTAGTGACTTTTTTTTAAACTGATTCACTGAATTTTCATCTTTGCATATGAGTAATTTCAATGTAGCACATAGGTTTATGTTATATTATTCACAATCCAGTAGTTAAGCGGAAATCCATAACCATAACCGCAGTCGACACGTTCTATTAAGAAGCAATGTCGTCGTACTTGGTGAAAGCGGCAAGTTGTATTAACAACAACATCAAATTATCACGATGTGTCAAGATCGGTGAATCGAATGCCAAGCGTAATAATGTGAAAAGCCCGACTTGATAAATTAACTGATTAAGCTGACAATTGTATGTGGGGTAGAGAAATATGTGTTAGATACATTTATTATTGCCAAGTTTACACAGATATATAGTGCATACGCGCGTTGAAAAAGCTCTTTCAATAATTGTTACATTAAAACCCATGCATATAATTTTTTAAGCTTTAACTATCTTAAGCTATCAGTTAGGTGAATATGCTACATATAATATTAAAGTATAATCAAAACTTTTCACAAACCCTTTTTTTTTTTGTATAGTTGTTTACATCTTTCCTATTCTTTTATAGATGTTAATAAACGGAAAGAGGAATGCTTATGCCCAGACTGTATAAAGAAAAAAGCGATATTGGCGGCCGCAGAGCCCTATCGTTTGCTGAAATCATTACTAATTAAATTGTGTTTGGTATTTGGTTGGGCACTGCTTGTATTACTTGCATATCGCGTGTCACAATTTGATTATGAAATGGCCAGTTTCGATCCATTTGAAATTCTACAGTTGCCCCCCACCGCCTCCATGGAGGAGATAAAGAAAACGTATCGTGAATTGTCAAGAGTACTGCATCCAGATAAACCAACTGGTGATGAAAAATCGTTCATGATGTTGCGCAAGGCATATCAGGCACTCACAGATGAAACAGCCAAGCAAAATTATGAGAAATATGGCAATCCTGATGGACCCGGTGCAATGTCCTTTGGCATAGCGTTGCCATCATGGATCGTTGAGAAAGAAAATTCCGTATGGGTACTTGGTCTATATGGCTTGATATTTATGGTGGCTTTGCCGTCTGTAGTAGGCATGTGGTGGTATCGTTCAATACGTTTTTCAGGTGATAAAGTTCTGTTAGATACCTCGCAAATGTATTTCTATTTCATACATAAAACGCCACATATGTTATTAAAGCGCGCTCTAATGATACTTGCTGCTAGTTTAGAATTCGATAAACGGCACAACTCGCAAGTCGTTGAAAGACAATCGGACAACGAAGAAGTACCAGCAGTAAGTACATTATGTTTTACATTGTTAACAAACTTGTAAAATAATTTCTTGTTTTCATTAGCTCATTCGACAATTGCCTAATCTAAATGAAAAGTGCAAAGAGCACCCTCTCTGTCGGATGTATTCGATCAAAGCACGCGCTATATTACACGCTCATCTCTCACGTATTCCTCTTAACGCAGAAACACTAGAGAAGGATCGTCAATTTATTGTTAAAAAGTGTCCATACCTAATTCAAGAAATGGTGTCCTGTGTACATCAATTAGTTATGTTGGCGTATGCGAGACGAGTGCCACGTCTTCCCAGTATTGAGACTATAGAAAACTGCATGAAAATGTCTCCTATGATTATTCAAGGTTTGTGGGACTACAAATCTCCTTTACTTCAATTACCTCATCTCACTGAAGATCAGCATCTTTACTATATCAACAAAAAAAGACATATTAAAAATTTGCAGCAATTTGCACAGTTAAAACACGACGAAAGTAGGCAACTGTTAAAAAGTCTCTCCGACTTTGAGTATGAAAATGTTATGAGAGTTTTGGGAAAATTGCCACTGATTGATTTCTCCATTCGCTGCGAAGGTAAAAAAATAAACATTTTTAATCGACCATCTGTTTTCAAATAAGTATCTATATTTTTCTATTAGTTATCGATGATGAGAATACAAATGTTGTAACTGCTGGTGCAATAGTTACGGTAACGGTAACATTAGTGCGTAAAGACATGAAGACCTTATTTGGTGATGCCAAAGTACCAGAAAAACAAGGTATCAAGTAAGTACCATCCGTTTTTTTTTCCAAAAATTTCTATTATATTGTATATGTTATATACGCATTTTTTTCATCATCTTCTTTCTAGGGATGACGATGAAGCAGCAGCCGGTGGTGGAGGTGATGAAGAAGAAGGCGCTTCAGCCGCAGCTGCGGTACCAGTTAAAAAACAATCTGCTTGGGGTAAACAACGTAAGGGTAAAGGTGGTAAGGGAGGCAAGAAGTCTGCTAATAATCAGAAGCGGAAAGCGCCTCCTGCTACCGTTGCACAAAGTAAAACTACAGCATCTACAAATGCTGAAAGTCACGAGCATAATGACGACTCTGACTCTGATGCTGATGCGAGCGATGTGGAGGAGAAAGATTGCTCGGGCGATGAGTCAGACAGTGACAAACCACATAATAATAAGAGTGAGACATATGATGATGATGATGACGATGAAGCTTGGGAGAGGCTACAAGCCAAACTTAATAAACGTGAAAAGCTTGAGGGTAAATCTCGTATATCTCACACAGTACATTGTCCTTATTTCCCGGAAGAAAAACAGGAATACTGGTGGACATATATATGCGATCGTAAGTCTCGTTCGCTACTCACAGCTCCATACCATGTCACAAGTCTGGTGGATAAGGAGGAAATACAGTTGAAATTTACAGCACCGCGTTGGCCGGGTCTGTATACATTTACAGTATGTTTAAGATCAGGTATGATTAAAAGAAATGTGCATGTATGTCTTGAATGCGATTAATTACAAATTAATAAATTTTCTTTAGACTCGTATCTGGGCATGGACCAACAGCAAGAATTGAAATTGGACGTTAAGAAAGCGCCCGTCCCACCTACAGATCACCCACAATGGGATCTTAGCGAATCGGAGCCAGAAAATAATGAACAGCACGAAAACTCAAGCGACTTCACGACTGATAGTTCCGAGGATGAGGGTACTGACTAAAAACCTTAGATTGTATTGCAATTGTATAATGATCTTACAATATTTATAGTTCATTTTTTATACAATTTGGTTTTCAAATCTCTTACTTTCTTATATATGTTTGAATTGATTGGATATATTAAAGAAAAAATAAGAATTGCTGGGCGAATTCAACTAAATACTAATAAACTATGATTAAGAATAAATTTTTGGAAGCATAATATTGCTATGGTTTTTAGAGAAAATAGATACCTATTTCAAACAAAGAAATAAAATGTGAAAGAAACCTAAAAGATAATACAAAAACAGACGAAATCTTTTTTTTAATGATAAATAATTTTGCTAGTTTTGTATTTACTTATTGAATCCAATTATACAATTTGAAATCAACACATGGAAAGCAAGAAATAATAAAAAATGTTTAATAATGTAAATTATTAAAATTGATTGAAAACAAAATAAATCAATTTAATTCTTATTTAGTGTTAGTTTTATGCGGGTGATGGTGGTCGTCATTAGTATAAGAAACAAGAAAACCCGTTAAATTCGTTTGCACCGAAGTGAGAATACCTTCATAATTAAAAAAGTTTCCATACAAGAACTTGATTTTGATCGGTCGGTTTGTATATGAATATTGTAGCATTGCTTTGGATAATATTCCTTGCGAAGTTTCCTTAGATGTCCTGTCAAATGAAAAAAGTTTTCCCTACAAGAACATCACTCTGATCATTTAGATACTTTTCATATATATTTTATATGGTGTCCGACGTTTCCTTTTGAGTGTTACAAAATTCGTGACAAACTTAATATACTCTGTTTAGGGTAAAAAAATCATCAATGAAATAAATACATACAAAACTTTAAAACACATACAAATTTCTTCAACTTAAAATTCAATATTTATTGACTGATGAATGTATATGTATAACAGTGAATTTATTTAATTCGCAGCTGCACGTTTCTCGCTCTCAAGTAAGTCTTCCACTTTGGCATGGGTGACATTATTCCGCCGACTGGTTTGTGTGACCCTTTCATTGTCGCTTACTTTATACTGGCAAAAATTCAAATAAAATATATATATTTTTATTAAAGAAGTATGTATGTATGTAAAGTATGAACGAAGTAAGTAAGTAGATAATTACAAGGAGTATGTTGTCTTGTGTTTACTACGTTCAGTGCCTTTTGGTGATTCATGATCAAATTTACAAATAATGACTAATGAAGTGCTTGGGGATAACTTCAAAACCATTTTAATGTGAGAAATTAAGGACGGTGTATTTAATAAAGAAAAGTTAATTAATGTATGTGTATTATAACCAAAACCTAAGCAGTCGATCGCGGAAGAGGTTTCTCTTAATTTTAATGTTATTATCACTATTCAATATCATCGTGATCGTTGCTAGCAATCTCTTCCCTTATGTCATCTTTATTTGATGCGGTATCTTTTTCCTTATCAATAACTTCTTCCACTGTGCTTGATTCTTCTTCCTCATCTTCTTCTTCGCTCGTTACGTTCTCTTCACTTGCATTCTCATTATCATCGTTATTAGATTCTACAACATTTTCCTTTTTATCTTCTGCTGTCTTTTCACTCTCTTTTTCAGCAACTTCATTTGTGTCTTCAACATTCCCAGCACCATCATTGCCGGTATTATCTGTTTCTTCGTTTTCTTTTTTACTTTTATCCACATCATCCTTCTCCTTGTCTTCAGCATTTTCTTCTTCTTTTCCAGCAACTGGCTCGACTTCTTCATCTTTGTCATTATTGGTAGCTGCGTTCTCTGTTTCTAATTTTGCGATTTCATCTTTTTGCGTGTCTTTCTCCTTATCCTCTTTCAAAGAATCTGTTTCCACCGCCGTATTTTCTGCTTCTGTGAGACTTTCTTCTTTCTTGACTTCCTCCGTTGCATTGTCTTCGGCTTCCGATTTAATATCCGTTTTATCTTCCGTTTCTTCACTGGATTTATCTAATGGTTTGCAAAATTATTTAAGTAGTTTTGTTTTGTTTTAATTATATTTGCGTATATTCAACCTTAACACTGTTACATTTTACCTTTCGCAACTTCCGTTTCAGCTGTGTCTTCAGCATTTTCGCTTTTTTCTTCGTCGTCGGGTTTAGTTTCCGTTTTTTGCGTCTGATTTCATATCAGTGATATTTTTATAAATCCATTATAATTGATTAGGGTATTTTTCCAATGTGCGGGGAAAATGGAGATACATATACATACATAGGTAAAGTATTAAAAGTGTTTAAAATGGGTATATTCAATATATAAGGCTCCAATTCTAAGCAATGCAATGCATTGGTCATGCAATTAGCGAAGCATTAAATGTAACGGCTAAATATGTAGACACAAACCTCGTTCGGATCGTCTGCTCCATTATTTGGTTTTGTATCGTCACTGTTTGACTGCTCCTCAGTCACTTCTTCTTCTTTTGCAATCTCTCCTTTGTGTTGTAAGTTAGTTAGTGACTTTAAAAGTACTTTACATATATATATGTATGTAGTTTACCTATGGATTTGTCCCCTTCTGTATCGGCTTCGGCCGTTTCGGATTTGTCTTTCTTTTCTTCATTTTGTTCCACCTGCGTTGCATTTTTCAAGATCACAATAAATTATTCAGTTTCTTGTTGGCAGGTTAGTAAAAGAAAGCTCCAAAGCGGCGATATTTTTATTGGCGTTGCAGTTCTCGCTAGACGACAGTTACACAAACGTACAAACACATGTTACATGCATACCGCGCTACACATAATAACGCTTACGTCTATCAAAACACATTAAACGCCAGCGCAGTGCGTAATAGTTAAATTTAAAAGCACATTAAGAATTTCTTCAGTAGTTTTACATGAGCGTTGAAACTGGGAATAATCAACTAATGCGTGGTATATACCTCCAGCACACTCGATTCGTCTCAAGAACCTACTACCATCATTTACCGTTAAGCATACAAGTATAACGTACATGGCTATGCTACGTCGCGGCGATTTAATTATCTGACTCAATATCCAGACAAAAAAAAAGAAAGTACATGGTTTTATTATTGTATAAATGTATTTTATGCTCTTTACACAGCAGTCGTTTGTGATATACATACATAATAATATTGAATTGATTCCTTCAATTAATTAGATTTATCTTTTCATAAGCATGTTCCTTTTTCAACCAATATGGCAAGTGAAACTAACTGTCATACGTTTATGAGAGCAAATGTTTATATTAGGACTTGGTTAACAATATTATTTGCACACAATTATTATGGTCTCATATTAATTATAAATAATTTCAATTATCAAAAGTAGGAAAATTTACGTTGTTACTTCTAAGCTGTAAACTAACAATTCAACGTTCATTTGTTGTAATTGTTTTAGCGACTTCAATTTATAACTATTATTTGCGCCCCTTTGTGACGTGTGTTTAATTTTGTGTTTAAAATGTATTTCCAGTTTATCATTGATGTTGATACTACAATATATTTCGCTCCCATGAAGAAATTCTTCGTTATTAAATACTTGCGCATGAATCAAATATTGTGTATAAAAAAGTTATTTTTATTTATTAACAACTGATCTCAATCTCGCGGTAAAACATTTACTATCGTATGTGCAAAGTAGCAAAGTATGTACTGCACACATACACAAACCCATAAAGTTTAGTATTACATGCAATGAATAGAACCATACTAAAAGTATGATATATCATATCAATGATTTAAATTTAATCGTTATTGACGTTTTAAAGATAAATGAAAAGATACGTATTTAGAACTTGTAACTTGATTTAAACAATAAACCACTAAGATAAGTAATAATTTTCATTGGATATAAAATATAAATTAAAAATGGATATAAAAATTAAAAACGAATTATATGTTATCATTTATGGGTATATATGCATATTATAAAATAAAATTTTTAAATAATTCCAATCGAAATTCACCCCATACAAGTATCGGTTTACTTATACATAAGTGTAAACTTACTTTATTTTATTCAGAAATTTTAAGTTAAGCACGAATACAAAACTATTAATAATTTAAAAATTCAAATTTGTTTTTATGTTTGTGTTAATTTAACTTAGTCAAAACTCAAACTCGCGTGAGGGTATGAGAAGAACTGTGCCTTGTAGCCGCATTGGCACCCAACAAAATTAGGAGAACTATTCACTTCACTTTCTTCTTAGTTACGCCAGTTTGCTATATAAACTATGTAGATATGTGGTAAGAATTAAGTAAATCAACTTTTTGACTAACGAATTTCATGTAAGCATAAATACTGTTCTTGTCTTTTTTAATAAACACAAGCACAATTGCTTATTATGTCATACAATATTTAATGAATATAAATATTTAAAAAAAACGAAATAAATACATATGCATGTTATGTACGAAAAGATTATTTATCATACTGTTTGTTAGTTTGCATCGTTTGCTATTCCTTTTTAAATTTACGATAATTGTTACTGTTGTTATTTGCACAATAAAATGTTAAATTATAATTAATTTAATATTGCAGAAATCAAAAGGAAGTAAGCATAAAATATAGTAAAAAATAAAATGAAAATTAAGGTTTTTAATTACATATGTATACATCTATGTAATGTAAACCATCGTTAATGCTATTAGGCTATACAAGAGCATTACATTATTTGCTTGTCGTTAGCAATACTTAGCGCTTAGAGTGTAAGAATATTTGCAAAAAAAGTCGACTGTTCAAACCTCAGCATTCTTGGTATCGCCATCACCGTTTGCACTTTCCCCAGCATCGGCAACGGCTTGACTGTCGTCAGCCGCTTTACCGGCATCTTCACTTTCAGCTTTCTCTCCCACATTCTCCTTGTTTTCGTCATCTACTGCTTTTACTTCGCCATTTTCTTGCTTCAACTCCAGCTGAGCACTAGAAACGGCTGTCGTATCGGCCGGTGCCAGCTTCAAGAACTGCTCCAATGTATCTATTTCATTGGCCAAATCGAAGGCATCATAATCCCCGCAATATTCTTCCTGGTTAAATATTTGTGGTGGCAGTGGATGTCTTGGATCTGGGTCACTTACTGTCGCACCATTGCTGGTCGACTTTGTTTGCATCAACTCTTTTTCGCTTTCTTTGCCTGGTTCTGTTATGTCCACAGTATCGTACTTGATATTCTTGCTGTCTAAAATCATCAAAACACGTTGCTGGCGTTTTTTGACCTAAAAATTTAAAGTGCATGTGTTATGTTCAACTCTTCTAAACTACAGATTTGAAACTCAATAAAACCAGCCAAAGAGGGGTAATCTTTGTAAAATTGTTTAATGAGTAAATGTGGTAAATAATATAATAAGATTGTATAATATATATATATATTTTTTTTGATAAAAATTGTGAGTGTTGTTTATAAACGTTTTTAATATTTCATTATACCCAGTAAAATTAAATTAAAAGGTGAAAGGGGAATTAAGGCAGCGCAAGTTAACAAAATGTTTATAATGCTTCCGATTGTATTTTGAAAGAGACCGCTTCGAAAATGGTGTTCACAACGCACATACATACATATGTGTGTACGTGTGTGTGTATGTTAGATTGCGTTTATGGTCATGTTAATATGATACCAGTAAGAAGCAAATAAATTCCTTGTGATAATATTATAAATATTTATATGTTAAATATATGACACACGTATGTATACCTAAGAATATGAAGCTAGATAATATTGATTAGATAACAAATTTGATATCAAACCCAAAATATTTCGTCACTATCAATATTAGAAACTATTTCATATGTATGTATCTTCAAACATAGATGTGTAAAAGGTGGACATCCGAAGAGGAAAGATCTGTCCTTATTAAAAATGTAACGATCAAGTTATAATAATAACATTTAACAATAAGTATTAAATACTATAGTTTACATACATAGTGTAGGGAATAACTGAAAGCACTAAACATTATAAAACCGGTTTGAACTAAAATGGTATACCAGATGACTTAACCGTTTGGATTGATGCGCATATGTTAATATTTCCAGCAAATAACTGAAATTTATAAAATTTCAATTCAGAGATTAAAACAAATTAAATCAGTAAAGTGAAGTCGACCAATTTGGTATGAATAATATATAAAATAACATTTTTATAATGTGTTTTGTTAAAAAAAACTTTTCAAATTTTACTCAGTATATTATCGACAGGTATAACTTTTTTTAAAGTTGGGATCTGTCCTTAGGTACTTAAATATGCATGAATTTATTTACTTGCGTATGTATATATATATATATGTACGCTACACATAAATTACCTTTTGCCTTCTGAAATGATGGCACGTAAGCATATAACATTTATGATTCATATCAAAGAATGAATTTTACTTAAGAGCAGTCATATGCTATATGCAGACTCATATGTATGTACATATGTGCGTCAAATTGAGTCTACATTGCGAAAGAATAGTAATTATTACTTCTTATATACTAATCAATCTTTGATCGTTGTACAATGATTTTCATTTATCGTATGTAATGCATTTTAGTTTAACAGGTGGTATCTTTAAATAAAAACCAGAAGTGAAGACCACAACACTACCACACAGCTTAAAATGATGACAAACCACCACAAACACCTTAGCAGTAGCGGCCATATCAACGCATGTATAAAATTTGATCGTTCGCCCACCAGAGAACATAACAAAATCCACTTGACATTTAAACTGCTAAATGCAATCGTTCCGTGGATGGTCGTCCAGATATCTATTATATGTTCGTATTTGTTGTTCAAATCACCCAATTCCTTTATGAGTTAACCAACTTTAATCATCTCATAGTAGAATGACCCAAACAGAACTAGATTTTAAATTTTTATTTGCACATAAATTAATATTTTGTCAAGTTCTGGGTAGCTAGCCCCACCCGCATACATTTCTTTTACACGATAGCCGCAATTGCCAACATTATTGGCACCTTAGAACCATATCTATTATATCCTTACCTCTTTATTTCCGGACATTCCGCTTACATAAACCTTTAGGACCATTTTTAACTTTGGATTGTATACCGATTTAAATAATTGCAAATATTTTTAGAAATTTTTTAATTTCCTCGATGTCCACTTTTCTTTATTTTCGTCACTGTTGCCGTTGCTCTTGCCGCTCCCGTTGTTACTTTCGTTGCTATAACTCGACTGCGACTCTGTGTTGCTGCCTGCCTGACTACTTTCGACACGTTTGTTGAATTCAATTCCAAAAAGCCAACTTATGTGTTTTCCTTTATTTTAATTATAACGATATAAGCAATGTTTTTTTTTAATACTTAAATATTTAATGCAAATTAATAGTGAGAAGTACCTATTTCTTTTAATTCTACATTTTTAGCCCTTTCACACAAAGGTAATTCACAGAAGTGTTAACAACACTATTCACCAGCTGTTGGAAATTTATCTATCTTTTTATTGCCGGACTTACAAAATTTTATAATTATTTAAGATATGCAGAAGTTTAAAAAAATTGTTTTGTTAGTTATAAATAAGATTTTCTTATTGTTTGTAGCAGCAAAAAAAAAAATCTTCACATAAATTTGAGTACTGTCGAGTTAGCAATCCTAAATCCGACTGAGGTTAGTCGTTATTATTAAGCTATATTAAAATGCACATTTACTATTACTAATTAAAAATCCGAAAAATTTGTTTAATTTTTTTTTATTTAAATATAAAACAATTATTGTAGTTCGGTTTTCTTTTTTGCATTAAAATATCTTTTAACAAACGTCTCACCGACAATTAATGGCACTACTAAAGTAGCTTCTGCATAGACCTTAATAGGTGAAGCTTCCTTCTTTATTTTACCCCAAGATATGGCCTCATCTGGACGAGCTCCACTATCACTGCCATCGAATTCCGAAGCTGTGTTAATAAAAACGGTATAATCGGCTCCATTTCTCATCAAATTCGCATTGCATATGTGATGCTTTATGATACCGCCACCAATTATAATCATTCCAGATTTGGTGGCTTTCACAGCCATAGTGTTAAGACGTCGCAAATCGGACAAAATATCTACCACTAATCCTGGGTGACGGAAAGAGTGGAAATACATCATGTCACCTAGGCTACCATCGGTAAGCGCCGGACAAAATACAGGTATTTTATGTTTCGCAGCCCAATAGTATATTGAGCTTGTGTCATTTATCCTTTCTCCAAGTCTTTGTATAATACGAGAGGGAGACCAAATCATGCCTTTCGTTTTTTGCTCTTCAACCATTTCATCAAGTAACGGCATAAGCCAATCCTCGAACTTGCAATAGTTATCGTTCGGTACAAGTAAATTACCTATACGATTTATCCCACGATCCCGTAAATCTCGTCCAGATAATTCAAATGAGCCCATGTATGTGGGTGCTAGACATTTAATAAAGTCTTCCTCAACGCCACCCGCTGTCGTCACTACACAGTCCACCATTTGGTGTTCAACGAGGAATCGCAATGTCTCGCGTAACCCTGACGATACTAGATTAGATGTGAATCCAAGGAAAATTGTACAACTATGTTTTCGTCTTATGAATTCATCTGTTTCATGCAAATCGGCTTCTTCAGGCTTCAGCGGCTGCTGCCTACAATCAAGCTATGAATATTTTAAAATACATAAAACTTTTTATAACAAATTGTTGACATTACCATTTGATTGATTTCTCTTATTGCCAATCCAAGATTAGTAGCTTGAAACCCAGTGTTAACATACGATTCGAATAATTTTGAGTAATCAATTCCTTGGTTCCAATCATAGCCCTTTACAATGGGAGTGTTTTCCGGTATATTTTCACTTCGTTTAAGTACCGCTTCTTTGGCGATATCTGGTTCAACGGACATTTTCTATTGTATGAAACCTATGTTCACTAAAATTATTAAACTTTAAATAAAAGATCTAAGAACTTTATACCAATTAGACATTGTTTTGATTCAATTTGAATGTTCGACAATGGAAAGTACCACATGCTTGCGAATGAATAGGGTTAACGCTGCTCCCAAAATATATGCGCGAACTTGATATGAAATCATTTAAAGCTGGTAACTTTGCAGTTTAAGAAATAAAAATGTAATACGTTTTTCAAATATAAAAAAATGACTTTATTTTCGGAATAATTTAAGTAATCCTTTAAATCCGAACCAAACTCAAGTCCACAAACTCTTATAATGTATTAAAAAGAATAACTTTTCTATCTGGCTATTGATAAATAACGACTTTGACATTCCACATAATAAACGGAGAACGGCAACACTACAACTTACTTTTTGGCATTTGCAAATTGAAAGTCAAAGATTTGGAGAAACTCAGAAAAGAACAAATCCATATAGAATAATCGAAAAGGATTTTTGGTGTTGGGCTATTGGGATTTTAAAAGTAGTTTTACAAAGTGTACAATAGTGGGAGTGTTGTTCGATATAGTGGAGATAAATGTATGTAGCACGGTGCAGAAAAAACGCATCATCAAAATTAACAACAACAAATTGTGCCAGCGCCCTGACTCCGACCCTTTTGTGAATCTTTAATTGCAGTATTTAATTAAACTTAATAATAAACTTAAAACTGTCAGAACAAAAGAGAAACTGGCAAAGAGCTGCAAAACGAAAAAATAACAAAGTTACACTATAAGAAAAATACGGAAGTGCACGGAGGAGCAACAGTAACGTTATGATCAAATTGTTTTCACTGAAACAACAAAAAAAGGATGGCGAACAGTTGGCTCGCACCGGGCAGCAAAAGAAAGCATCAGCTGCGCAGCTACGTATACAAAAAGGTAAAGTTTATAAAAAAATATATATAATTTAATTATTGATAAAGAGGAATTAAAAACCAGTATCTTTAATAAAAACTTATTTCCGTAATTTCAGTATGCATATAAGAATGCGGATGAATATAGCTTTAGGCTTTTTAAATAGTAATGATCATAAAACAGTGGATATAGTTTCCATTGTATATAAATCTTTAACTAGTCAAGGTAAATGGAACGATTCGGGTTTATGTTTACCTTATGTCCACTAAGAAATTTCGGTTGTTCTGTTGAGAGTTGGGTCATCAGGTTGGACGTCACGGTTTTTATTCACTGAAAGGCAATTAGAAAGTTTCTAGTCATACAGTGCCTACAAATTTTAACTAAAAACTAAATTTAGTAGAACAATTTCGACTTCTTTGTTTTCTTAATTTTATTAACCTCAAGAAGTGTAATCAAAACTAGACTTAACTCAGGCAGCAAGCTTATAGTTTATCTTATCAATGTGGTTTATAAAGTATTTAAAAAATTGTTTCATATGCCTTGATAACTATTTTAAAGTGATTTTATTTATTTTTATATAGACATCAACGAGTTAAACCTGCCGAAAACATGCGCCACTGAGTTTCCCGATCCAAATGATTTACTCAATTTTAAGCTAACGATTTGTCCTGACGAAGGTTTCTATAGAAACGGACGTTTCGTTTTCAGTTTTCGTGTAGGACCCAACTACCCACATGAACCACCAAAAGTAAAATGCGAAACACAAGTCTACCATCCAAATATCGATCTAGAGGGCAACGTCTGTTTAAATATTTTGCGTGAAGACTGGAATCCAGTACTGACAATTAGTTCTATTGTTTACGGATTACAATTTCTATTCTTGGTGCGTTAAACCTGTATATTCCATAGATCACCAATATTAAAAATTTTATAACTTTACATTTCATTTAAAATATATAATACTTTACAGGAACCTAACCCGGAAGATCCACTGAATAAGGAAGCAGCAGATCAATTGCAATCAAATCGTGCGCTTTTTGAACGCAATGTCTTAAGAGCGATGCAGGGTCATACTGTGGGTGATACCCAGTTTGAGGCATGTCTCAAGTGATATCGAGAATCAACAATTTAACTTTAGGATCAGCGTCTGCCTTCTCAACTTTATATTAGGTTTTGGTGGGCGTTTTTATATTAATTTAATTTTCAATATTAATTAAAGAAGGAAAGAAGCAAGTTAATTTGATTTGATTTATTTGTGTAGATTAGAAAGGCCGCACATTTAATTAGCGAAAATCGTAAGTAATATCTCTCATATTCCACAATTACGGATTAAGTAATAAACTTTGTTTTCCATCACAAACATAGCAGTTACAGAAAGCATAAACAAGATTGTTATTGTAGTATATTAAAAATTTACTGAAACTTTCACGCAAATGTTCTTAGGACGAGACTTTTTTTTGACCAAGTCCTAATTATTTACTATTAGACTTTCATAAAAATAATTAAAATTCATCTTTGGATGTACATATGTATATGTATGTATGTAGATATATTTAGTCACATTTGTAAAATTTACAATTTCAAACTGTTCTCTTTTAAACGAATATTACGCCAAACACTTAAATCAGATACAGCCGACTGCCGTCCAGTTGGTGTCCGGAGATCATTAAGACTAAAATATATCAATAATGTATGTACATATATCACATACGTTAATTTATTTGAATTTTTAATAACTTACCGACATATCAAGCCCACACTAATATCCTCGGTTACCATAATTTTGAGTAGATTTTGAACGAGTTGTGTAGGCAGTAATTTGAGTACCGGCCGTATACGCTCTCCACCACACTCGACCAGCAAAGAAATAAAACGATATGTAAAATACACTTTTGGTGTCAACTCGTCCGATGTTACAAACTTCTGTAATACTTTAAAGATATGTTGTACACTAGATTGCAATGGCTCTTTAAGATTTGCGGATCGGGCTGCATCGCGGGAAACCGTCGGACCAGCATTATCAACATTACTAACAACACCGGCAGCTGACAATAGGGGATGAGTGTCACTAAGGAAATCATTCGAACAAGAGTTATCTGAACCGGCTTCCTGATTCAGTTTTCGTAATTTCGGTACATTATTTAAATCCAAATCAACGCTGTTGCAATCGGCTTCACTAGGCGTGCGCGTACGCTTTTGTTGTAAGTTACCAATAGCACCTTGACGATGCTCCAGTGCAGATATAATGCAGTATACGGAGAGCAAAGCCAGAACATGTGACTGAGGTTCATTTATTTCTCCGCTAGAAGTAGAGAACGAGAGTCAAATTAATGGACTTTTTGCTGTTATTAATTTAATAATATGCATAGTCCTAACATCCAAAATTCTCAAATTTGTGAGTATGTAGAACTTAGATCGGCAGAAATTACGAATAGCAGTTTCATAAAAAGCTGTATAATAGCCATGCATCACTGTGGATAATAGAGATAAGGGCACACTAATTGCTTTTAGCTGAAATTTGGTTCTCTTGGAATGTTGCTTTGACATATTTTTAGCTTTAATAGCACAAACACACACACATGTATACGAACATGAACACATAACATACATATATTATAATACAGATTCGATTTTATATTCTATTAAAAACCAGCTATTTGTTTACTTTCTTCTTTCAGTATCAATAATTCTATATATAACATTTAATATACTCACCCAACCATTTGATGCGCATATGATGGAATTACGTCCTTCAGTAGCGCCTCAGTGTTGCGTTCAATGTCCAAGTGTAAAATAGCAAATACTATATCCATAGTCTTCATCATGTCCTTTTGAAAAATAAAAACATAAAAATTCAAATTGTAAAATTCTTGCGTTTGGGAGTTAACACTTTTTTTTATACGCAAACTGGATATATTAAGTTTGCCAACGATACGATTTAGATATCGATCTGAGATTTTGCACATGTCTTTTTTGCACCAAGAAATTGCTCATTTATCGGAACCGTCGATATCGGAACACATTAGGATATAGCTGTCATACAAACCGATCGATCAAAACCAAGTCCTTGTATGGAAAATTTGGTTAGTTGACAAGATATCTTCACGAAATTTGGCATGGATTATTGTTAAACGCAACAGTACAATATCCAACCAAATTGTTCGGATCGGACCACTACAACATATAGCTGTCATACAAACTGATCGATCATACCATTCCTTGTATAAGAAAACTGGTTCAGTTGACAAATTATCTTTATGAAATTTGGCGTAGATTATTGTTCAAGAAAACGCTAAATTTTTCGTACATATTTCTCAAATTGGACTACTATAGCAATCATAGCCCCGGTGCGTCCGAAGTCAACGTTTTTCCTTATTTTATATTAAAATTTGGAAATTCAAATGAACATGTGTACTAATTACCTTTGTATATTTGCAGGTCATTATTTCTTGTACCAAATGTCTTGTTAACCAAGTTGGGCCGCCAGACTGCAATAAAGACTCCAACACCTGTGCGGACATTACTGGCAACCAGCCATGCTCTGTCACCGTTTTCCACACCTCACGAAACTGATCAGAAAGTGGTGTTTGCGACACCAAATTCTGTGTGAGCGTTATACTACGTGATTTGGTATTGCCCGAGGGATGTGCATCTTGTTGCATTTTACGTATTATTTGAAAAGACAAGCCCAGGCGCTCTTTTACATTTTCCTGTGAAGCCATCTCTTCACTGCTGAGTGGTGTTAAAAATTGTTGTATCATATTTAATGGCTTGAGCAGCTCATTCTCACGAACTGAATACATATAAGCGCATAAAAATGAAGTAGCGCACACGGAGAAGGAGAACATTCTACGTTTGATATTCTCTAATATACTCTTCACATCAGTCGATGTAAGTATGTCTTTTTCCCATGCAATAAGCACATGATTGAGCACTCCCGGCAGATTTAAGCATATATCTTGCCATGTGAGATTGCTGCAAAGAAAGCATTTATTATTGCAATCTTCACGAGGCATATGAAAATTGTAATTGCTTGTTACCAACCTGTTTTTATGTTGTGCTTCGGGGCTTCGCAAACTTAATAACAATTCATCCACAATTTGTTCGTCGCAGAGTGCAATCATATTACGTGGATTTTTCGGTTTATTACGTTCAGCCATGCATTCACGCACCCACTTCTCGAAGAAGGAGTCACCATGTTCCGATAAAACGACCTGCAAAAGCTAATGGTTTTTAATATGATCTTATATGACTTGAGTCTCATACGCTTACATCAGATCCATAGGTTTGTACTATAAATGTCAACATGAGGAATGACACGTCAAAAAGTGTTGAACGTATAATTGAGGGTTTACCAATTTCACCGGGAACCTGTTTCGAATTTTCATTACACTGTATCAGTCGTGTAACGAAAGTTTTTAAACGACCTTCTACTGTGGCCACAGACAATATCAAATCGAAACTGTTACCTATTTTTAAGTATCGGGAGATAATCAAATACGTGTTTGTTGTAATTATTGTTACAATATAAGAATGTTTACATACCGACTAAAACTTGGCAGAGCACACCTAATAGCGCTTCCTGCACTTTGTTGTAATCGGTGCTTAGTGTCTTAAGTACACCGGATAGCGGCACTTCTGCGCGTATGATGAAATTAATTATTGACAAAGCTTGGTTGCCTGTTTCACGTTTTTGAAGCATCAATGACGTGCTCTCTCTGCAAAATATTAACGTTTCACATTAATTATTTAGGATTGTAATTATTATGTATATGAAATAATAAAATTATTTAAATTTTTAAAATTTTCTTATAATATTATACTTCCTAAATAAACAAATTGAGTTACAGCATATATTAGCAGGGTCGCGTATAATGTATTTAATAAATAGTTAAATTAACATTTATATAAAAAATTTTCTTTTGCAGTCCAGAAAATCATAATCGAAAAAAATTTTTTAAGTTCTAATCCCAAGTACTGGAGTCAAAAATTAAAAATAAATTTTTAACCCCAAATACCGGATTGAAAATCCAAATATCGTTTTGAAAAAGTTTATAATAAAAAAATGTTTTTAAATTTACATCTCTTCGCGCTTGTGAACTTCATGTTCTACTATCTTGAATTGGATATTTTTAATTTGTTTTTGGGATTAAAAATTAAATTTTTTTATACTATACTTAGTTTTAAGTTGGATATTTCATCTTATTTAGCTTAATAACATCAAAGTAAGCAAAAATAGTAGTTAAAAAAAGAAACTAAGAATAAAAGTATTATGAAGAAAGTAATTTTAAATTCCAATACGAAGTTATCCAAGATATAAAACTTACTACAGATATTTTGTATTAAAAATTAAATTTTCTATTCATACCCTAATATATTGGATTAAAAATTAAAAATTTAATTTCAAAAAATAATTTTTACAATTCGCAACCCTGTACCTATATTACTAGCCTTATCCTGTATTTATAATTTCATATGTTACTTGCCGTTGTGTAGCAAAATGTTTAACATGCACATCAGTCACCAGATGTTGCTTAGTCCAATCGTTCAATAAATACTCTATAATATTGCACGAGCACTTCGTATCCATTAAATCGAGCAGCAAATTATCTTCTAAAAGCAGCTCAAAAGCCTCAACTACCTCAGGGATATGATCGGTGGGTGTTTGCTCATCATTCGCTGAAAACACAAGATAAATTAAATACATTTCCTTAACTATAATTAAAGATTTAAGCTTACAACGTTGAAGTGTATGCAATTGCTTGATGATGTGTGGTACTTTGAAGAATGTGAATGCGCCCCACAATGTGTCACGGCTAACTTCCACGACATTACTCAGTGAAATGAAGCCCGCGCGCACAATTTCGTAAATTAAACGCGTGAGTGAATAGTTTTTGAGCCGCTGTATCATTTGCAGCTCAGCGACAAAGTATGATGTGTCATTACATGGATTTAATAATACTTCCACCGCCAAGAGCGGTTGTACGCAGTAGCTTATTGACTCCACACCTTTTGAATGTAGACGTGGCATAGTTAACTTGGTAGCATCTAAATATGCCAGCTGTTGCAGCGATTGTGCTATAGACATATTACGCGACGATAAATGGCTACTGGTTAGTATATTCTTAAAGCCATTGTATTTGTCACGGATTTTACCATACACTTCAATATCATCATAACAACCGATATAAAATATGCCCATCAAGTATTGATTGGATATAAATTTGTCGACAATAATGCATGTCCGTTCAAACATATATGATTGTTCAGCGGTAATATCACCGCCAATTTCATAGTTTTTCATGATCATAGCAACTATTTGCATTATCCAATATACTAATGAAGCAATTGCGTTTGGTAATATAGCCTCTTCTGGTTTGTTTCTGTTAATAATGCAGAAATATTAGAAACGTTAAAAGAAGTAAAAAGAGATAGTGAAATTTACCTGCATGTTACACCATCCATAACATCTTCTAGGAATTCTAATAACGCGGTGATGCAATAAACACGATCGAAATTATCGTATTTCGATATCCGTCGTAAAACAGCGGCATGTGAGACCAAATTTGCACAGAGACAGTGTTTTAAATAATTTAATATTAACTAAAAGTATGCAAAAGAGATGGAAATATTTATGAAAAAAATTTGTGTTTATAAAATAAGTGAATAGAAATAATTTACCGGATTGGCATTTGAGCCCACCAAAGATTGCTGTAGTATACAATCAGCTAAGTTATAAGCATCACCACTAACTCCGCGTGGAAGCACCTATAAAAAATTCAAAATTAAAATATTTAATCTTTAACAGAAGAACTTCGAAAATACGATAATGATTTTATATTCCATATATATAAACCAACTTGTCAATGGACCTGGACAAAGCAAGCTGACGCATTTTTTAGACGTCTACAATATGAAAACATTTAATTATTTTAGAATTTTTTTGTCAACGGAGCGAGCGAAAGGAAAACTGATAGTGAAGCATTGAAAAACAGACGAAATATATTTTTTACGAAATTTTACGAATTGCTTTTATTTAATTAAAGCTAACAAAGATACTTAGTAGATTATTCTAATTAAATCTGGAAAAACTATGAATGTTTTAAATTCAATACGTCGTGCAATACTACAAAATTTTCTCAAACTAAATAAATTTCAATTGGCTACTGTTGCATATCAATTTAAAGTTGAACGACCAGTTTACTATCCCGACAGACAAAATGAAATGCAACGGTTTAGTGAACAACAGAAGTCACAATTGGTTGCGGAAACACAAGAAAAGAAGAAACTTCCGAGAGATTATTACTACAAAATACTCGGTGTGAAACGACTCGCATCGACGCAGCAAATCAAAGCAGCTTATTATACGTTGGCAAAACGATTTCATCCAGATGCAGGTAGAATTTCTGGGCATTCATAATATTATGATTTTTTTATACATATTTTATATGCTTTGTGATTTGATGACTTTTTCGATTTATAGGTAACTCGCCACCACACGAGTCCAAAAGATTTCAAGAAATTTCAAATGCTTACCATATTCTAACAGACGAATCCAAGCGTCTCGAATACGACCAGTTGGGCATGGTAAAGGATGAGCAATCATTTCTGCATAAATTCACAAATTCGGGCATCGGTTTTACGAATCGCAAGGGAGAGGTTGTTCTACCCACAACTCGCGAGGGTAAATTGAAAATATATACTATAATATAATATAATATAATATTATGATATAATTTTATACTTTTTAATAGAACTGATAAAAATGACATCTGGAGAATCTAGGCTGGAGCTTACGTTTTTGGAAGCAGCCCATGGTTTAAAGAAAAATATTGACTTGCGCTTTCTTAAGAAATGCCCAGCGTGCAACGGTAAATCACCACAGCTCGTCAACCGTAGCAAACCCGAGCTATGCAGAAAATGTCAAGGAATTGGAAAATTAACCAAGAAAACTGCCACATATACCAGTATTCAAGTTTGTGATCAGTGTCATGGCAAAAGATATATCAATCGTAACGAATGCGATATATGCGAAAACCGTGGCGTTGTGCTAGAGACAGTTCGAATTGTAGCACAAGTACCGCCGGGAGTAAAGCATGGTGAATTAGTACCTGTTGATAATCCAAAAACGAAACAACGCATCCATTATCGTGTACAAGTGCAACCGAGTGACATATTTCAACGTATTGGCAACAATGTACTTTCAGACAAGTACATTACTATTTCGGACGCAGTATTGGGTGGAACTTTTAAAGTACGTGGCATATACGAAGAATTGGAAGTTAAGCTAGATCCCGGAACTGAGAGCCACACCACAAAGACGTTAAAAGGCAAAGGTATTAGGTCTCGTGATGGCACTGGTGATCACATCATCAACTTTAAAATACGTATTCCTCGGCAATTAAGTATGAAACAGCGTCAACTAATAATGGCATTAGCCAAAACGGAGGATCACACATTTGAACGACCTATTTAGTGCAGCATATATGAAGTAATTGAATATGCAAAGCCGAAACTGTCAAATACTAGTAAGTTAGGTTTTTAGTTAAAATTTTTGGGTATCCGAAAATTTAAAGTCTTTTTAAGAACAAATATTTCAATTGTTTCTTTAAAAAACCTGTAATTAAATGCACATATTTTGAATTGAAACATGGCTTTCTTAATTCGACTTTTCTTAATCATATTATTGCAGGTAGTTTAGTATACACTCCTCTTACTCGCTTAATATTGGTACCCCAAAGCGCAACATTCCAACGTTCACGCCAAGCGCGTAAAATCATCAATTTCAACAGACTTGTTTTACTTGGTTTTTGTAGTTCCATTGTATTATCTTTCATTTTAAAGATATTGGAAACAAAATACAAATTGTATTCACTTAGATCACGAAAAACATTATTTCAACCTAAAAAATAAACAATAACTGAACGGTGATGTGTCAGATTGTTATTTATGTATCGAATATTGCATGTTACCGAAATCGATTTTTCCAGCAGTCTCCACTAGCGATACCTTAAAAGTTGCGTGCTAACTTTGATTCTGTCCGGTATAATTTTCAAATTATTATGTATAAATTATATTTCTTCAATATTCTTACATTTTAAGTGAACAAAATAAATATTTAATAGTGATTGATATACTATTAATCATAATAAGACGAATTGTAACATTGACGTAGATATCCGAATAATTATCGTAATAACCTTTGCCGGCCAGGGAACTTAGAAGAAGTTAGTTCTTCCAACTTCTTCTAAGTTCTCTGGTTTGACACTTCAGTTTTTATGTTTTCAAGAATTATGAAGAATGAAATGAGTTCCATTTGTTCATTTGTTCTCGTTATTGTGACATAATTTTGAGGACAGTTTCCAATTAAAGCCTTGAATCATAATTAAATATCTATGAAAGTAGTTTGCACAGAATTAGATATTCTATCCTCATCTAATTCACAATCGGTTCAAGAAGTCGAACTGGGCTTGCTTGTTGTCATTTTGTTAATGATTTTCTCCAGATAATATATTCCAACACAAAAATATTGCCATTGATAGTGTAACGGACATTAAAAATGCTTGTCAATCATTTACTTATCGCAAATTTATCGACACAAATAAAAGCATATGGACATCAAAAAGGCAAACAACAAGAATAGACGTACAGATGACAAAGATCATCAAAACAACTTCGACCACTGAAAATTAAACAAGTAGTTCTTTAACTTGTTATTATTAAGAAATATTAAAGTTTTAGTTGGTTTCTCTACAAAGAGCGCGAAAACTGTGAACTGAACATTATTATAAGGCAGGAAAATCCGAGAAAGTAAGTACATACATACAAATTATTGCTTATTTTGTTTTTTTGATTAAATTTTCTTTATCAGTCAGCAAGCTTTTCTCTACATAGATTTGTTTGCTCACTTTTGTCTTTTTGTTTTGATTAAATAAAAATATAAATTGCATTCATGATGTATTCCAATATATGGAATGTATGCACATATAATTTTCAGCAAAAACATACAAAATTAAGTAATTTTTTGTCATTGCGTGTTAATAAATTATTCAATAGATATGTATATGTCAAACATACATATTTATGCAAATATGTGTATAATCGAATAAAGGAAACACTTCGTAAATATTAAATGACAGCCAAAGTTAATTCAAACCCGTATCAAATGTGTTAAGAAAATGCTGGTAAAAATAAATAATTTAAGACGTAAGACTTTTATATAAAAAATAGTATATTTTAAATGAAATTGAACATTCAATACAAAAATATAATTAAATAAAATTTTGATAACAAATGGTGAACATTCCTCAATAACGTCTAAAAGGAACCATATCCCACCATAAGTACCCTCACATAATTTATGCATATTTTATCTGTGAATTAATATAAATTTTTTCACACAAACTTTTTGAAAGGTATGTGTGTATATGCCCTGAAACTATGTGTCTTCAGTAGCTGAAGATGCGATGAAGGGTTAACATTTTTCAATCTGTAACCTAGTGTCTTTGTAATATGTGAAACATATTAAGATTTTCTTAGTCTTTCTATATGAGAAAAGTTCTGTTGTTAAAGAAGTATAATAGGTGTATGTTATTTATAATGCAATCGAAAAAATTTTAAACTTTTACTAACATATGTTCACAATTTTCATATTATATAGGTTTCCTAAACTATCCTAATATTTTATTTATTTAACACAAGTAAGTTTAAAGATTCAAAATCTCTATACAAAAATGTTATATTCGTAATATTTAAAAACAATTTACAGTTCATCATAAACTAGAATAAGGTGAAATCTTTTTGAACACAAAAGCATTGTTTCGTTGTGACATATATTACTTTGGATAATGATGAATCTATTGGGACGCCCTGATATTGAAGCTGGCGAAGTTTTTGTTAATTTCAATCAAAATGATACGTGAGTTAAATTTTTTTGTTTTTGTCTAATAAAATAACTAAATGTTTAATATATTCTTTAGATCATTGGCAGTTGCAACACGATCAGGTTATAGTTTATACAGTCTTAGTTCAGTAGATTTAACATTGGATAAAATATACAGTTGCCACACAGACGAGATATTCCTTATTGAGCGCCTTTTTGAAAGTTCACTGGTTGCAGTTGTCTCTCAGCGGTCACCGCGAAAGCTTAAAGTAAACAAACAAGATTTTTTTTTATATGTTTTATGATGTTTTAATTATTTCGTTTAATATTATTATTAGGTATGCCATTTTAAAAAACAAAGTGAAATTTGTAATTATTCATACTCAAATACCATATTGGCTGTTAAATTAAATCGGGAACGTCTAATTGTATGCCTGGAAGAGAGTTTATATATTCATAATATCCAGGATATGAAAGTAGTCCATACGATACGTGATACTCCGTGCAATCCAAATGGTCTCTGCGCACTTTCTTCCTCATCAGAGCACTGTTATTTGGCATATCCGGGAAGCGTCACCTCTGGGGAAGTTCAAATTTTTGACGCAATAAATTTACATGCCAAGACCATGATACCTGCTCACGATTCACCATTGGCTGCATTGGCATTTAGCCCGTCTGGAACTGAGATTGCCACAGCTAGCGAGCGTGGTACCGTAATTCGCGTTTTTTCATCTCTTGATGGCAGCAAGCTGTTCGAAATGCGTCGTGGTCTCAAGCGTTGCGTAGCCATTGCATCGCTCTCGTTTAGTACATGCTCAAAATATTTAGTGTCGAGTTCAAACACGGAAACAGTACATATATTTCGTTTGGATCGGTCAGCTGCCGAACAGGCTGACTCAAAACAAACATCGGATGATTGGATGGGGTTCGTTAAACATATATTTGTTATTATTACATTTTTCTTGTTTTAAGTGTTACTATTTTGCATTGTACCTTTTGCCTTTTTTTTACTCTTCTATCGTTCTTTTATTTCTAAAACATACATTTTTACTCATATGTTTTACGTTTCTTTTTCTTCCTTGAATATCGCACACCCGTTCTCAACATCCAACATCTACACCTGTTTTCAACACCAACCAAACAACTCTCAACTATCAACCATTACATAATACCCTAATTCGACACCCTCGCCACCTTTCATATTTTGTCATCATTGTCCAACCGTTTGTCGTCGCTCTACCCCACGTCAACTCTCTCATGCTGTTAGTTACTCCTTTTTTAGATATCTCAGCAAAACTGTGACCAGTTATCTGCCCACACAAGTAACGGATGTATTCAGCCAAGGTCGAGCATTTACATCGGTAACATTACCGGAGGCTGGTGTTCGGCGTATGTGTGCAATCACAACAATACAAAAACAACTAAGGTAGGTTCACTTGAGGGGGGAAAAGGTTAATTCTCGTTATTTCTTCAAAATTTCAAATTAAAAATTTTTGCGAAATAAAAATCAGCTCATTTGTTATTGTAAAATAAAAATTATTAATAAATTTGCAAATAACTCCGGCTAAAACTCATTGAAAATTATGTACGGGAATAGTGTTCACAATTTTAAAAGGATCGCTAAAGTAGTTTTGAAGTTATGATGGTCACCGCTTTTGAAAACACGAATTGAGGGAAAAACACTGTAAATTTTGGAACACTAACAAAATATGATTTACATAAAATGATCATAAGGCATTTAATTAAAAAATTTTAAATGCAAAATAAAATTTTAATACCTTACCCTAAAGGTATAGCCGTATAGCCGTTAAAGCCATTCGCTGCCAGTTATGCAATATTTGTATTTGGATGACTAGATGACTACGAAGTTCAAATAAACTGAAGAAAAATATTTTCTTACAAAAATAGCCTATAGCTTTATCTCCAGCGGTGGCGGTATGTGTACTTAGTTATACATATGTAGAAATACCAAAATAGGTGCTCGTAAGGGATTATATATGCTTTCTATTGATCGATTGTACTTAAGCTGTAGACAATGTAGGAGCACATTTCAGCTTTTGTTTTGTATGCATATGCACTTACATACAGAATTGAATTGTATTTACCATTGTGTGCTTGATAACATATGCATGGTTTACAGGTATATTTTGGTCGTACTTTCACAACATACTGCGATATGTATATAGATGCTTTTTAAAACAAAACCACAATTTTTTTCACTCGAATACCATTGCTCAAAACAAATATAAATGAGAATGTAGAAAATATCGCATGTTTTTTTAACCATAATTATGAAATTTTGATGATTTATAAAAGTAATAAGAAACGGTTATAATGGTATAACGACTATTTTCTAGTATTATTACTCAATATTAAAATGGTTTTAAGTTCTTAATATCCCATATCTAAATAAATCGTATTTCGGTTTTTTGGCCTAAAATATTTATTTAAAATTTACCAAACATATTTATATGTATTTATTTCTTGGCTTTTGTTACTTTCAGACTTTTGGTAGCATCACAAGACGGATACTTATATGTCTACTCCATACCCTCAATTGAGGGTGCTGAATGTCAGCTTATTAAAAAGCATGATATACGCCTAGACGATTCTTATGCAATGGACATTAAAGGCAGGATTTATTACTAACTTTTCTTCCACACATACTACAATTCCATTGCTCGACGTCATAAGCTATAACATAATCACACCATAACATATAATTAGCATAAAATAAGCTTAACACATTCATTTACATACATACATATATTAGTATAACAGTTGTGCTCATGAAAACTCACAAAATCTTACCACGCAATTCAGTTGTACTCATTTTCTAAAAAATTTTGAGAGCGTAATCAAAATAATTATGTGATTTGTTACATTGGTAGAAATACTAAATCGGAAAAATTAAACATTTACTTACAATGGCCTTAGCTTTAAACAACAGATCTCATTAAACTTTTAACGTTGTTGTTGAGACTCCATAATGCATTAGTTTGCTGGGGGGTCAGTTCTTGGCCAGTTCGGCTAAGCAGACCCTGCTGTCCTGGTGACGGATAAGTCACTAATTCTTTTGTTTTTTTAATTTTTTTTATTATTCTGATTTGATTTCGATTTTACCCATTATTTCTTTATTTTGATTTTTATTTTTTTATTTACTTTTTTTTTTTTACTATTTTTTTTTTATAAAATTTTTTTTATATTTACTATTTTTTTTATAACATTTTATTTTTATTTACTATTTTTTTTATAAATTTTTTTTTTTATTTGCTATTTTTTTTTTATAAATTTTTTTTTTATTTGCTATTTTTTTTTTATAAAATTTTTTTTTATTTGCTATTTTTTTTTTAGAAAATTTTTTTTTTTTATTTACTATTTTGTTTTTTTTTTGATTCGTGAACTTATACTACTAACGACAGTACATTCATTCGGTATAAAAAATGAGTATCGCTGATATCGCTGAGTTTTGCTGAGAACCTACTATTATTATTTTAAACTAGGTAAATTTTCTGTTACAGTTGATTCGCCGCAACCGCTGGGAGGTGCAGGTGCTGGCACAGCTGTTACTGAAGTTATAAGTGAAGATGAGTCATCTAAACAGAGTACAGCCAGTGGAGCCACTTATGCTTCTGCAGTGAAAGGCGATGAAAAGGCCGTACAGCCTTAGATGTGTTACACTTTTAAAGATTCGCTATTACCACCACGAACTTCACAAACTACCTAATTCTGCAAATAAAGTTTTTTGCAAAAAGAATATTCATCAACGTCGATTGGGTATTTTTCTGTGGCAATGTGATGCAGTTTTTATTTTATATAAACCTAGGGTTAGTGCTCACAATTTTATCTGTAATTTACATTTTCCAAAATTAAATTTTCATTTAAAGAACCACTTATTGTTCTTAACTACAAAATTAGTAATGCTCGATCGTAAAAATGGGTATATCTTTTGTTTATAAATTTGAATATTGAGATTAAGAATTAAACTAATTAGCTTAAACATGTCTATATTTATAATAAAAAAGATTTGGTACATAAAAGCTTATACCTTCCGCTCCCAATATCATTTTTTTTATATCTCAAATGTACACCTGTGCATTTTTTAAATTTTGTCAACTTACAGTAATAAATAGTTGTGTTTGCATTTGCTAATATACATATATAAAACTCCAACATATTGGTAAAAAAAAAATGAAAATAAAGGTTAGCTGTAAGAAATTTTGTTTTAACTTACTTTAATAAAAAAAAAATTCACATAAAAAAAATATATACGAATTTTATATTAACATATTGTAATGCATAAATGTAAAACTGATAAGTGTATATATCATTATAATTGCGACGAATATATTAAAGTTCAACATTTTGTTGTCCTCACGCCTTGAATTCTTCTTCTGTGGATATTATTCGACACACTTTTTGTGTAAAGAAATTAAATTTAATTAATCAAATCATGCAATTCAAAGTTTCTACGCCTGATTAGGACAGGAAAACACTTGAACACACTCAAAAACAAGCTTACCTATCTTTTGAAACACATGCCATTATGTTTTGTATATGTTGTGAAATCTTTATTTAAATGTTATTTATTCGCTTTACAAATACTTAACTACGAATTTGTCATCAAATAAGAAACAAATCCAGCACTCTATGCATACACTTGTATGTGAGGGAGGTATGACTAATTTCCATTAAAAATGGTAGACGATAAAAATGGAATTATGCGATTCATCAGTAAAATATTAAAAGAAAAATGTATAATATAGTAGAATAATTTTGATTTTGAATGTTTGCTGCCAGGCTTTCGAAAAAAATTAAAACTAGATTCAGATAATTTTTTAAGTTTCCAATTTTCTTCACATTGAATATTATTTTATTAGTACATAAAAATTACTTGAGATAATAATTTTTACCGGCATAGAGTGGCGTCTATTTTTTCAAGCCATGGCAAAATGGAACGCAACTTGAAGCGATACATCTTATCTGTGGCTATGGGATTGTGTTCCAAGTAAACAGTTTTAAGTTTTGTATTTTCTTTTAGATTTTCAATATTTTTCCAGTCGGAAACACTGTTATCATTTAGCCATAATTCCTCTAATTCTTTTAAATCGGCAACGTTGTCTATTGATTTCAATCTATTTTTGGCCAAGTCTAAAGTGTCCAAGTTGGTATTCGAATTCAAATTTTCAATAATTTCTATACCATTTTCCGATAAATAAAGTTCAGTTAAATTAACCAATTTATCCAAATTCTCGATTTTAATAATACGATTAGCTTGTAAACTTAAGCATTCCAGATTGACCAATGTGTCCAAGTTTTCAATTTTAGTTATCTTATTCTTGCCAAGGTATAGCTGGCGTAGATTTACCAGCATTTCAATATTTTGTATTTTACGAATTTTGTTATCACCCAATTCTAGCATAGTCAAATTAGTTAACATGCCTAAGTTTTCAATAACTTGTATCTTGTTAGCACATAAAAAAATTTTCTCCAAATTAATTAATTTGTCCAAATTTTCTATTTTAGTTAAACGGTTAAAGCTCAAGTCTAACTGTTCTAGATTCACTAATGTATCTAGATTCTCAATTTTAGTGATTTGATTATCGTAGAGTTCTATTTCTAGGAGCGTTGTCAATGTGTCGAGGTTTTCAATTTTCTTAATAAGATTCCAGCGTAGGTAAAGACGTTCAATACATTTCAGTGGTTCAAAATTCTCTAACTTATCAATACGATGATGGTTTAAATCCAATTCCAAGCATTCGGGGTCAATTAGTACAACGTCTTCAATGGAAGGAAGTGGCTCTTCAATAATTTCTGTTTCGACAGGCGGCCCAATTGATGGGATCTTTGATATTGTGTCAATAGAGGTGTCAGATTTCGTGAGATCTGACAACGCTCCATTTTCTGCTGAGTTTCCATCCGCCATAGCTTAGTACCTAAAGCAAAAACTATTAAATCCTAATAGTAAAACTTATTAATTGAAAATATCACCTGGTTTAAAATCAGTATAATCCCGCATATATAAATGAAAACTAATGCGAAATCATATAGCTACGACGTTAGTGTTGCCACAGTATATAATTACACTCAAATTAAGTTTGAAAAATATTTAAAATGAAATAGGACTCTTTATTAGTTAGAAATTCTTAATAACTATTAAAGTTAATATAAGTTACAAAGCTTTGAGATACATCTAATAGAAAATTTTCGGAAAACATTTATTCTTTATATTAATAGAGTTGGATGAACTTTTGAGATGTCTATTGATTCCTAAAGATTTTTCAAGTTTCTTTTACTGTGACATTTATAAAAGTTCTGTCTACAAGTGTATTCGTTTAATTTGCTCAATATTTTTATCTTTTGAAATTGTTTTCTTGAGTATTTTTTACATTTAATTCTCATAATGAGTAGTAAATTAACATAAATGAGGTGTAAAAGGCAGTTAATAAAATGAACAGCGGTTGTGGATAACACCAAGTTGGATATATTTTGTACGAGTCAATGTTCAGACAATCTATACAAAAATAGTTGCCTGAAAAATCGATGTATCTGGAGTTTAAGGAGCGTTAATTTTTGGATGGATCATACTGAGCGTTTTGATATAGTCATCATATCCAAATTTAATTGTATTTGATTAATATCACGAAACGCTTCTATGAAGCAGGACATTGGTTTGGGTATTTCTTATTCGGCACAGCCATCAATAAACTATTGTGCATCAAAAAAATCGACAATATCTCGTAAGTATATTAAATAAATATTACATATGTATGCATATATATCTAAATTTATACACTTGTGTGAATTTTTCTCATTCTGTTACCTTGATAATAACTTTAAACGGAAGATCCCACGATTACTTTCGAGATAAACAAATTAATACCTTCTTACTGGAAACCAATGTCTGGTGGGGAATTTAATGTACATATGTAAATAAAATTTCGAACTTTCGCAGATCAATTCATCTTGAATGATGAAGACCATTACTTTGGTCAGTGTAGTAGAACTTACTAAATTTTTGAAGTCTTAAATAAGATTTAAGTTTTAAATTGAATTTGTAGTTTGAGCCAACTGTGTTTACTATATATGCATAGGATATAACTGTGTACAATTTTCGAATATTTAGGATTATACAATACCATAAATATAGTTTCTTATAAAAGTAGTTGTTTTTTAATATTTACCAAGTAATTTATTTGAAGAACGCCTATTCTGAGGGTAAATTTGAATTATCATTTAAACCCCCATTGATATTTGCATATATGTACAAAAACGTAACTCTTAGTAATTAATAAAAACCATAAAAATATGAATTAATATATCAATTATTTTTTGCTACGTCATTTTGAATACAAATTTGGTTTATTTCATTAATCAGTACTTGAAGCTTGTCGCCAATCAAACACGCGCATTCTGAGTGATAATGGTCTTTTCGTTAGAGCTATCATATTTAAATAGTTAAACTAAAACATTGGTACCTATATGATTCTGCCATTTTCTTATTTTAATATACTCTCAACAAACATACGTACATATGTGTGTGGACTGCATTTGTGCTATCCTTATTATTTTTACTGCTATAATATAAAGTAAAGCATATCAAGTATCAACAAAAGAATATGCATATGTGTTAGTGTGCATATACATACATGTATGTAGCTAAAACAGAACAGTCATCTAAAGCCCACAGTCGGTTATTAATAGCCTTTTATATTAAAAAAATATAAATATATATATATATTATATATACATATAAATATTGAATATAACTCATAGCTAAAGCATATGAAGAGTTCGACTTTATCATTAAGTTAAAAATGTGTCAAGTAGCATTTGATAATAAATAATTTTTTCATTGATATTTAAGAAATATGTACTCGTGTATACCCATATGTACATATATTTACCTAAAATATTTTCCTTTAAAATAAGTTTTTGTACAGCTATAAATGCGCACTCGTAGTAATAGTTATAATTTACAGTTATGTTAAAATACAGTAAATATAAATATCTATATACCTATGTATGTGCTCACTTGTTTACATATTATTTTGACCTTTAATGCATTTAAATACGTAGTATCAAAGGCTCATCACTACAAAAAGAGAACAAAAATTTTTTGCACATTGTCACATGTACATACATATATACTGGTACATACGTACATAAATAATCTAACTTAGGTGAATCTCAAGTACCTTACATAATTTACGATAAAACTATATAATTTAATTTCTCTTAAAACTCTAAAATTTATCTTTGACACTCAAGTTGTATGAAATATTGAATTGTTACTTAATCAAAAAGCAAAGTTTTATCTCTTGTCTCATCTAAATTCCTTATCTGGTGTTGGGATGCAATATTTCCACCTGAAAGTATGATCAACAGTATTTACTACAACTAGTTGAACTAAGTGATTTTTTTTCTAACTGATCTTTCTCTTCTATTAAATATGTACGAAGCCATTTCTGTTCGATTAATAAGTTTAAGAAGTAGTAAAAAGTATTTAAACTTGATTAATGTACTTTTATTTTTATTTTACTTTGTTTTGCTTTGACTTTTGAACTTGAATATTGATTGCACTTTTTCCATTAGGGCGCTTCTTGATCTTCCATGAAATAAATGTAAGCAAATCACACTACACATTTTTTGCATTTACATTTGTTGTTCTATACTTTGTATGCGTTTGTAGTGGTGCGTTATCAGCATAGGCACAATGCGATTACATCTGTAATTGATATTTCTCACTTTTTGTAAGTTTCAACAACGCGTGTACTTGCCTCTCTTCAATGAGATGTTTGTACTGTTGTACAATGTGTATGCAATGCACTTCTTTGTTGAGGTTTTTTTTGTTTTCCAAACGTGAGTCTTAAATATTGCCGTGAGTTTAAACATTTGTGTACTTGCTATCCACTTTTTTGATAAAATATTTAACATGTATACATACATATATACATATATATATTTTTATTCATATGCTCGTATGTGCAATATAGTACTTCTGGAGTGGAGTAAATGATCGTTTTTAGGTAAACCAGTCTGAATGTCATTGGAAGGTTTACTAGAATAGCTTTTTGCAGCTTTTAAGCCCTTAATGAGGTGAACATATAATTCAAGTAATATTTTGAAGCTTTCTTTAAAATTTATTTAACATATACAATATATTATTAATGCTTATACGTTTGTTTCCAATAGATATTCAAAAGACCGACAATTCCAAGGTATTATAAAACATAATTGAAATTCATCAACAGGAACAAAAAGTTCCTACAATGTCGGAGGGCGGTGTACTCCACATAAAACAGGAGTTGGATATTAGCACCTCATGTTGCAGTCCGAGCACGTCTACCACAGTAGGCGTAAATCGCTCGAATTCGTATTCAAATGGCACCAGCGGTAGTACAAGCAGCACTAGTAGTGGCAGTGCGATCAGTGGTGGTGGAACAGGTGGCAATACATCAACCAGCGGCAACAAATCTTCACCTTCAGTGTCTCCAGAACGTCAATTGTGTAGTTCAACAACAACGCTATCTGCTGATTTGCATAGTGTCACCCTAACGGGATGTGAAGCAAGTACACCAATTGCCTTAAAATCAAATGATTGCGGTGTTAACAATACTAATAGCACCAACAGTGCTGGATCAACTGGTGGTGGCTCAATACGCGATGAATTACGCCGTCTTTGTTTGGTGTGCGGTGATGTTGCATCTGGTTTTCATTATGGTGTAGCTAGTTGTGAGGCATGTAAAGCGTTCTTTAAGCGAACCATACAAGGAAATATTGAGTACACGTGCCCTGCTAATAATGAGTGCGAGATTAATAAGCGCCGACGTAAAGCCTGTCAGGCGTGCCGATTCCAGAAATGTTTGCTGATGGGTATGCTAAAGGTAAGTTTAACCCCCTGTCTATTATTCTTTCAAGGAGTTTTTGTACCCTGAAAACGGTGTATTAAGTTTGCCACGAAACTTGTAACACTTAGAAGAAGACGTTGAAGACAAAATAAAGTATATATAATATATAATAGATCAGTGAGACGAACTGAGTTGATTTAGCCATCACCGTCTGTCCGTTTGTATATAGGTGAACAAGTCGCTCAGTTTTTGAGATATTCATATGAAATTTTGCATATATCCTTTTCTTCTGAAGAAATGAACAACTTATTCCAGTTGTCGATATCGAACCACTATTGGAAATAGCGGTCATACAAACTGATCGACCAGAATTTAGTCCATGTAAGAAAATGTTGTTTATTTGACAAGATATCTACTGAAATTTGGCATGGATTATTGTCCGAGACAAGACTATAATTTTCGATTACTATTGCACATAGTTTTAGGGTATTCTAGTTCCAGTGCAACCGAATTTAACTTTTTTTCTTGTTTTAATTTTATTTTACTATAAAATTATAGAAAATGTATTTTCGAATAAGCACAATAAGAGAAGGCATCATATTGACATAGACAGGTGATATTAACATATACGTACATACCATATTCCAGGGGCTAGAAAAAAATGTAAAATAAAGCTATGAATTCAATGTGAAACATTTATTTGTCTCCCATACAATGGAATGCATTTATAGTATATTTTGAATGAGAATTTTAGGTTTAATATATGTATCCAACTATATAAAAATATAATTTTAGTTGAAAAAATTAAAAACAAATCTCAATACCTTCTATATATTTTAGGAGGGCGTACGTTTGGATCGTGTGCGTGGAGGTCGACAAAAATACCGACGAAATCCCATTTCGAATTCATACCAAACCATGCAACTGCTTTATCAATCCAATAGTACCTCACTGGAAGATATCAAAATTCTTGAGATACTAAACGCATATGAGCCAGACACTTTAACGGTGCAACAGCAGCAACAACCACATACCACTACCGAAAGTAGTAGTAACACTGGCACCGGCAAAGCCACTCAGAATACTTCTGTCAAGTTGGAACAAAATAATTGTAGCAGTGGCGGCAGCAATAGCAACAACAGCGAAATATTGTCTTCCAGTGCACAACCAGTATGCATTTTTCAAAATAACAATTGTGATGCCGAAGAAATTCTTGCTGTCCTCAGTGATATATATGATAAGGAGCTGGTAAGTGTGATTGGCTGGGCCAAACAGTTGCCGGGCTTCACTGAGCTGCCGCTAAATGACCAAATGAAATTGCTGCAAGTTTCTTGGGCGGAAATTTTAACATTACAGTTAAGTTTTCGTTCACTGCCATTTAATGGCCGCCTGTGTTTTGCAACAGACGTATGGATGGACGAATTGTTAGCAAAAGAATGTGGGTATGCTGAGTTCTATTATCATTGCGTACAAATTGCTCAACGTTTGGAGCGTTTATCACCACGACGCGAAGAATATTATTTGCTTAAAGCATTAATTCTGTCTAATTGTGATATTTTGCTGGATGACCAAAGTTCATTACGAGCTTTTCGCGAAACAATACTTAATTCATTGAATGACGTCGTATGCTTATTGCGATATGGATCCGCAGTGTCACATCAGCAGCAGCTGCTCCTTCTTTTGCCAGCATTACGACAAGCGGACGGCATTTTGCGTCGATTTTGGCGTGATATTTGTCATGAGGGTAAAATAACAGTGAAAAAATTGTTTGTGGAAATGCTGGAACCAGTGTCCAGGTGAAAATGTCCTTGTAGAAGTTGCAAGTTATGAGTGTTCTTGTATATAAATATTTCCCCATTGTTGTTGTGAGAAAATATTTCACCAGAAACAACACTTTTATCAATCATATATATGGAAACTCAATTTAGGGGTAGAAAATTAACAGTTCAGTTTTTCTCCGTCTGTGACGGTGTAGTGGGTTTTTGTGGAGTGTTAGTGGGGCTTTCAGAGGTTACAGTATCGAATTTATTTCTAGCAACAAGTTTACAAACAAACCACTTTGTAAAAAATCACACTTTTGTTACAAATTCTTTCATGAGAAATATAATTCAGGCCATTCGGAAAAAAGTGCATACTAAATATTACAATTGGATTCACAGAAAGAATTTAGAGAAAAGTAAAGTTTTAGAATGGTAGCGTGTCATATGGTGGCTTATTCATAAAAAACTTTGTTTTTTTGTAAAAAATATCGTCGTATATAATATACTAGTTTTCGGGAGGTTGGAAATTTTTGATTTTTAGCATTAATAATTACATATGCATAATATCTTGTGATGATATATGTATCATACATTAGAAATTTGTGTACTTAGCTTTTGTGAGATATATATATACATATATACATATATATATATACCTATATATATATATTTGGGCGACTCGATTTTTTTTCTATAAAATCGCATATGCGGAAAATGTCTAAACCGGTTTCGAGTCAGCGGCCACCTACAAATCAACCCGCTCTATTAATATATAATATTTTTTCCCAGCATAAAAAAATCTCTATATACATACAAACATTATATTTTTTCCCAGCATAAAAAATTCTCTATATACATACAAACAAAATTATATATGCATATAGAAATGTTAATAAACAAATTTACTTCTTTTATTTTATTTTTTTTTGAATAAGCTGATTAACAAATTTAAAATTCAGATATTGAAAATTTCAGTACATTTCATAATTTCGTTAATGAAATTGATTTTAAATGATACTCAATTGAAAGCCTATAGCCTTGGTGAAAGCATTGTAACAATATATATCTAAAGATGAAATGCAAAGTTTTATTCGCGTTTCGATACGGCATATGGTGTAAAATATTGCACAATAAATCAAAATACCGCAAATGGTATACCTTACGAAATACCTCCTTTATAACAGTCAAAATAGAAAATATAAAAAAAAATTCTAATAAAAACCAAAATACATATATTTGTATTGTATAACCCATATATATTTGTATGTATGTGAATTCAATATACATACTGAGATATATGAATAACAAATACTTTGTAGATGAATTTTTGTAAATAATATATAAATTAGCTTAGTCACTAAGGGCCAAGTAGCTTTTAAGTGGTAGTAATAAAGTGTTAGATAATATTTAATGTGTATCACAGTAATTTTAGAAAATATATATAATATACATATACTTGATATATTAACGACCAACTGTTTGCATATTTCTGAAAATAAAATACATAATGATTGAGCTGCTTTCTTTTGATTTCTACTTTGTGTAAGTAACGGCATTACGATCGTTGATAAATGTGTGATTTCTAAATAGGAGTAGTTGTCTATGAAAAATTAAATATAAAAACATATATTTTCCCACAATAGGAGAATTTCACAGATTTCAATCCGTTCCGCGGGGATAATGAAGTTTTATGGATATTTCGCTTGAGGAAAACACTCAATGGTTTAGTACTTCTTGCCTAGATACCAACACTATTTAATTTTGGTTTGGTCAAAATTAGCAAACTTTAAGTTTATAATTAATAATGATCCGAAAAAATATTTCCATTTGGGAGTTTAGCGAAAATGTTAGACCATTTGCAAAACCAGAATAATCTCCATAGAATATGTATCGTAAAATTTATTAAACGTTAATGTGTGATTGCTTTAGAAAATTTATTAAGTTTTTTAAGGTCTAACATTAATAATATCAACAACAAACTGTAAGAAACCACAACGTATTTATCTTTTGCATTGGACTAGCGAAAAATAACTGCCTTCTTGGCATAGCGTATGGCATGAGAATCTCAAAGGATATGTTTTACAATAATTAAGTGACTAAATACGAAACATAAAGTCTAACTTCTATTTACAGAAAAAATATCTTAGATTACACCGTTCTTCGTTTAAATTATAAACTCTATATTCTACTTTCAGACCCTTTTTTTTAAATAATTATTTCACAATTCTTGTTTTAATGGCGCTAAAATAACACTTAAATTTTGAACCTAGTTATATCATTTTTAAACAACACAATATTAAGTTTTGTCTGGTACAAAATTCTGCCTACTATGTTGGCTCCGTTCTAAATCAGGAGAATCGAAATATTTTTTAGAGTCCTTTTGGAATCGATCAGATCTTTCTAGTTCACGTCGGAAATAGCTGATCGTGCGCGATAATCCCATATGTAGTGGAACTTTTGGTTCCCAATTGAGAATGGTTTTTGCTCGCGTTATATCAGGCTTACGCCTCTGCGGATCATCTTCAACTGCATCCGTTTGTTTTACTTCGCTTTTGCCGCCCACCAATTTTTTTATGATCCATGCGAACTCTTCGATTGTGTGCTCTACTGGATTACCCAAATTCACTGGCTGGCTGTAGTTGGAAGCCATTAAAGAAATTAACCCATCGACGAGATCAGAAACATACTGAAAAGAACGTGTTTGCTTGCCATTACCATAGACTGTTATAGTTTCATTACGCAGTGCTTGAAGTATGAAATTGGACACAACACGTCCATCGTTCATATGCATTCGAGGACCGTAGGTGTTAAATATGCGTGCGACACGTACTTTCACATTCTCCTGTTAGGCGATTATTATGTTATTTAAAACTTGAGTTAAGCAAATTTGCGTAAATTTCACCTGTTTCGCATAAGCGTAGCTGAGTGTTTCTGAAACACGTTTGCCTTCATCATAACAGGCTCGAGGTCCAATAGGATTCACATGACCCCAATATGTTTCAGGTTGTGGGTGTACAGTTGGATCACCTATAATGGTGTGCATATTTTATTTAACATTCTTGTTTTCAGCTGTATAAACAGAAATTAAATTTGTAATAAAACATATTTATCTTACCGTATACTTCTGATGTACTAGCTATAAGTACTTTTGCCATAACACGTTTCGCCAGTCCCAGCATATTGATAGTACCCATGGTATTTGTTTTGATTGTCTTTACGGGATTATACATATAATGTGGAGGCGAGGCTGGTGATGCAAGATGATAAATTTCATCCACTTCAATAAAAAGTGAATTCACAATGTCATGGTGAATTAATTCGAAATTCTCATGTCCAAGCCAGTGTTCTACATTTCGTTTTCGACCTGTGAAAAAGTTATCCGCAACGATTACTTCATGGCCTTGAACCATGAGAGTGTCCACTAGATGAGAACCAACGAAACCGGCTCCTCCGGTAATTAGAATCCGTTTTCGATTTTTATAATTTAAGTATTTAACCTGTGGATATTTTCTTGGCGTACTCGCTTCTAAAGCGCGGACACGATCTTCTAATATTGCAATTTGAACTTTTGCATGTTCCAATTGATTCAGAAGCTGTTGATTTGTAATGTGTTGAGGAACATTGGTAAAATCCTTTACGAGATCTGCACCAATTTGGGAGTTTGCTGTCCAATCATCTTTATCAAAATTTGGGATTGAGTGGCTACCATTGATGTGATGTTTCAAAAATGAACGATAAAGAATTATTAGCAATATCAGGGAGCTTGAGAAAATAACGATGAATTTAACTCTTTTTTTTACAATAGGCACGGTAGGCATTTTGAAGCGTTCAAACTTTTATTTCTTGTATAATTATGAATTCCTTTCGGATTTTTATTAAAACGAAAACCACGAAATATTTTGTGTAGTATTTGTTTAACGTCAGCCAGTTTTTAATATGAAAGCAAACGTGTATTTTCGGTGGCTGCCTAAATGAATATAATTTGTTGTTATTAAAATTGTTTCTTATTTTTATATGCATATATGTGCATACATACTTACTCATTTGCTGTTTGTTATTTGCTACCTTACAAGTGCATTGAAAATTATTTACCATTACTCTAAATGGATGACATTAACGCCGTTTCAATACAAAAAAATATTGAAAATAGAGAAAAGACAATATAAAATAACGTTTACTGCAAAATCTTTCCGAATAAAAATGGTACGTATTAAATGTGATATTAAAACTCTTTTAAGGACTTTGTTATCTATAAAAGTTCGTTTGATACTTGTCGCAGCTGATTTTGACATTTTTGTAAATAAATGATAACAGTTCTTCGACCATAGTAATGCCACAGTATTTTGTTTACACTTAAAAATATTTAAAAATGAATGTGAATATAAATTTCCAAAGACGTTTATTCACAGTTGTCAATTCCTATCTGTTCTAAATTCAGTATTTCTTGAACTAAAATAAAATACCAGATAAATGTGAAAAAAATTAATAGAAGTTAAGTATCAATAATATTTGGAATCTAGCATATATTTTTAAATCAAGGACATGTGGAATAGTGAGTGAATGAAAACTGTGTCCTGACAAAAAAAATTGAAACAAGTTAAGCGTATTTCTGCAATTCGCTACTGTGAATGAATGTTGGCACAGAGGTAGAAGAATAGGCAAGTTTTGTCAAAAGATTTTTTGATGTGAGTCATTCTTGTCGTTAGGTTACACACGGAAAAGGTGGAATCAAGGAATAGTATAACATTGACAGGATTGGCTTAAATTACATTTAGTGTGAAAACAAAAGTTTTAATAATGCCGAATAACGACAAGGAACCACAAAATATACAGAATAATAATGAGAGTAATACTTTAGAAAGCACGCAGGTAGTAGCCGCTGCCACTGAAGCATTGATTGCGGCCGCTGTAGCCGGTAGTAAATCGGTCCCCACTGCCAATAATAAGGAATCTGGATCTAATGATGCCGAAAAGCAACGCGCTGATGCAAAAGCTACTTCGGCAGGTAAGAATATTTCATATTTACCTGATGGGAAGATTATTTGTTTGTTAAAAGTGCCAAAGCTTTGTCTAAAGGTGAGGTAGATATATGAATATTTGTACAAATGTGTATTCGTTGGGGAAAACGCCACTTTGCAACTATATTTGTATATGTATGTGAATTTAACAAGTAATTCCAACTAAAATTTCAGGTTTACTTAGAAATCAAGGTTTGCTAAAGGTACTTTCCGAAGTCGCAGCTGCCGGCCGACAGTCGAAACAATTCGCCTTTTGGTCTACACAGCCAGTACCCAAACTGAATGAAGATATTACCACAAATGAATGTATTGAACCTGATAAAGATATCTCGGAAATTCGTCCGGATCCATATACTTTGCCAGAAGGGTTTAAATGGGATACTCTTGATTTGAACAGTACCACCGATTTAACTGAATTATATACCCTGCTGAATGAAAATTATGTGGAGGATGATGACGCTATGTTTCGTTTTGATTATCAACCAGAATTTTTGAAGTGGTCATTGCAACCACCCGGTTGGAGACGAGACTGGCATGTGGGTGTACGTGTGGTAAAGTCGGGACGTTTGGTTGGCTTCATATCTGCCATTCCGAGCAAGCTGCGTTGTTATGACAAAGTGCTTAAAACTGTTGAAATAAATTTTCTATGCGTTCATAAGAAATTACGTAGTAAACGTGTTGCACCGGTGCTTATACGTGAGATTACTCGCCGTGTAAACTTGACTGGAATTTTCCAAGCTGCGTACACCGCGGGCGTTGTACTGCCTAAACCAGTGTCTACATGTCGGTATTGGCATCGATCATTAAATCCCAAAAAACTTGTTGAGGTAAGTAAAAATCGGTGTGAAATTGTTTAGTTTTAAAAAGTGATAATTGTTAATCAAAATGAATTTTTTTAATGCCATTAAAAATATTATTTTGTTTTTTATTATTTTGCAGGTCAAGTTTTCACATTTAGCACGTAACATGACAATGCAACGAACGATAAAACTGTACAAACTACCCGATCAGCCAAAAACCAAAGGATACCGTCGTATTCAACCCAAGGATATGGACAAGACACAGAAGCTACTTGAAGAGTACCTTAAAAAATTTTCTTTAAGCCCAGTCTTTTCAAAAGAAGAATTCCGCCATTGGTTCACTCCGAAAGATGGAATTATTGACTGTTTCGTAGTCGAAGATGAGCATGGAAATATAACTGATATGACAAGTTATTACTGTTTACCATCATCGGTGATGCATCACCCAGTACATAAGACTGTACGTGCTGCTTATTCTTTTTATAATGTGTCTTCAAAGACACCGTGGTTGGAATTGATGAATGATGCATTGATATCGGCAAAAAATGTACATTTGGACGTCTTCAATGCACTTGATTTGATGGAGAATAAAAGCTTCTTGTTTCCTTTGAAGTTCGGTACTGGCGATGGCAATCTGCAATATTATCTATACAATTGGCGTTGTCCAGCTATGAAGCCAGAAGATGTGGCGCTCATTTTAATGTAGTTGACATTAGCTAGAAAAGGCTACACACACTAAAAACAACATAAGAAAATAAAGGAAAATTGAGCACATACCACAAATAGTTAAATAATAAAAAAATCCAGTAAAGGAAGAAGTTTGTTTCCATAATACGTTACGTAAGAAGATAATGACGACAATTAATGATATTGTTAGACTACATAAAAGTAGAATTAGAGGTTTGGAGGTTCAATGTTGGATTCCCTTTGAAAATAGCGTGTGTGTTGAAAATGTGAAGTTGCATATGAGCAACTCTAGTTGAATACAATATAGCACAACAAAGTTAAGTAATTTGCAATAAAACCATACATATGTATCCATGTACATATTTCCATTTTTATACATATACGTATGTAGATGAGTACGCTTCAAACTAAGTTTACTTAATTCTTTCCGCCATAGCAGAGCAAAATTTGTAATTTTGCTACACCTATGTATTTTATTAAAGACTTTTTGCAAATCTCTATTGGTAACGTTAAATTTAATGAAAGATAAAATTTCAAACAGCACAATTCCGTGAGCTTTGGTTTCGGGATGTTTATGGGCTACGAATAAAAGCAATTTCCGATTTCTTCTTTAGATTAATTATTAACAAATGGATTAAACAAATAAAATACGATATTTTAAGCATACAAATGTGGTAACAATATACAACTCATTAAATGTATTGTGAAGTTTTAATCAAGCTGGTAATTTCTGGTGAGGCATTTCCTACAAATATATTATTTAAAGACTTCATACACACCATTTTTAGTTACACCTAAAATGTTTCGGTTATAAGTATTTCTCTAATTACGAAAGCAGTTTAAGTGACGTGTGTTCGTGTTGTTTTTAAGAACTAATGATAATTTAGAAAATATAATTAAATTGAAGAATAATGACGAAACTTTCTAAACTATATATAATATAATATATTGAATATCGGGAAGGTTTATCTCTCAAGTGTTGTTTCATTGCACGATTTACATATCTGTACATACAAATATATATGTATCAATAAAAAAAATTGGTAATAATAGCCGGCTTGATGAAGTAGTGTTAATTTGACCATTTTTTTCACTTCGCTACTCTCAATGGCTTGGCGAATTAAAACAATGTGTTATTTAATATCACTAGTATATGTGTTTTATTGCAGTTGCTTATTCGATTCGCTACTATCCAAGGATTAGTTAATAGAAAACCTATTTTTGAAGCGTTATCTATAAGTTACTGTTTCAGTATGGTTGCAGTTATCAGTTTACAAAAGACAGGTGCTATATGATAGTGCTAGTCCGAGTCTTGTCTACAAGTTGCTTGTTCTATTCGCTTTTCGCCAAGGCTAAGCAAGCAGTAGAACGATTTTCAAACAACTATTACTTTAAAAATCGATATATTGTATATTAAATCGATATTTTTGAACTCATAATTATCCTGTAACTTATTAAATTTTTTTTTAATTTTACTTTCGTTTTGTACTGACAACTCAAATTCCTCAGTTGTGGAATATAAAAATATTATATCATCATTTATTTTATTAAAGCTCAGAAGTTAATATTTATTTCAATCTGTTCATTCAATTAGCAAGTCAAAGCGATCCGTTTCTTTTTCATCTATGAAAAACCTAACATAACGACAATACAATCCTATTCCTGTATTATATATTTGATATAATTTCGAGGAATTAGTTAGCCCGACTAGTTGTATCGTCTAAGTACTGCTTTAGGGCGAAGGTGTATGGCGCGAAAACTGACATTTGACACATAACATAAAAGTAAATTTCGCTAATTTTTTGCGATTTCAAGAACTGTTTTAAAAGCTAGGAAACATTTCTATCAAATATAGATTTCTACTATGAGTGATTCCACTTATAAACATAAGTATCAAAAATACAAGCTACGAGTGAAAACATGGGAGCGCGATTTCAAGCGTAAATTTTCACGAGTTCCGTCCAAGGTGCGTAGTAAACATGAAATAAAAAGTGAAAATATGTTTGCATATATAACTTTTTTATTTTAGTATGATATCCGTGAGGCGCCACAAGAAATACGAGATGCTTACAAAATGTACTACAAATTGAAAACCTCATTTCTGGAGGATACTTTGAATGATGTTTTTGATGACGACGGATTTAGTGTTCTTGAAATTTCGCAGAGTCGAAGCGAATTAGCAACAAATGATGAAAGTTCAAAAATGTCCAGTAGCATTGCCGCGCTAGTTGGTAGTGCAACATCTTCAAATATGCTAGAAGAAATAAAAACACCTAAAGAAACGAAAAGCAACAAATACAAAGGCGTGACTTATGCTGATTTCGAAGAAAAAGTGGTCAGAGAATTTGATGCGGTAGAATTTTGTGAATTAAATGAAAAAGCATGGGGGCCCGAACAAAGTATACAAAACTCAATGCCTGAAAAAGAAGTTGATGAAAGTCCCCGCGAACCAAGTGCTTTGACGAAGCCTTTCACATCAAGCTTATGTGCAAAACTTTTAAAGGCGTCATCATTCAGTAAACGCAATCCAAGGAAGTCACTTTCTCGCGTTAATTCGGGTATAGGTACACCAATATCACGTCAGGAATCTTTGTGTAATACATCGCAGCAATCGGAAGTTTTACCCGATTTAGAGACTATATTACTACAAAAAGCTAAGGAGCAACAATCGTTGTCAGCCGTTGCTCTCAATCCATTATTAGTAGGTGAGTATTCAGCCTTTTTCTGCAACAGACGGGTATACGTAACCGGAAGTTTTTAATATTTGGAAACGATAATACAACATCTATCTAAAAAGCTAAAACTGTTATTTCCTAAATATTTCATTTAGTAAAAACAAAGTTTATTTTATTGCTAATTTTCAGGCAAGGACACCGCTACTCAACTAAATATAGATGCCGGCTGGCTAAACCGTAATACCATCGATGAGGGACTAGAAGGAGGTGTAGAAACGCAATCAGTTAAATCACTGACTCGACCTGCAACAACAGTGGAAAAGCGTTTTGGACTAAGCAATATCAATGTGAAAACTGTGGTACCCTTGACCAATAATAATAATATAAAACATGAAGAAACGTTAAAAACAAATGTCGTGGAAACCAAACCAGCAACTGCAAACAAAACACTCTTGGCGACAAGTGCGTTTGTTAATGTAGATGTTAATGGCGACTCAGATTCAGTTGTTTCTGATAGCGGTGGTGAGGATCAAGAACAAGCTTATGTACACGTCGCCAAAAGACGCCGAGTGCTGAGAACAATTGAAAAAAATCAAACGAATAAGAAAGGTGATTTGCCAACGATTAAGAACGAGAAAAACGAGCTGAAAGCAATAGCATTTCAGGAAGAATCAGCTACGTCAGAAGTTCAACAAGAGAAGGTACAACTTTATGATTTCTCGGATGACAATGGTGACGCAGACTATTCACCACCTAAAGCTAAGAAAGGAGCGCGCAAAACTGTTAAGCCTGCTAAAAAGACCGCCAAAACCAAGGAAACAAAACAAAAAACTAAAGAAAATTCTAAAAAAACAAAAATAATGAATTCCGTGAGAACAAGTAGGACTAGAGGTAATAATACCAAAAAAGGTGCACCCGAAGATAAGAGCGACATTACTGCCACGAACATGGAGCAGGTAAGCGAAGAACCCGACGAAAAACCACCAGAAGCAGCTATGTTGCGTTATACAATGCTGCTCGAGAGTGGTGAACTCACAAGTACGCCCCGTGTACCAAATAGTGAGCTGGAGAAAGCCGACGATGTAGCACAGCGGTATATAAATAGCACACATGTGGTAGTCGCCAAAGCGGAAACAGCAGCAACTAGTCAGAAATCCACACATTTACCAATCATTGATGAGAAGCGTGCGACAGCACGAAAGAAGCTTGAAGAAAAAGTTGCAGCTGGTAAACTTAATGAGAATTATGTATCGATAAATCTGCAAAAGAAGATATATGCACGCGGTAAACGAAATGTTAATTACTCTAAATATAAGAAAAAGATGTGGCGCCACAAAAAGAAAATTGCTGCACTCGCCGGTCCGGATATGGATATGGGCGGTTGTGATGGTGGTGTACTAACGTGCTTCACTTGCGGGCAAGTGGGACATTTCGCCGCACAATGTAAGATAAAGGGCGACGCATTATTGCCTCTAACAGCACAACTTGAGGAGGATCCCTCACCATTTCCAACGCTTGAAGAAGCTGAGCGTATGGCTGCTCAGAGTGCTGTGGTGGCACATAGTAGAAATATATCGAAATTACCAGCCGCAGCGAATAGCGCAATGTATCAAAACAATGAGGAGGATACTGAACCGCATAAGAATTACGAGCATGATGACACAGTTAATCAAGCGTCAATTGCTGGTAGAGACAGTAATGCTGATGCCTCCGAAGGCGATGATGACTGCTCGGAAAATGACGATAATGAAAATATGTATTTTGAGAGCGATGAAGAATTTGAAAATATTAATCTTGATGAGGTGACCACATCGGCTACACAAGAGTCACCGATTAAAAAATATGTGGGTCATAAAATACCGGAAGATTTTCTTAAAAAAGTCGGTCTACATTCCAATTCTGAAAATGGCAAAACATCTGATACGAAATTCGGTGGTATTACACCCATTTATGAACTTGATGCCGATGATAATGTGCGCGAGGACATACCCACCGAAGTTACAGAGGCGCTACGTATGTTCGGGCATACAAATTTTCGAAAAGGTCAAGAGCGTGCAATTATGCGTATATTATCTGGCGTGTCAACGTTGGTTACATTAAGTACAGGCAGCGGTAAATCATTATGTTACCAATTACCTGCTTACCTATACAGTCATCGTAGGCGTGCAATAACATTAGTTATATCACCACTTGTATCTCTTATGGAGGATCAGGTGACAGGCGTACCACATTTTCTGCGCGCACATTGTTTACACACCAATCAAACGCCTCAACAGAGAATCAAAGTAATGGAAATGATAACGGCGGGTGAAGTAGATATTCTATTGGTGTCACCGGAAGCTGTTGTGTCTGGTGAACGTTCGACAGGTTTTGGTGCTATTCTGCGACAATTGCCGCCAATCGCTTTCGCTTGTATTGACGAGGCGCATTGTGTGTCTCAATGGAGTCATAATTTCCGTCCAAGTTATCTGATGATTTGTAAAGTGCTCAGAAAGAATTTGGGCATTCAAACGGTTTTGGGCTTGACCGCAACAGCAACTTTACCAACGCGTCTTAGTATTATCAGCCATTTAGGAATACCAGACGGCGAACGTGGTGTTATCAGTGATATTCCCTTGCCAGATAATCTTCTATTGTCTGTATCAAAAGACGAAAACAAGGACGCTGCTTTATTGGAATTACTTTTAAGTGATCGGTAAGTTATATTTTAATTATAAAATGCCTATACAAAACTGTTAACATTAATTACCACGTGCACGGAATGTTTGGTGAAGTTGGTAAACCCATAAACCCTTTTTGTTAAATTGAAATATTTTATTTTACCCTGAACAGGGTACATTAAGTTTGATAAAAAGGTATAGCATATAGCTGTCATACAAACTGAACGATCAAATAGATGTCTTCGTTTAAAAAAGGTTTTTAATTGACGAGATATTTCCACGAAATTTTGCATGGGTTATTGTCCAATGGTACAATCTTCGAAGAAATTGTTCAGATCGAACCACTGTAGCATATGGCTGCCATACAAACTGATTGATCAAAATCCAGTTCTTGTATGAAAAACTTTTATTTGACAAGATATTTTCATGAAATTTGGAATGGCTTGTTGTGCAGGGTAATACTACAATATCTGAACAATATAATATAATATCGGACCACTATAGCATATAGCTGCCGTACAAACTGATCGATCAAAATTTAATCCTTGTATGAAAAACTTTTTTCTTTGCAAAGATATCTTCACGAAATTTGGCACGAATTATTGTCTAAAGCAACGCCTCAATCTCAAATTTGTTCAGATCGAACCACTATAGCATATAGCTGCCATACAAACTAAACGATTAAAACTGAGATAAATAACTTTTTGTACCCATTTATGTTATGCTAGAGAACGAGATCTGACCCATTTCTGTATTGGGTCTATAAAAGCGTAATAAGTCGCAACTAACAAGATTACGCTACGGCAAATATATTCGTCTCCAGCAATATATTCGTGACAGTCCTTGACCGAATTAAATACGGGTCCGTTCCGGTTACTTAGACCCAACTGTCTAAATATTATACCTTATGTTAATTTGTATATATGTATTGTATGTAAATGTAACATTAGCAGTTTTATATATTGTAAATTCCAGGTTTAGTGACTGCCAATCCATAATCGTTTACTGTACACGTCGCGATGAATGCGAGCGTATCGCTTCGTATCTTCGCACTTGTATGCAGGATCAATGTAACGATAAAAATGTAACGGAAAGCGGTAAGCGCAAACGAAAACGTACTAATTGGGCGGCAGAACCGTATCATGCTGGCATGCCGGCTTCACGTCGTCGCACAATACAAAATGCATTCATGCGTAATGAGTTGCGCATAGTTGTGGCCACCATTGCTTTCGGTATGGGCATCAATAAGTCCGACTTACGTGCTGTCATCCATTACAATATGCCTCGCAACTATGAGAGTTATGTACAGGAAATCGGACGTGCCGGACGTGACGGCAAACCGGCACAATGTCATCTCTTTTTAGATGCACGCGGTGGTGATAAGTGTGAGCTACGTCGTCATATCTACTCGAATTCGATTGATCGACATGTGATAAGAAAATTATTGCAACATGTCTTTGTACCGTGCGCCTGTGCCAAGAAGGAGACATCAGAGGCGCAAGTTTCGCGAGGGAATATGTTGAAAGCAACAAATGCGGAGGAAAATAATCGCATTTGTCCCGGCCATGAAATCGGTTTCTCCGTGCAACGTACAGTTGAGGTATTGGATATACCAGAAGAAAATATATCCACATTGTTATGTTATTTAGAACTGGATTCTCGTTGGAATATAAGTGTGCTCAGCAATGCTTATACTATGGCCAAGATCATTTCATACGGTGGTGCAAAGTACCTGAAGTAAGTATTCTAGCGATTAAAGCCTATTTTTATATCCTCAGCGGGATATATAATATTATATTAAGTATACCACGAAGTTTGTAACAAGCAGTAGAAAACGTCGTATATATGCATGATGATGCATGATGATGCATGATGAGCTGATTCGATTTAGCCATATCCGCTTGTCTGTCTGTATATACGCTAGCTCATCAGTTTTTGAGTTATCGATCTGAAATTTTACACACGTTCTTTCCTCCCCAAAAAGCTGCTCATTTATCAGAATCGAAGCTATTGAAACACTTTAAGATATAGCTGCCATAAAAACTGATCGATCTAAATCAAGTCCTCGTATGGAAAACTAATTTATTTGTCGAGATATCTTCATGAAATTTTACATAGTTTATTGGCAACACATTGTTCAGATCGGACCACTATAGCATTTTATCTTGTTTTTTATCAACACATTTTATATATTATATAATTAATATATTTCAGACATGCGGCCAAAGAATGTCCACCTTTAGCTATGGCAATCGCTTTGGAAATAAAACAAGATAAATTTAAGGATGATGCGAATATAATTGAATTTTCAGTGGTTGATATTGCTGCAGCGATCGGTTGGAATAGTGGCGTTGTAAAATATCAATTGAAAAATTTGGAGTGGATTGAAGGTAATTTGTTAAAACTCATATACGAAATTGTATTTTTATGTAGTAGTGTTGATTTTACTAATACAAGTATTTCGACTGTTTCCCAGAGAATATAAAATTTCATACATTCCAACAATTTATAATTTGATTAAACATACTCATATTTTTCAGTCGATGGATATCCGCGACGTTCCCCGATTAATGTAAATTTCCACGACATCGGTTTTCGTTTGAAGGCGCCGGGAGATTTTATACCCGAAGAAATAGATGATGCTCTCGATACACTCTATAATCGTACAGTCGAACAGGAGAGTACGCAATTGATACAGCTACAGTATGTCTTTCAAGGTCTATCTTTAGTCGCCTACAATAATTATGTGCCGTGCATGAGCGCTAACTATGCTCCAGATCGTTCCAATCAACTTAAAGGAATTATACGCGATTACTTTCTAAATGATTATCCTAAAGAACTGAAACTAGAACCGGATGTAAGTCTTATATTAAGTCAAATAATTTCACAAAAATTGAAATTTAAAAAATTATCACATTTTCAGAATTCCAATATGTCCGATGGTGATATTGAACACGATGTACTCACGCTCATCAGCATGTATCCAGATAATAATTTCAGCGGTCGGAATATTGCTCGCATTTTCCATGGCATAACAAGTCCAAACTTTCCAGCTGTTATATGGGGCCGTTGTAAATATTGGAGAGCTCACTCAAATATTGATTTTAATCGCATTTTAAAATTGGCGAACGCCCTTATTGTACGACGACGCATTTAATAATTTTTTCTTTGCTTAGGGAAGAGGTCAGTCTAATGTATTGAGGCAATTTTAGTTTTTAAAACTTATGATAGTTCCAAAACTTGCATATCCATCATAAATTTAAATTCATTTATTATTGTATGTTATCCATTTTAACTATATAACTTGTTCACAAACAGTTTTTAGCTTTATCAATTGCTTTTTAATTTAATACATAAATTATTTTTAATATTGACAAAACTGAAAAGACTTCAAATAGAAATGCCTCTCAAAATAGACTCCGTATAAAAACGCTTTTTTATAATTGTCACAAGACATATTAGTTAATATATATATACACTTTAAGCTTTACTATGTATTTAGGTATTATTTTTTTTTTTATAAGAATGTTTTTAAATAAAGTTGACAAAAAATATTTTTACATATATTTTAATTTTGAGTAACTGGATAATACGACTATATTCATTGCTTTTTTGCATACGAAAGAAATTTTGTAATGCAACTTTGCCTAAAATATTGTTAGAGTTAAAGCAACATTTTAGTAGTATAACACAGTAACAGTATAATAGTTTTGTTCACCTAACGGTTGTTTGTATCACCTAAAATTAATCGAGTTAGATATAGGGTTATATATATATAAATGATCAGGATGAAGAGACGAGTTGAAATCCGGGTGACTGTCTGTCCGTCCGTCCGTCTGTCCGTCCGTCCGTCCGTGCAAGCTCTAACTTGAGTAAAAATTGAGATATCTTTATGAAACTTGGTAGACATGTTTCATGGTACCGTGAGACGGTTGGTATTGCAGATGGGCGTAATCGGACCACTGCCACGCCCACAAAACGCCATTAATCAAAAACAAATAACTTGCCATAACTAAGCTCCGCAATAAGATACAAGACTGTTATTTGGTACACAGGATCACATTAGGGAGGGGCATCTGCAGTTAAATTTTTTTTTTTTAAAGTGGGCGTGGTCCCGCCTCTAATAGGTTTAATGTGCATATCTCCTAAACCGCTAATGCTATAATAACAAAATTCACTGGAAGCAAATGTTTTTAGCACTTCTATTGACGGTGTGAAAATAGTTGAAATCGGGTGGCAACTCCGCCCACTCCCCATATAACGGTACTGTTAAAAACTACTAAAAGCGCGATAAATCAAGCACTAAACACGCCACAGACATTAAATTTTATCTCTGGGATGGTATAAGATGACTTTATAGGAACCGCGTTCAAAATTAGACAGTGGGCGTGGCACAGCCCACTTTTAGGTGAAAACCCATATCTTGAGATCTGTTTAACCGATTTCAACCAAATTCGGTGCGTAACGTTCTTTTCATGTTTCTATGTCATAGTGCGAAAATGGGCGAAATCGGATTACAACCACGCCTATTTTCCATATGACACCATTTTAAATACCACTTGATTCTTTCACTTTCCACTATGCAAATCAAGCAACAATGATTATATCGGCGTAAAACTTTGCGTGAATAATACGTTTAAAGTATGCCACCTAAAAATCGAACCAAAACTGTTCAAGCCCCTAGGTACTGAATATGTGGACCCCAGTACCTATAGTTGACTTTTTACCGTAAATATCAGTCAATCCACAAAGAAATCTCAAACGAGTATACCATTTGACTTTGCGAGAGTATAAAATGTTCGGTTACATCCGAACTTAGCCCTTCCTTACTTGTATGTATATAGGTATAACATATACATAATATAGATATTATACATATATGGCACATGACTGTGCTGTAGCTCATATCCATCGTCTTCCTTATTTTTAATAGAGTTTTTCCTTTAAATTTCGTGAAATGAATGACATTCTGTGCCGTTTTATTGGACTCTTTAACTAAATTTATATTTGAATACCTTACTATTTCTATGATTTTTTAATCATGTTGAAAATAACTCCAAAAAACACTTTAAAGCAGCGAAATCAAGTACTTTATTCACAATGCAATAATACCGTGATCGAATGACACTTATCTAGTGAAAATGTTTCTGAATTTACTTTGAGCTTCTTGCAATGAAACTTGCTTAGTCTCTGGTAGACAGAAGAAGCCTAAAATGAAGAACGCCAAATAAAAAACACCAAATGTAATGAAGTATGTAGCCAAGCCGTCTTTATCTGGCGTGCATGCGCTGATAATAAGTAATACGAACATCTCCACGATGAAGGGTAGAGCAATGTAGTAGGGTTTCAAGTGCAGCGGAAATGCTTCCGTCAAATATGCTGAGGACGCGCTATTAACGAAGCTCGCAAACAGTCCCAACACGAAGAGCATATACAGTACAGCTCCCATTTTGGATGAGGAGAAAAAGTTGAAGAAGTCATTGTAAATGACGCCAATGGCGATCGCCAAGATACCGCTTAAAAGTGCGCCGATAAGAAGTGTCTTCTTGCGGCCAACTGAGTCCAGGCTGAAGGCTGCTATGCAGGTGCCTAGCCACAAAAACAAACCGTATATTAGCCAAGGCCACGTGACGAATTGTTCCGCATATACTGTAGATGCCCATAAAAGTGCTGCAGTAATGGTTGGCGAGAATGAGAGAGCAACCAGGCCGCGATGTAAGCAAAGCTTTACTAGTGCTGGTATGCCTTTATCGCCATTCGGGTCGCTGGCTTCAATGTAACGTTTATGCTCCTCCAAGCGCTGATATGTTTCCTGTGTTACAACGAACGGACGCTGCAAACGTCGCAAGCAATCGATAGCCTCATGCTCGTTATTATGCATCAAATGGTGAACCGGTGATTCGACTACAAAGAAGTACGACATAACAAACGCTAGCACGGCGTAGATGATAGCGATGACACCATGAAGTTGCGTGGTTCCAAATGAATTATTGGAAGATGATGTGGTATGACTGAAAGAGGCCGCGAATACAATTTGGAGGAATATTCCGAGAGCGATACTGCCTGATTCAAGGATTCCGGCGCCCAAGCCGCGCCTTTCACTGTTTACCTCTTCGCCAATCAGCACAATCATTGGCACGAACACAAGGCCCACAGCGAAGCCATTTAAATAACGGGCGGTAGCAATCCCACCGTATTTATCAGCCAATGTCACGAAGAATATACCCCCGATCAAAATCAAAAACGCTGAGAATATCTAAAAGGGAAAAGAGACATTGTTAATAAGCCCAATTCCTTGCGTTTGTGTTGACCTGACATAAATGAGCTTCTTTAATACACGGTTAGTAATAAATGCTGAGACTGAAGCTCCAAAAATTGCGGCGACATACCAACATATCAAGATATGGGTATCTGTTGTGAAGTTCTGCACATTGTCAAAGCCACAGCTCCAAGCGATGTTCATGCCGCCCGTAACTAAAACGAATAGAGCTGAAAATTGACGGGATTAGATTATTAAAATCTGGACACAAGACTGTAAGAACAGCAAAACAAGTAATTTTATGTAAAACGAGCCTTGAAGAAAATGTGGAAGAAGGAAAAGTTTCGCAAAAATTAAAATTCAGTTTATTGGACCTTAATGGTTGGTCCTAACCTGTAAACACCGCTTTATAAATAACACTACTCTCGAAGAAGCAAAAATTATTACTCAGTCTGCAAATTCTATAATTTTGATTTGCATATCGCACGATGTATGTAGTATCAAGAAACTGACTTTTTGAAATCGATTCAAAAATCCAAAAATCTCAGAGATAGTCTTATCTGGTTAAACCAAAGATGATTTCAGAATATAATTAAAGCAACCACCCTTTTTACTTGTTACCTGTAAAACGTTCATAAAGATTTGGGAAAATCGTGTTTGTATTATTAGGAAAGTTGAGAGTTTGTTGGGTGCGTTCACTTTTATGCAACTTCAAGTGCTCATACGAAACGAATGTGTTAAAAAAAAAAACAGACATATATACAAATTGATTTTGTATATAAAAAGGTTTATATTTTTATAACTTGTATTCCACTTTCTGAAAATAGTGCAAACGACTTGTCTACAATGCTAATTCCCTTTCGTCGTTTTTGCATTTAATATTCTTTGCTCCCACATTCGTCGTTATGGACATCTTCAATCAAATAGTTGCTTCGCTGACCTTCAAGTATTCCAACTCCATAAATATGCTGACACAGTTTATTTTTAACGAAAACAACCGACAATTAAGCGCCAAAAGCAACAACACCAGCCTTCATAAACAGAATGTGCTCGTAACTTTACAGCACATACAAATTGTAAATGCATTTCATTTCTGCAAAGCTGTAAATGATAGCAGACTTATAGATCCCGTTTTTCACTCAGAATTAGAGAAGCCTTCGAATTAAAATGACGAAGACAAATTTTCGCTCCTATCAACACTGTTACTTAAAAGTATACTTGTATACCTGCTCCAGCTGAGTTCATTTGCGGCTTATTGGCTTGGTTGCGTGCGAACCAACCTTCCGTCGGCGGTATAGTTTGCTGGGGAGGTTGCGGACTGTAGCCGAAACCAGTGGCTGGGACAGGGTCTTCTACATGGATCGCAGCGGGAGTGGGCTGAGTTCCTATTGCACCATAAGTTGGTTGTCCACCCGTCTGGACAGGCGGATATGAGCCACGATTTTCCATATTTATTTAAAGCTTGTTGTTATTATACTCATTTAAAAATAAACGGGTTAATATGTAATTATTTGCCAACCGCTTTCTCGTATAGTCGCATTGTATAAATCTACAAGTAGCCAATCCTAAGATTTTCACTAATGCACACGCAAAAATATCCCACTTGGTACGGGTTGCCAACCAATATTCTGCTACTAAAAGCACACTTTGTACGGGTTGCCAACCAATATTCTACTACTAAAACGGTCAAATGACAGAAATCTGCTCTAGTGTGTTGCCGTGTTATGTTTTAAAATTAATAACTTTAAGAATGTTTTTATTCCATATTCAAATATTTTTCGGTTGTTTTAATTCCTAAAGATTAAATTTACATAGTATTATTTAAATTATTATTTATTGTATTGAAATATTATTAAATGTTTCCAATTTTATCTTTTTTAACTTACATGTTTATGTTTTTGTGAGTAAAAATTCTTTGTCTGTTGAATATTTAAATTCTTAGTTTACCGGTTTAGTCCTGGGGAAAGAAACACCCAAAAAAGGTCTGTAACGCGCCTATATTGCAACCTCAGAGGTGGTGAGGAATAGCAATGGGAAAACTTTAGTTTAGCACCCCACGATTTCAGGGTTAAGAGGGGTATGGTTGGATAGAGAAGACTCTCCAGATCACGAATATATATAACTATTGGCACCGGAAACGTATTGTTTTCCAGATATTTCCATTTTAAGTGCAAATTGTTACACTACAACCTTTTATTTAAAACTCTGTGTCAAAAAAAGGCATATTCGATCAGGTGATCACGGCTGTTTCACACAAATAGGAAAACAGCTGATTCTTTGGCTACTTGTAGGCTTATACAATGTATAGTCGCGCTCGTACTGATTTCTCGAAGTGGAAGCTCAGTACGTGCATACCAGCTCTGTGAAGTCATATGCTTACATGTTTCGAGTATGTGTGCGTGTTTGAGTGATATCTGCTAATATATATACTCATATGTTATACTGTCAATCCCTGAAATATTTATACCCTGAACAGTGTAAATATGTTCAGTATGATGAGCTGAGTGGATTTAGCCATGTCCGTCTGTCTGTCTGTATATATACGCCCCTCTCGTTTCCTCACTAAGAAGCTGCTCAACAAAACGGCCGATATCGGACCACTATAACATAAAGCTGCCATACAAACTGAACCATCGGGATCAAGTTCTTTGTATATGTGAAGCTATAATACCCAGCTTCGGTGCAACCGAAGTTAACGTTTTTTTCTTATTATACTTTCGCAACCTGTTGCTACAGAGTATAATAGTTTTGTTCACCTAACGGTTGTTTGTATCACCTAAAACTAATCGAGTTAGATATAGGGTTATATGTATATAAATGATCAGGATGAAGAGACGAGTTGAAATCCGGGTGACTGTCTGTCCGTCCGCGCAAACTCTAACTTGAGTAAAAATTGAGATATTTTTATGAAACCTGGTAGACATAGTTCTTGGTACCGTGAAACGGTTGGTATTGCAGATGGGCGTAATCGGACCACTGCCACGCCCACAAAACGCCATTAATCAAAAATAAATAAATTGCCATAACTAAGCTCCGCAATAAGATACAAGACTGTTATTTGGTACACAGGATCACATTAGGGAGGGGCATCTGCAGTTAAATATTTTTTTAAAAAGTGGGCGTGGTCCCGCCCCTAATAAGTTTATTGTGCATATCTCCTAAACCGCTAAAGCTAGTCAAATTCACTGGAAGCAAAAGCTTTTAGCACCTCTATTGACGGTGTGAAAATGGGGAAAATCGGGTGACAAGCCCCCCAACTCCCCATATAACGGTACTGTTAAAAAATACTAAAAGCGCGATAAACCAAGTTCTAAACACGCCAGAGGCATTAAATTTTATCTCTGGGATGGTATGAGATGAACCGCGTTCAAAATTAGTAAGTGGGCGTGGCACCGCCCACTTTTACGTGAAAACCGATATCTTGGGATCTGCTTAACCGATTTCAAACTCGGTGCGTAACGTTCTTTTCATATTTCTATGTTATATTGTGAAAATGGGCGAAATCGGACTACAACCACGCCTATTTCCCATATAACACCATTTTCATTTAAATCTAATTCTTTCACTTTCTACTATGCATATCAAGCAACAATGATTATATCGGGGTAAAACTTTGCGTGAATAATACGTTTAAAGTATGCCACCTTGTGACCAAAAATTTTGTAAATCGAACTAAAACTGTTCAAGCCCCTAAGTACTAAATATGTGGACCCCAGTGCCTATAGTTGACCTTCTACCGAAAATATCGGTCAATCCACAAAGAAATCTCAAACGAGTATACCATTTGCTTTGCGAGAGTATAAAATGTTCGTTTACATCCGAACTTAGCACTTCCTTACTTGTTTTATTTTAAATTTTAATTTTGAGTAAATCAAAAGATTTAAGCAGCAAACTTTTGCAATATATGATTATTGATTTCTTTAATTAATGTTATTGTTTAACATAGATATTTGTAAAATTTCAAAAAATATATCCTCAATACAGATGACAAGTGATCGTCACAACAGGTTTTGATAACAAATAATTTTCTTTTTAATATTTGGAGTGTTGAACTGATCAACAAAAACATATAATATAATATGATAATTTGTTGTAAATATCAAAATAAATATATTATTTAATTGCTTATCCTCTATTTATTACTTATTTTAGGTAATTACACCTTTTTCGTTTATACAAGGGTGGTAGGATAGGTACGCAGACTACAAAAATAAATTACAAAAAATTATAACTCAACATAGAGGCATAAACTTGACTTAGCGATTATCCAACTGTTTGTTTGTTAGTTTGAAAAATATATTTTCTGGAGGAGGGGGAGAGAACTTTCTACTTCGCCAATTGTGGCTGTTGCTTCGACGTCGTATGAGCCCAATAATCGTTTTCTCCAGATAGTGGTGGTAAATCACGACTTGGAAATTTTAGACAAGTGGGGCCATAATCTTTCTATTCACTGTATTGTTGCGTTAAATTCCCATCGATCGAGAACGAGTCGCCTTATAAAGCATCCAAGCGTTTTTTCCTTTCAGAAACAAGATTTGAAAGACGATCTGATATTGGTCTTTTTTTAAACGGCAGGCGCGCCTGCGTCAAAACGCGAACAAAAACTTCCGATTCGGTAGATATTCTGTCAGTAGTCGTCTGCAGCAATGTACTACACGTAATGCAGATATTTCTCTTTCGTAAGTCAACTTATCGGGCGGCCAAATACTTATCGGGCCGCTCTCGTACAGTCAGCAGGAGTTTAATTTTCGTTTCTGTTGCGAAACTTGCTTACTTGCTTCGACTATATTTCGAAAAGGAGCGGAACTTGTCGAAAGAATCGAACCGAATTCAGTACCCTAAAGTGTTTCGAATATTTTATCACAGGTATTGATGGGCCCTGACTAATGACTCGCATTAATAAAACAAATTATTTGCTTCTGTAATAGTAACTAATGTTTTTTTTTTATTTAAAACTTTTGTAATCGTTATTTTGTGTTTATTATTATTTATTATTTATCATTGATGACGTGAAGTAAGAAATTGAAATTAAAATTATGATATACACATATAATATAAATAATAGCATAAATTTACCTTTTGTATACCTTAAATGTTTTTTTTATTTTTATTTTATTTTTTCCTTTCTATTTTAATCATTAATTTAACTTCATTTATGCTTTGTTTATATGTTACCAGATTTATATACGCGTTTGTATAGGAGTTTTAATCAATATTTAAAAAATAAGTAATTATTATAATTAGTGCCTTATACGAGTATATATGTATATGTATATATATATATTAAATAATATAATATATATGTTATGCATGTCTAGCCCACAAGCCTGTATTATTAGCTAACACCCAGACCTTGCGCCTTTAATACAATGTATACGAATGACAAATAATGCATTCCGCATGCAAAAGTTTTCGTTAGCATATTGTGGCCCTTATAAATACTAATGTTATTGAGAAGTTTTACAGTAATTTGGAAAGCTATTTTTGAGGACGGTGTGTGTGTGTGTGTGTAGTTAAAAGAAAGACATAACTAAAAACAAAAATACTTATTTGTTTCATTTTTTTAATTAAACATTTGCACATAGCTAAAAAGGAATATTTGAGAAAAAAAAACAAAAATAAACGGAAATGATTTGGTCCTATTCATGCGAAAAAACCACCACTACTGACTCCTCAACGCAAATCAAAAGCTACCCTACCCAGAACTTCATAAAGCCTGCGGCATAAAAGTGGCATGAAACACAGAATTTTGTCGTAGCTCTCAAAAATACTTTCCACTGTTAATTTTTCAATATTTTATTAATTAGATTTTAAGTTTTTTTTTTGTGTTTTAATGCTTAGTGTAAATTTGGGTGTGTATGTGTGTATTTTTATTATATATTTTTGTGTTTTTTGTTTTTTTTTTGTTTTCTTCTTCTGCTATAAACTAATAATATGTATTCACTTATACTTCTGTAATTATTTACCTTTATTATTTTTTTTACTAATTTACACGCCATTAATGTGCTTACTCCTGGTTTTCCACATCTTTAATGTTTCATTACATACTAACAGAATTAATAAATAAAATTACTGTACCCACAAAAACACAGGCAATGTGTGCTTGCTCTATCACCCTTTAATTAGGCAATCACACCGCTTGAATCGAGTGTGTTTTTGCTTTCGCACAAATTGTTTAAAAGTTAAATTTAAAATTATTTTGGGTGACATCCATCAACTGCATTCAACTAGCCGGCTAAATTAGTGTAGTGATAGTGATTTAGATTGAACGTTGATGACTGCGCACTTTCTGTCCGTTTATCAAAGCTATGTTTGTTTGTTATTGTTGTTGTGTTTTTCTTTTAGTTGTTTTCTCTCTGTTTGCCATGGGTTTCAGCGTAGCTTAGCGGCTGCTATTTGTTTGTATGTTACAGCTTATATGTATGTACTTGAACAGGTGTGATTGGATCGTCGTGGCAGCGTCGAATCAAGCAAATTACGAAATGCGACCTGATTTGGTAAATTTAATGCACGCTTTTTCCACTACTCGATTTTCCTTCACTATCCTTATTGCAGCACATTTTATATAATATTTCCTACTGATTTATACTGCAATATGTTTAATCTGAAAAGAAAAAATGTGTTTTTTGTATTATATATATAAATAGAAATTAAAAAAAAAAAAAATTTTAAAAAAATTAAAAAAAAAAAATTAAAATAAAAAGGAATATAAATAAATACAAGCAATACATTTACTCCCTAAAAGGCCCTGGATAATAAAAATTCCCGTCACACGACAATCAGGTTTAAATAAACGCATTGGAACCCGAATCATGTACATTGAAGGGTGTTTTATGTTGCTAATACAACAAAAATACATTTTACGAGAATGCATATTTACATTTCTGGTCAAACAAGTGTAAAACAAAAAATTAAAAATATTATTTTCATTATTATTGCTATAAAAAAACATTAATTCGCTTTGCATTTGGGAAAGTTACTGGTGATCGGCGGTTTCGACAAATGAGCAGCTTCTTGGAGATAAATAGACGTGTACAAAATTTCAGATAGATATCTCAAAAACTGAGGCTTCGCGTATATACAGACAGACATGCGGACATGGTTAAATCGACACAGCTTATCATTTATATATTATATTTAAGTATTATATATACTTTATAGGGTCTTCGATGTTTCCTTCTGGATGATACAAACTTCGTGGCAAACTTAATATACCCAGTTCAGGGTATAAACATTTTTACTACAACTACAATTTTTTATTGAATAACTACAAATTGTTACTAAAAATAGTATTTTTGGGTTGAAGTAAAAATCAAACACGGATGAAATTTGCAAAATCGCTATTATGACTAGATGAATACCACAATATCATATGGCAATTGGTTCGAACAGCACTTTCGAATGTAAAACGCAGTAGGGAACTTAGTATACGGCTTTTGATGCCTATTTTGAATTTGGTATGATCTTTTTGTTCCATGGTTAAGTTTTGAAATATATTCGAGAAAACTCTTACAATTTCTTACTGTTTTTATAGTTTTTGAGCAATAACTCAATACGTCAGATTGCAACTGACAATGGTGGAAGGGCTAAAGCCAGATATATTATATAAATAATAAATGGAAATAAGGTTAGTCAAAAGTTTAAGCAGTGGTAAAGTCTTTAAATAAGATTACAAATTCATTGCAGAATAAAATTATTTATACTAAGGCATTAGTTGAAGTTAGTTTGCAGTAGTTTTTATATATTTACCTATGATGTGACTTTCCATGTTTGTTATACGAGGCTTTGACGATGGTTGCGGTATAATTGTGATTTCGTCATTGATTTTAAGCGGCTTCAATAATGAGTCATTCGTTGCCATCAAACTACTACGCTGTTGATGATTAAGTGCGCCCATACCGCTGCCGCTGGCCATACCACCTGCACTTGACGCTGCAGCCGATGTATTATTCTTTTTGCCATCCATAGCCTTTTTTGCGACTGTACTGTGCGCCGTATACACGTGTGTCTCAAATTGTTTGTACATGCCAAAGGTTGCTGTACACACTGTGCATTTGTAGGACAAATGTGCAGGTTTCAGTGTCATGTGATGGTCGCGCGACACGTGATTCAACAGTTTCCATTGATACATCTGTTTTATGTTTATAAATATGTTTTATTAATATATTCGATTTTTTTTTTAGCTTTTTTTATATTAACTTACCCTGCCACATACGGGACACCGGCCGGCATCTTTTCCCTTATTAGCGGCTTCTTGCATCGAGCTTGTGACCAAACCATGAGAGCCCAGTAAATGTCGTTCCAGACCTTGATCGGTAAAGAAACGGAATTGACACTTTTGGCAATTTAATGGCGGCCGGTTGTAAATCATTTTTGGGTGTATCTGCAAGCAAAAGTATACGATAATTAGATCGACTATCGGTATGATAACATTAGAAGTAGCATACCTTCACTTTATGCATCCATTGCATGTGGTTGCGTAGTTGTTCCAAATCCTTAATGTAACCATCACAAATTTCACAGATGACAAATTGTGTTTTGCTATTGCCACCACCACCTACCATTAGGTTTTGGCCAGGCTTCATACCGGTCGGTGGCATTTTGCTTGTTGACGGCGAAGTCACAACTGGCTGCGCAGTGTTTTGGCGAGGTAGTGGAGTTATAGAAATACTTGGTTGACCGGTAAGCGTTTTTTTAGCAAAAGCATTTGCTGCCTATGGGCAAAAGTGGTTACAATTTGCATTTGTTTTTAATTTTAAAGCTATTGTTTATGTTTTCAAATATTGACAAACCTGCAAGAGTTGTCCGCCTGGTACTTGGTAGTTATTGGGCTGCACCACATTCGTGGCCATTTGGGAGCGTATAGGTGCGGGTCCACGTAGCATTGGCCCACTTGGCAAGGGACCGGTTTTTTGTGTTGTGATAACTGGAGGGCGGCCGCGTATCTTATTTGCAGCGTTTTGTGCAGCAAGTGCCGCCGCTTGCATGGTACGCGCTTGAGCTGCTGCCTGTTGCTGTTGTTGTATGGATGCAAGCGCTGCCTTTTGTGCCGCAGCTTGCGCAGCCATTGCCTAAGAAAATCAAAAAGTTAATAAATGAAAAAATAATATTGAGTAAATGTTTCATTTTACCTGATACGCCGTCGCAGTGCCCACGAGTCCATGACGCGGTTTGATACGCGGTATTTTCGCTGGTGCCTCCCAATCAGCAGGCGGCGCTAAATTAATTTCAGGGCGGAATTTCTTCGCGCAAACCGGTTGATGGCGTGCCAATTTAGCCTTGCCATTATCTTCGAATCCACAATTCGGGCACTGATGATACGGTAACGGTTTAATGAGACGCGCTTTGATGTTGTGTATCGCTTCCATGTGATAAACAATTTCGGTGGCGTTACGTATCTCAAAAGCGCAGAAATTACACTTATACAACGCACCATTCATATGGGGTGTTTCATAATGATTGGCCATGGAGAGTGCAGATTCCGACTTGAAATTACAGAACTCACAGCGTTTCATGGTAAATTTGAAGGGTGTATTCTTTTTGCGTGAAGCTTCCAAGTTGCCAGACAGTGCTGTTATAGCACGCTCAAACTCTGTAATATTCTTTCCCAGACTTTTGCGCATTTTACGTTTTTGCAAACGTATTAAATCTGACTGTACAAATTCTTGTACCAGACCTACACCGATGTCCATGAAAAATTTACCCAGTGGACTTTCGAAATAATTCTCTTGACCGGGTTTCGGGGCTATGGTGGAATTTTGTGCTGAGGTGCTTGGCGATTGCACAAGTGCCGCTGCTGGTTTAATGGCGCCTTTTAGTGCGGGCAAATCATCGGAAACTTCTTTGATTAAGACTTTAGTGCGCATACCGGATTCCGAATCATCGTCGTCGTCATCGTCATCATCTTCTTCCGATTCCTCTGACCACGACTCATCGGGATCGTCGGCGCCACGTCGCCGTTTCTTCTTTTTATTGTTTTTGTCTTCTTTGTCTTCCTTATTCTGTTCGGTCATCATGTCGAATTCATCAGCTTTATCTGCGTCAGCGAGATCATCTTTCGTCAGTTTATATTTATCTTCGATATCTTTAACTATATTCCTGAGATTGTCCACTGGTGGCTTCTCATAAATATAGGGAACGATAAACGAAGGTGCCTCTAGTACAAACATGTCGTCCGTAAGGCCAGGTAGTAAATTCGCTGCATTCGCACTACCAAGTCCTGGGAAGGAAACAGGATTTATGCCACCGGCATTATTTATGGGCATACTTGGATTTCCGACAGGTATAAGTTTTGGTGGTCCTCCCGGTGATGCTATATTAGCTGCTGGCGTAATATTTACGGGATATACGTTGCTCTCGGCTACTTTTCTGGCAGCTGCGACTGCAGCAGCAGTTGCTGATGCGGTATCATGTGCCATAAGTGAACGTGCATCTTTTATGGAAATTTGATTAGTAGAGGATCCAGGTCCTACGCTACGCTGACGTTTACTTGGCGGTTGCGAGTCATCCGAGTGCTGTGGCGAGTCCATAGCCATGCTCTTGCGTTTACTCAAATCACTTGCCGCTTGTAGCCGTGGCGCAGGTGTATCATCCTCAATAACTACGCAATCATCATCTTCGTCATCGTCAATGATTTGTGTCTCATTCGATGCTTTTTGCTTTGACGGCATGTTGCTATTAGCTTCTGTATCTGAATCTGAGGCAATAACTACAGCGCCATCTGAGTCACTGCATATCGAACGTGTCTTACGTACGGCAGTAGCATTCGACGACGTCACTGCCGTACTATTTTCAGTGTTGTTTATTGTAGTATCAGCCGCATTTGCTTTTGATACTGCCATCACTTCGTCGTCTGAGTCATCGCCCAGGTCCACAAAGCCACCAGCGTCGTTCTTTGGGACACCGTTTTCTTTCTTTTGATCTTGCATCTTTATATCGTTGCTTATCGAAAGTGGGTCTGCCCCGGTATCATCGACACCGACACTTCTGCTGTCATCCGTTTCATTCTTGTTTGCATTTAATTTGTGCTCTTTGTCTTTAATCACCTTGCTCTCATGACTGTGTATATCGGCGCCCTCTATTTCACTAACGCTATCGGTATTACTGCTAACGGTGGCTGGTCTTTCTAAACTTTCACTTGGTTCATTACTATTGTCTTTTGGATCAGTCGCTTCGCCAACAGTACTACGCGATCGGTGTGTGTCATCGTCGCTTTCACCACCACCAGATTTGTCTGTGTAAGTATTAGAATTTTGTAATTCATCATTGCAAAAACTTCGCGATTTATCCTTTAAACTGGCCACCATGGGAACGATTAAGCCATCGACTTTATTATCATTATTTAGTCGTTTTTCTTCTTCTACGTGCGCCGCATTCCCATCATCTTCGCCCGTTGACATTTTACTATCTTCACCACCGCCACCATCTACACCTCTGCCGTTTTCTGTGGTAGATGATGCCGTCATTTGGGAATCATCTTCTTCTTCGGTATCAGCGCCATCTACGTCCATTTGCTCGTTACGCATGTCGACGTCCGTTGACACTCGACTGTTATTGATTTTGTTCAAACCATTCTGTTCTTTCAATTGTTGTTGTTCATCATTGCTGACCACTGCCGAAGCATTGGCATCCGTGTAATCGCTACTACTGGGCACTGAGTGTTCCTCAGTTATAGCATGAGTGGAGGAAATGGGTTGTGTTGTTGCCTCTGGCATTATACCATCGACTTCAGTCATTTGCTTCAAGCGTTTATATTTTCTCAACAAAATTTAACTGCAAAAAGGAAATAGTGAACAAAATTATGCAATGTTATTTGAAAAGTTTGTTTACATAATATCTACTTAGTATAAGTTAATTGTTTTATTAATTTATTTTTGATTATTGATTTATTTTATAGATAAATGTGTTTTTTTTTTGGAATTATTACTCAAAAATATGTATGTTGAGTATTTACTATATATTCTTTTTTAATATACTAAATATTATTTTATTTTGACATATATACATATGTATGTACTGTCGAATAAAAAAAACAAAAATTACTATTCACTCAAATAGAAAAATACTATTAAAATATTCGTTAAAAATCATAGTAGAATTATAAATAAAATAATAATTGCAGTAAATATATTACTTAAATTTTGAGAATCAAAACATTTCACTAACTTCTAAAGATCTTATGACATACATAAATAGATATGAACGTTCGAGGGAATGTAATTTAAAATATTAAATTTTTGTACATAAGTTAATATTAAAAAAATAAGTCAGTTAACAAAGACCAAAAATTTGCAATTCACATATAATGGTAAGTAAGAAAAAACCGATGAAAACGTAATACAAGAAATGTTGGGTAACAAACATATATACACATATACATATGTATATGTTTTATTATATTATATCTATATAAGCTAAAAAAAGAAGTATTCGCAAAAGCCACAAGAATATCTGAAAAATCATCAAAAATTATTGGCAAATGAAAGTTTCAAAGAATCGCTTAAGAAAGGAAAACACAGCATTGGGCGGACTACTGGACGGACATTAGGAAGAAAACTATATAATTACATACATGTATATATATATATATATATATATATAAATATATATAAGTATGTATATAATGCAGCAGCTACGAACAGTGGGATAGAAGATGGAAAGACGCAAAAAAGAGAATTGATGCAATGGATGGACGGACGGAACGACAGAGGGACACACAAACGATTAGACGCCATATTGGATTTTCTATACAAACGTAGAGGTAAGCACTTACTTATATGTATATAAACATAAACACATATATACATATGTATATACTTGTATGCATATATTTATATACAAATGTATATTTTTAAAATGGCGTTTAGATACTATACATATGTATATGTACAGTCGTTTGCAATATATGTATGTTAAAATATACAAATTTTTACATTAAATAATGCATGTAGTTTGTGAATAGTTAAGTATATACCTGTATGCAATTGAAAACACACATACGTAAATGTATACATATGTACGTATGTATCTATAACTAGATAAATCCGAAAAATCAATTGTGTATGTATACATAGTTATATGTACACACCATATGTATATACATACATGCAATAAATAGCTTTAATTTTAAAGTATATCATATAGATATGTACATTTGTGCATATTTGATTACACATATATTTCAGTATTCGCAAGTAAAAGTTCGTGTCCTTTCTAACTATAGTTAAACCAATAATGAGTAAGGGTACATATGTACATACATATTTATATATAATAGGGGTTTATATAATAAATATATACATACTTCTATATGCCATATAATATTATATTATAGTGCATGCACTCAAATAGTATAAAGTTAATTAGATGTAGTATATAATAAATAATTAATCAGAGACATTTGGATCATCTCTTTGCAGATTGGGTACATATATGCATAAATAGGTAAGTAGATATATACATACATTACATATACATATTTATATATATTTTTATTTTTTCAAGACTAATAATTAACTCTTAATATGTTTTTTTGCTAATATAACTCAATAAATCAACATGTACAAATTAAATTAAGCATTTAATTACATGCCTACACACATATAAATCTTTATAGGCAAAAAGGTAATTGTAATTTTTGTACAACCGGCGTTTGAGCAAATGATTGATTGCAATCAAAACAAAATATTTTGATATGCAGATGGATTTCTTTGCAAGACACTACATTTGCTATCCTTATTAGAACAGCGCAATGGTTTGAATTTTAGCGATGCTTTTTTTATTAGTTATAGATTTATTAAATATACAAAAAATTTTATTTCTTGTTAGTATTTTGTCATTCACTTCATTCATGTCAAAGTCATTTGCAGCATGTATGGATGTGTGCGTTACAAACATTAGCGCTGTTGTTGTTTTAGTTACGCTACCCTATAAGCTAACATCTTTTACCCACCTCTGCACACTGCTTTTGTGACTATTTGTTCTTGTTTCTCTCTCTAATCATTTTTTGTTATTGTTCACTAGTTGGCTTTTTTTTTAGATTTTTCCTGTTGTCAAATGTAAGTAGACACAGATATAGTAGTTAGATTGCGGCAGGTAAGAAGCACAACAAAAAGTATTGGACTAAAAAAAAAGTAACTAGAGATTGGAGGCGTCTATGATCAGGCGAACTAAATACAAATATCTACTATGATACACGGTACTCGTTGCCAACTTACTATACTAACTAAAGACATCAGAATGGCGCGAGAGTGTAATCAACTCTTGCCAAACCAATATAACTAGTAATGAACAGGGTTGCTGTATTTACTGCATTTATAGCTGATGATTTCCAGGAAATCAGAATATAAAATTGAGGTAACCCTTTTTCACTGAAGGCACCTAATAATTAATAAAATATTATTTCATTACGTAAATTTTTATTATTTAATTCTACCATTTTAAAAAAGACACCTTTTTCTAAATTTTTAATAGTTAATTAAGCTTAAATTTGCAAATATTTAATGTAAACTTGTTAAGGTGAATCAATAAATGTTTTTATAATCAGTTAGTAGGAGGGTCTGGTTATGCATAGTTCTTGAAAATCACAAAGGACCAGCGTTCACAGCTGCCTTGCGTCACCTTTGGTACCAGGATCAGTCCTACTACATAACCTAACCTAGTAAGTGTTTTAATATATACATATCTACAATTGTTAGCACGGCAGTTAAGATTCACGCAAAACGGAAGGTCCGGTATTTATGTCCGGCCAAGTGCTGTCACTTTAACTACTTGTTAAAAAAGCCTATTGAACTTTTTTTAGTTGTAGAAAAACTGTTACGAAACACTTGAAAATCTCATTATAGGTCAGCAAGACATTTGTTTCATTGATAATAACAAATATTTACTTAACTGTACAAACATATACATTAATAGCAATGCACTTTCTATAATTCCGCTTCTGTCAAGTGAAGCAACACTGTGTTTTCGTGCCGGATTCTCACCGGCCGCCACATAGAAATGCTCTTTTACTTTTGTATTGCTTATTTCATATATTCGCATTTGTTTTCTGTTGAGCATCAGACACAAAATGATATAAGACCACGAATAATTCTGATGACAGCTGGTTCAGTTTGGTTTCCGCTCACACATTTGAAGCACTCTCCAAGCGGCAAAAAGCATCGTAAAGAGAGAACAGGCAGAATGTTTTTGATTTTTAACTATAAAGCGAAATGTCAAATAGGTAAAACTGCGTGAGAATTTGGTAAACAAAACAAAATAGAAGATTGTGGTGTTTCTTTTGCCACTACTTTTGTGCCTTCGGAGCAGTTTGATGGCGCGCTGAGCTAGTAATGCCAAATACATTCATACATATGTATTTAGTAGGTAAATTTATACATACATTTGTACACTATATATATTTGTATTCATGCTGACAAAACTGATATTGGCACAAAAGCATGTGAGTTTTTGCTGCAGTAAAGATTGAATGGTAATATACTCTTCTTTTAAACGACTATATAGGATTATTACATTTTATATGTGAAAATATACATATGTGTGTATGTAATCCACATCTGTTTAAAGCCCATGTCAATAGCATTTTATTTTAGTATATTACCGCTTGCTACTACCTACCTTCGTATTAAATTTCATTAAATATAGGTATTGCATGTTTTAGATACAAACATACATATGTATGTTATAAATACATATCTACACATATACAATAATACGGTACTTTCATACTCACATATGTAAGTACATTCATAAGTTCATTGAACGAACAGGACCATCTTCACTCGTTAAATATATATATACATATGTGAATATATAAATCGATAATTTTCTTGAATATATTTTATCATTTCTAGTTTTAAAATTTTAGCTTTAGAAATAAAGTTCGATATTAAGTAGTTGATTTCAATGTATGTATGTGTCTGGTTTTAGAGGAAACAATTACTCTCATACAAACTTACATATGCATTTATGGTATATACATACATACAGATATATGTATATATAGTTATGCCTTTCATACATACATAAATGTATGTATGTTCCCTGTATATACACATTTATACTTTTGTGTATATATGTACATGTACAAATTGCATAATGAACGAATATACATTTTTATACAAAACTGAGACATATCGTTTTACTTTTCAAGCATTGGAAGTTCAAGCTTGAAAGACCTAAAACATTATTATTTAAAAAAATATTTGGTATTCATGCCAATATTAATAAATTTATATATTATTTATATACATCTAAACAAAGTAGTTAAGAATGGATGTTAAATAAAGTTGGATATTTCGGCTTCAAGAAATAAGGGTTTGCTCCTCAATCAATATACTTGTAGTATAAAGGAGCGGGAAATTTTTTTTCTACAAATGCAAAATTTCCTTTACAGTTTCTGGGAAGCTCAAGCCAAGCAAAGTAAATGAAGTGAAGATTAATGTTTATAATATTGAAGTAATTTGTCACGTGAGTTTGTAACTATTCATGTTTTTATGCATAAAATATTTCATTGATAATAACCTGAACCATTATAACCAAAACAACAATTGGTTTACCAATTGGAAACTGGAATCGAAGTCATTTGTATTTATAGTGCGGCCCTCTAACTACTACGGTAATAATATTACATATATTAATTTTAATTTTTTACCAACTCATTTAAATGCTTTGTTTATCTGACATGGTTAATTTTGCGATTTAAAGAAAATTTTGGTTTGTGTATTTCATTAAACAATTGATTGTTTCTAGTTGTTGTGGCGAGTACCTAAGTCCTGTTTGAAGGAAAGTGCAAGATCAAATGTCATCGAAATCATTTAGCGATAGATCCAGGAAACGAGCTGTTTCAACGGGGACCGATCAAAGGGAAAGACTTGTTAAGTGAGTGCAAAGGGGTGGTTTGTGTTATGCGGGGACTCTTCTCATTCCCACAACAGCAGCCTACAATTCCCGCAACAGTCGATTTTATGTTACCGGTATTGACCCGGATTTTATACAGCCAAAGGCATCCCTCTCTTTATAGGCAAGTCATTGTTTCTAGTTCGACTTGAGTAGTTAGGCTATCAGTATGTTGTCATATATATAAATTCCAATTATGTATGTACAGTGGTTTCTTAGTTCATTGCATTTATGTACTTTATGTATGTATATATATATATATACATATTTAATTGGTAGTATTTATATATAAATTATGTGATGTCATAACTTATTATTATATTATGGTAAATTGAGTTTTATTCTTGTAAAAAAAAAAAAATAAGAACGTGACATTTGTTGATACGACACGTTGAAAGTCCATAGAATAGGAACAATTGGGATTTATATCCGATTAAGAACCACAATGCCATTTGAAGAAATGCAATAAATCCAACGAAGTTTCTTATTAATAGTTTCCCTAAATATGTTAGGGTTCTGTACAAAAGCAAATTAGAAAGCAATTTACTAACACGACTCATCATTAAATAATTTCCTTTAGTTCATCGTAAAGGAAAATAATAATGTGAGTGGGTAGCTAAGTAGGTAGGTAGAGTGGCTGTCTGACGAAGCACCTAGGCCTTTTTTAAGCCCATTGTGATAAATATGAGCATATTTAAAACATACATTTTCGTATTTAAAGTAAAACCCCAGAGACATAGTCGCTAAAGCCATTGGAATTGCTAGTACTCAACTCGCTCACTTTTAACTCTATCATTTTATCTACGAAATAAAGATATGCGTTCGCCGTTTTCTATATCACAACTATCAAATAATTGATACTTTTATTATAGGGGCGTGGTGGAATATAAAATTTTTAAATTAATTTTTATCAGGTGATTAAAACAGTTTATATAAAATCTAATTTTCATGATTAAATTAAAATAATTTACACAAAGAAAGAGAGAAAAAATTTTCGAATAAGAAAGAACAAGAAAAAAAACGACTGCATGGAAGTTATAATATACTCCACTTCTGAATTTCGCATGGCATAAAAAGGTATAAAAAAAAACCATGTTTTTGATAGGCCAGCTATATCCTTTAGTTGTCCGATCTGAAATATGCTGTGATACAATATATTGTATCGCTGCTTTGAAAAATCCCATATGGGCGTTTTCGGCAAATTAGCAGATAGTTCTTCTATATACAGACGGACATGCCAAAATCTATTCAGCTCGTCAAGCTGATCATACATATATAGAAATAATATTTTAAAGAGTCACCTACGTTTCCTTCCGGATTTTGCAAACTTAATCCCTGTTCAGGGTATAAAAAATATTACTTTACAGTAGTAAATGCGTCATTTGGTATGAGTAGATTGCTTTACACAGATTTACATGTAAAGGAAAAGTATATTAAATTGAAAAAAAAAAATATTATAATAATAATGATTCAAGTTGGGTCTGTCATCAGAATATGTATGTATTTTATGTTAGTTTATAATTTCATAAATAATTAACATACAAATGGAATTGAATATATGTATATTAAAGAACAGTATTGTTGCCATTAATATTTGTTGTTGGAAATTGAGTATCTAGGTGTGGGCGCTAGGGTAAGGCAATAACTTGATGTTTTCAAATTCTGTATAATCATGTAATCGATAATCTACCATTAACATTAGTAAATCAGTGTAGAATCAGTGTAAAAATTAACAAAATTTTAACTTACATTTTGACCATCAAATGGAAGTGTTGGACACTATTTAAGAAGTAAACAATGCCAAGCGTGACTTTGTATTTGATTTAATTTTATATGTCGTCGTCTTCCTCCTCGTCGACGTTAAACGATAGCTTGCTTTTTTGGTTGTCCTTCTTCTTTTTAAGTGATTTGGATTCGCCTTTGTTTGATTTTTCCTTTCTTTCTTCGACCTTTTTGTTTGTTTGAGAGGTATTGGAACTATGATTATTGGATATAGAGCTGTCGGCACTTGTCAATGCTTCCGAATTACTTTGAGTTTCTTTTCGCTTCTGGAACACTATTGGCTTACTGAGATCGGCTTTTGCCTCCGCTGCTTCTGTATGAATAAAATTTAAAGATAGATTTATAAATTGGTCTTTATTATATAAGAGGATTTCAAAATATGTATATTAAAGATATGTGCAAAATATTATATGAAGATTTCCGCTTCTTATATTATCCTTTTACTCTATACTAATGTTCGGTGTTTCTTGAACTCTGTCGAAATCATGTTGCGCGTTGAAAGTTATTTTAAAAATTATATACACATGTATTATATTCGTTACTTTTACTATTTATATTTGTTTCTTTAGTTTCTAGCTTCTCGATGATCTACTTTCCCTCCCCCGTTTACTCCACAAGTTTACATATGGTCATGCATATTAGCGTCGAAAATGTCTGTTTGTATCGCTTGGGTTTATCGTGATAGCCTTCAGCCTGCCAACCCGCTACCGCCATCCAAACGCTCCTCACTCTTCATGCCATATACTTTTACCTCACCCCGCATTGCTTGCCACATTCGACGCTCCAAATTCTATTCATTACTGGCTTGGACGAAACCACTTGCCATTCTCTTTTCCTCTTTAATTTACTCTGTTTTTTTTACATCTTTATTCGTTAACTTTGCTTTTTGCACGACCGTTCGCTGTTCTTTTCCCTTTCAACGTCTCATTACCCCGCAGCGACTATGCCAACTGCTACTAGGCAGCTGTTGCCTGCTTCATCAATTTCTCTTTCACACAATTTTTCATCGGTCGGTTTGCTTTAGCGGAGCCCCAGTATAATGTCTAAACGTGTGCGTGTGTCACCGCATCAAGGGTGCTCCGCTGGCATGTAACTTGCAACGGTGGTAGTCGAGGTGTCTTAAATTGGTGTACAGCATTGCTTGCAGCCTTGATGGTGATGCAGACGGGAATTGAAGAAAACGACGGACCACCGAGGCGTGGCTACGTAAAAATAATCGGTAGGCGGTGGTATGAGGTCCAACTTAAATGGGACTCCTCTGGGCCAAAAATTTATAGGTTATGTATCTTTTACCGAGGACATTGCGCATTTCAGTTGACCAATTATAAAAGTTGGCTGATATCCATAAAAATAGTTTTTATTTTAGTTCGAAACCATGGGTTTTCCGTAGCACATCTAAATAAATAATTTAATGTATGGCTTAAACTTTTGAGCAATGAAATACTTTTTTTTTAACACCTTTGCATACATTAATATGTACATATATAACGCGTCTACATATAAATAAATAACTATTTTAAAACAAAACACCAAATACGAAAACTTCACTTTTTCATATACCTTTCGATTTTTCCACTTTTTTGTTAAATTAAATTTTGCAGTTGGCGAAAATGAGGAAAAAGCGTGGACGAAACGGTTAAAGCAAAGAAAACGACACAACGCTCGACTCTGACTCAACTGAACTGAACTAAACTGACAGCTAAAATTGACAACCAAGAGCCAGTCAGGCAACACTCTACCAGTGTAAACAACAAAAACAAAGCGAAAAGGAATACAATAATTATAAGAAATGACAGAACGGACGGACGGACATCCACATTGTGGGGGACGGTGTCTGATTTTCTGCGCACCAACATACGTATATATATATATATATATATATATATATATATATTATACTAAAACTTATGATGACTTTTTTACCTTGACTAATATATGTACACATATACGTGCCAAATAATATTTACTGTTTTTTTGTTATAGTGCCTCCTGGTATTCGCTATATAGTATTTATACGCAATTTTCTAAATAAAGACTTGTACCTTTTGCGATTCGAGCCTCCTCTTTCTGCACTTCTTCAGCTGTCAAATCTCCACTCTGCAAAACAACGATTTGGGGCTTCTCCTCTTCGCGGTCGCTATCTGAGCTATGGTCGTCGAAATCAACTTTTTGACGCTAAAGTTTTCCACATTAATTTTTTCAATCCAGCAAAGCGCTTCTAATAATTACCTTGGTTTCAACAGTTGGCCCCTCTTTATACCCGATTTGTGACTTTAACTTGGCTAGAAAACTCGGATCTTGTGGTTTAACATACGATATATTACGCTTTCCAGACATAATTGGTACACTCCCTCTTTACCAATCTACGCACGTTTTAACATGCAGTGACACACAAGTTTAAAATGACATAAAACATTCAAAAATACACTTGCATTCACAATCTTTCGGATATATAATAAAATAACGAATCAAAACAAATACGCTAAAATCTTCACAATATAATAAAATACGCGGTAACTTCTATACAAACGCTCACGTTTTGCCGCTAATTTAATGACATCTTCGACTCATGATCGGAAAACAGGGTGGACAACCAGATAAACAAAAAAATATTAATCATATACATATGTATATAGAAATTTATAGGTCAGCATTGTATATATTTAGTGTGAAAAATGTATAGTTGTTAAACTAAATGCATAATAATGTTTTTGTTTTTTATATAAGCTTATGGATGGACAAGCTCGTAATTTTTTGACATTTCTTCTGTTCTAGTAATCTAGCAACTCCGTGAAGGCGAAACTTGAGGCAAAGCGTAAATGTGAATTTTGGCGAAGCAAAACAAAGCACGAAATCAGGACAGCATGTCATACAAAATGCAAAACAAGATATTTAATCTTGTAGATGCATACAGTGGTGGGCGAATAAATGTTATGCATGTATTATATATGTATATCTAGTGTATGCTTAAGTAAATAAAGTACAGTTACTACAGCTGCTGCGTGTTATATGAAATTTCGCATATTTTCCAATAGTCAAAATAAATAAAATTGCCATTGTCAAATTAACGCATATTGTTATTATAATATAAGATTTTTATTTTTAATCGATAATATACATATAATACATAAATAGAATTATATACATATATTACATATGCACCTGTAAATTGTTGTTGTATTAAAAATTAGTAAAATTACATATATGTATTGTAAATATATCTGCAAATTTTAACAAAAAGATATATAGACATACATTTGTAGTATTGTTCATATAAGTATTAGAAAATAACACTGGGAAACAGTAGTTTTGTTTTATGACGTTTCTTACCCGATTGTGCCTGATTTTGTCACGCTGATTCCAAATCTGTGGTCAGTTTTTGAGCAGTTCTAGCAGCTCTAGTTTTTGAAATATGAACATATTATATATTAACCAAAAATAATACAATTTTGGAATAAAAAAATGTATTGCTCTTACTTAGCATAAAAAACTTTCTTTTATGTGCTTTTATTGAATAAGTAGAAACATGTGCACTGTCTAATTTTGAATGCTCCAGCAGCAATCAGCCATCATATTTGCATTTCAACGACCCTGGTGGAGGGATGAAGAGTGATATCTATACTGCGAATAACCTGATGAAAGCGTTCTCCTTGTTCTTTGCTTAAGTCGCCGAAATTTTCTGAGAAGCGGTCTAAATGGCTAAAGAGGAAGTAATGCACTTGATGTTCATGTTACATCCTTGTCTCTGGAAGTGTAATATGAGCTGCTCAATATGTTGAATGTAGTCTGGAGATTCTTATTTCCTAAGAAATGTTGCACATCCTAAATAAATTCAATCCATGCAGATTTCTAATTATCTGTCATACAATCTGTAAAATGTAGGTCCTTTATTAGTTCCTTGATTTGAGTACCGTCAAAAACACCAGCTTTAATTTTACCTGTGCTCAACTTCGGAAATATTTTACTTATATATAATATTTAAAACATTCCCCATTCTTGTTTAGAGCTTTTACAAACTGTTTTATCAGACCTAATTTTAGCGGTTTATTTATTACATTTAGTAATTTTATGCCCCAAAAGTTAATCCAAGTAAGACGAATATTTCAAGAAGTACCTGTATCACACAAAATAGCGCTAAAATAGTTTTGGAGAAATGAGTGAAGTTGTAAGAATTTTTTACTCAGTGTAATCAGCTTTCAAAACTTTAAACTCGTTTTCTCGAATGACTTATTTCAGACAAGGAAATTTTTTCCGAAAGGAGACCGATCGACAAAAATCAAATTTTTCTATAATCTTTCAATCATATTCTATATATATCTATAATAATAATTAATATTTTTTTTATTGAATTTCAGATAATTTTAGTCAGAAAAACTTTGCTCATCGCCTTTTTTCGGAGATTCGTTTGGAGATCGGCTACGGGAACAAGGAAATATAAAAATAAAAAATTAATCTCCGATTATTGTAGTACTTGAAATTCTGTAAATGCACATTTTTTATTTATTTTTATTAAGTAATGTGTGTCTTTAAAAAAAAAAGCATTTGTTGTAACGTCTTTTCGACATATCGATACTGGTTCGATAGTGAGCAGCTTCCATTCCCTGTTATTTCCATCTTGATCTCCTTATAATTCTTTCAATTTATCGGTCATATCACAAGCTGATAGCTGTCTTGACAATTTGGCTTGGCTTCAAGCTCGACGTTTAATCGATCCTATAACGCGCAGTAATATTTTTATTGATTCTGTTACCATGTTCGAGGTAGACGATGGAAATAATTCTATGTGATTCGAATGCTTTAGATAAATTTCACCCTGCGACTTTCAGCATAGTGATATAAAGGATGGCATGAAAGTTTCGAGATGAAATAAAACGGCTATAATTTAATGTTAAAGCAAGTGTCCGCCGCAGCTAGCTCGAATAAATTCCAGCTGAAAGACCGCAATTTTCATCCACGTTTTGCAGCGTTAATTGTCTAGGGCTTATATGTGTAGATATAAAATATCGTAGATATCGATTTTTCATAACCCCACAAAAAAAGTCTAGCGGTGTTAAATCGCACCATCTTAGAGACCACGCCACAGGCCTGCGACGTGAGCTAATGTGCTCATCAAATGTTTCCTTCAAAAAATTGATTGTTTCGTTTGCTGTATGACATGTAGCGGCGTCTTGTGGAAATCCACATCAACATCCTTTAATTCACACTAGCATCTTCGGTGTGCTTTGTTACTTATATGACCTACTAAGAGTAAAAAGCAGTCGATCCTCTTTGGAATTAAAATCAGTTTCTAAGTGATGACCAAAATCCGTAACCATATTTTATTACTTAAGTTGTAGAAAAAAAGTATTTTGCTTCACTTAAGGACACGCCTCTATAATTTCGGCGTGAGGAAGTAAAGAAATATTGGTTTCATTTTAAATATCAAAAAGCTTTAAACAAATATTAAACTTTTAGGGACAATGTAAATCACCTACAATCCTAATAATTTTTTAAGAATCGAATTAACGGACAATTACAATTCGAAGAGTCTTGTTTAAATATGGCAAAGCTTTGAATACATTTCTGTGAGAGTTAAGCAAGGCGTAAGCCCTACGTAGCTTTTAACAGTAAAGTTTACCAAAACCTTAACCAAATTACGGACTGCCTATATGACTGGCTCTCTCGCTCAACATAAAAAAGCTGGGCTAAAATTTATTGTATAAATGTTGTCAGTAGACAAAATAAGGTAGTGCAGATAAACGCAGTTAACGGTTAAGGAAAAGTGCAAATAATTGCAAATTTAAGTAAATAAATTGTCCCAAAGGCATATATACTATGTAGAAACCGCGTAGAAATCAATTAATAATATAAACGAAATGCTTGAAAGACAAAAAAATGTGTTTATGAATTGTATATAATAGTTTGTGCAATAAATATTAAGTTGAATAACAGGTAAGCATATAAATTATTCACCATACATACAGATATACATATGTACATGAAAATGCTGATAAAAAGTTGGTGCAACATAAAGTGAGTTTTGAAATTAAACAAAATTATAACAAAATAGTAAAATATAATTAATAACGAGTGCTTATATGTGAAATAGTTGTGCAGGAATTTTCGGCAAATAAATATAATGGCAAATTAAATTCCTTTACATGAAAAAAAGCAACATTTCAGTATCTCAAGCCGCTCTAGCTGCTGCGCATGTCACTGCTAAGCTGATTGGCCTCCCTTAAATGCGGTTATTTGTTGCTGTGCTGGCGAGCTTTTCCATTGCAAGGTCTCGCCGAGCACTGGTAAAGGCCACAAATTATAAGGACATTCGACGCAACATATTCCATTGAAAATTTTGTGCCAATTAGCAATTTTTTTAATGTGAAAAAAAAAAATTTAACTTTTAAAATTTTAATTTCTATTCATCTTCCAACAGCGCCTTTGCAATAACAAAAGTGGTTTCACATCCAGCAAATGGCTGCAGTGGTGCACGGTTGTGGCAGCTCAAGTCCGCGTCAGCATCATGGCAGCAATATATCCTGTGCTAGTCTAGCGCATCGTACACAACATCCAATATCCACGCCTATGTATTCCACCACCAATAAAATGCCAAAATATTCGTCGCGGTCGAACGCATCGCTCAGCAAGCATCATCACTTGTATGGCGTTGGTGTCGGCAGTATGGACCGCGGTGTGGGGGTATGTAGCAATGTAGGCACGCTCAGTAATACGCTTGCACTCACCGCTCACCAGTCGCAATCCTTCAACTCCACTTTGCCACCTGTCAACTATCTGTCGGTTGGTGGCGGCAATAGTACTGTTACAAGCGCTGTTACCGCTGGTGGAGGCGGTGGTGGTGGTGGTGTTGTTAGTTTACATCAACATTCCTATACAGGCGGCCAGGCAATAGTAGCCACCGATCCTTGTCGCAACTATTGGGGTCATCCGAGTCTCTATCGTGGTGGTCGGCATCACAATAAACGAAAATCGGCTGTGGAGTTATTGGCCGAAACGAAACCGTTTTTTATTAAATCCGATACGGTTATGGAGAGATTACATCAATCCAGTTATCGCGCTGCCACCATCGCCAGCGCTGGCAAACGTGGACGTAGCAGCATGGATGCACGTGATGACCTGGGAGGTGTTAGCCGCTATAAGCCGTCATGTTATTCCTCTGAGTTGGTGGATTCACGTGATACGCGCGCCGAACATCGATTTAGTGTACCGAATACTTCAGCGTCAGCACTACATCAAAGTAGCCGCTCTAATGCGTATCAACATCATCATCATCATCATGATCATCATGCGCATATGGGTAGTACGGCACGCCATAGCGCGCCTACCTCGAGTAGTCTGTTGCAGAATAAGGTACGTATGCTGTTGGCGGGCGGTAGTGCTGGCGAAACGGCAAGGGAACGCACAACTGGCGCTTTGGGTCGCAGTTATCGCGGCGATCTACTGCGAAAAATGGATTTCACGAATAAGAGTAGTGGACGCGGTGGTCTCGGCGGTAAAGAGGTTAACAGTTTTGTATATATCCATGTATGCTTGTTACTAACACTTACTTTCTATAACTTACAGCTAACTTCTGTCAGTTTCTCGAATGATGACGATACGGGCATACGTCTGCCACCACCCTCATTCTTATCACCACAATCATTTGATAATATCTATAGTTATGGCGCTGAAAATAGCAGTGGCGATGAGCCACTAGTGCTGACCGAGAACTATCGCCCCATTAGCCCCCCAGCAGAGTATGCAGCCGATTCTGGCAAAAATGAATCACGCACCCGGTAAGTGAACGTGTGGAGATTTTCATTATCTGCGTGTTACGTAATGATTTTATGTTAATTTTTGCAGCTACAACTATCAGCGTTCACATTCACATTCCCATGAAATGGCCACCGACCCGAATTCACAGTATAATATCAATAGCCATAAGTCATTACCTGATCTACACTCGCAAATAAGTCGTCATTCACCGCACAGTGAAATCCTCAGCTGCTGCAGTCGGGGTAATCGTTCAATCAAATCAGCCGGCGAGTCTTCGCTCAATCGCGACTCGGGCGGTTCATCTGGGCATTATACGCATCGTAGTGAACCTTGTTATCGCCAGCAACGTGACAGTATTGATCGTGATATGTACGCACAGGCTAGTAGCAAGAACTGTTGTCTTAATACCATACCCACACCCATGGAGTACCGACGGGACTCTGGTTCATCAACACAGCATAGCGCGAATTCAAATGGCGCCGGCATCGGTTATGCGTCGCCTTCGTATTTGCGCTCCAGCATTGGTGATTGTGCTGAATGTCGCTGTAAGGGTGGTGTACGTTTCGAGTCTGATGATTATTTCTTCAATTTTCCGACACCGGAAGTGCCGGAAGCTTTTCAGGATGACTATACACCACCATCACCCTCAGTGCCGCATTATGATATGGAAGAGACACGTTTCTCAAATATACCCAGCTTCCAAACTTTGCAACTACATCATCAACAACAACAAATGCAAAATCGTGAACAGGAACAACAACAACTCTTTAGTACTTCTGTCTACAGTAGCGGTAGCTTGAAATCACCAAAGAGCTCGACCGCTCAGAGTCCCGGCTCGGCACCGTCAATTGAAGACATTAGTCCACCGCCTATACAATTCAAACGACAACGTTGTATACGCTTCAAAAGTCGCAATCGTATTTCACTGCCAAATGCGCCGTCGCTTCCCAGCAGCATTGCGGCGCAAAGTGTGGAACGCGTCGAGCCCTATCACAGCGAAATGGATCAGCATACATACTTTTTTCCTAAATGTTTTTCCACAGATACTTATTCGTCGCCTGGTAAAAACTATGTCGAAACTCTAACGCAGTCGTCATCAACATTAGCGGTTGATATGAATAGTGGCACTAAATCAAATGAACGTGAGCAAACGGTCTCTCTCGACATGACGCCCGGTACGGATGGTAATTTTGAGGAGCTCGAAAAGTTTTTCGATCGTCTCGGCTTGAATGATGAAAAATTCCATGAAATCTATAGTGTACCCAGGCGACGTAAGAGCGCCGATACTGACTCCGAATGTTCTAGTACTGTATTCTTCTCAGATGTGAGTACTGTGGATTCAATGCGTCTTCCGGATAGTACCGAAACACAACCCCAAACCACTCAACCATATCGACCCTCGGAGCCACCATCTATTGTTGAGCGCAATGCTCGCATCATAAAATGGCTATGCAATTGCCGAAAGTTACAATATGTCTAGGGGATTGAGCAAATATCTATTATACCATATAATCGTATGCATTACTAAAATACCAAATTGAGACATTAAAAGGCTACAAGGGATTGTTAGGTGTATTAAAAACAATTGAAATGTACTAGTTTGGCAATACTTGTCCTTTCTGACAATGTGCAATAAAATGAATTAACTCACTCACTTCGTTATTCTTATCTGAATTTGGAGTTACTTGATTTTTATATAAGTGTTTTGTTTTTCTTTTCGAGTTCCACATTGCTTGCAGAACTTTTCGAGGAAGTATATTTGATGGGCATGCTGAGGCAAATTAGTTCACTGTGGGGTGTGACTATGAGCTCCTGCCCACAGTTCTATTATGGTAAGCCGTTTTTGCTATAATGTATAATAAAGAAATTAAAAACTATAGTATTTTGAGTAAGAAACAAGAAAAAATGGTAACCTAGACTGCACCGAAATTAAAAACGCTTCACAGGTGAATTTCTTAAAGCTGCAATATGTATAACTAAATCTGAAAACGTAACCGGCTAACGATTTTCTAGTTCTTTCTTGCCACGATATTTGATATCGAAAAAAGTTTTATGAAGTTCTTTATCTTGATTTTGATCGTTCAGTTAGTATGTCAGCTATATATTAAAGTGTTCCAAACACCCAATTTTGCGAAGATATGTTGACAAATAAAAAAGTTTTCCATGCAGGGACTTAACATTTGATCGATCAGTTTGTATGACAGCTATATCCTATATTGATCTGATATCGGCGGTTCCGACGAATGTGTAGAAAAAATGAACGTTTGCAAAACTTCAGATGTCAAAAACTAAGGGACTAGTTTAAGTATGGTATATGGTTAAAGCGACTCAGCTCGCTGCGCTTCTCATTTATATATGCTTTATAGAGTCTCCGACTTTTCCTTCTGAGTGTTACAAACTTCGTGGAAAACTTAATATACCCTGTTCCTTCTATAAAATGGCGACTATTGTATCTGTATTGGATTCAGCAGAAAAACCAAACCTACCAAATATAGATGAAAAAGTTTCTTGACTATGTCGCCTTTGGGTATTTAACGGCGAGTTTCCCTAAAACATTCTCTCAGAAATAGTCCAGCAGTTGTGAATAGTAGAGCACTATGATGATTGAAATAGAATAGCTTAGGTGTTCACCTTATAAAATCTGAGCCAAGAATCAGGACTCGGTTTGTTGTGCATAAATTTACAAAGATTAAGATCTATCCTAAACATTTCTTAAACAGTACAGCGTTACTCGAAAACCTTGAACAAAGTGGTTTCTTACTACACTAACTATCCAATATGTATGTATGTACATATATGTACGCATTTATGTCGTAAAACTTCGATTTTATTAACGTTTTTAAACACATGCAGTTGCTGAGTGGAAGTAAATATATTCTTTGAACGGGTTGGACATCTTACACGCACGAGTGAATCAAATATAATATATATATATATATATATAAATAAGTGTACGCACGTGTGATAAGAAAATGTTAACCCTCAAAGAAAGACCGAAAATGAAATAATAAAAGAAATTCTGTAGCGTATTGAACTTTGAAGGGCTTGGGCCGAAATTCACGATCTCCTCTCGGTAGACAATATGAAATCTACAATTATGGAAGTATATATATAAAATTACCGTATCCCAATACTAAACCTTGGGAATCGAACGTAAAGCTCAGTGACCAATGCCCTAGTCTACAAGCGCACTGTCTTAAACCGTCTTACGAAAAACAATATATTGTAGATAACGGCAAGTTTTCTTTTGCATTGAGAAATAACCACAAGTCACAAGAATTAAAATGCAAGTACACACAGATTTATACATATATGGTATATACATACATATGTACATGTCTGTATGACTGAAAGCTACCGCATCCGATGGGGGACGGGACAGAAATTAATAGAAACGTGTGAGAATATCTTTTGATTTACCTGCAACCGTTATTTCTTTAGTTAAATAAAGTGTCACCGGCCACGTGACATTGGTAAAGGAAATACTTATTTCGATATGGCGCACATGTGTGGTGGTCACAAAGCGTTCACTTGGAAAAAGTCACTTCGGAGAAAATATTATATTTGACTGCAGTAAATTTCAAATTTAATACGAAAACGATAAAGGCGTTAGAGGAGTGCAAAATTCCATAGAATATTTATAAATAGTCTAACAAACATAAACATAAATCTAACATCATAAAGCATATACAGTTAACATTATGAATTCTGAAGCTTAGAACTTTAATAAAAAAGCTCATATTTACGTAAAATGTATATTTATAAAATAATAAAGAAAGGCTCCGAAATATAGATATTCCCCCTTTTATGATAATTTGAGATGTTTGCAAAAAATATATACAAATTGACGAACTGACAATCGACACAATAATTCGGCATAGTAAAGACCTGTGAGCGACTTACCCTTTTCCAGGTAGTTGATGTAGATTACACCTTGTAAACAACCAGAAAACGGTGACCATCAACTTTCCAGCCGATGGGCAGTCCCCGCCATCTTTGAGTAGGTTTACCGGTTGATGTTCACCGTTTCGACTGTCTTTGATGTTTGTATCAGTTCTTCGAATAGCGCATAACACTGATATGAAGTGGTTTGTTGTTGTTGTTGTAGCGGCAGAATTCTGCCGAGTTGATAAAAATCCGAGCCCTTTTCGGTTACGTAGACCCGACTGTTGTGGGAACGGTCTCACGGTACTGCATGTTGTCCAGAGTGATCAAACGCGGCACCCAGCTATCGGCCCAGCTTTTTCATGTCCAATATTTCATGCAGAATATAATAACACGGTTTTTTGAGATGACAAAAGTCTCAGTTGGTTAAATTAGTTTTTGACAGTCGCCATCGAAGGAGAAAACTCCCGTAAGCACCGTTAAAACGCTTTAATTTTTCCATTTTTCTAAATACTTGGAAAAATATCAATTTTGACAGTAGCCTTCCACTACACGGTAGTAGATTATACTTCGACAGTGGCGTCATCGGACGGTGAGACTAAGTACTTAGCAGACAGTCCACGCATACAAAATAAGTATTTTCAAGCAACCCGAGCAGTTAATGTTTTTTTCGAATTTAAAACTATTTTAATAAGAATATAAAGTCTTGGTACTGGAGCGCCTACTCCAAGACCTTAGGTATGTCACTTTTAATAGATTCACACATTGCAATTCTATACCGCAAGTTCTCTCCGCATTTTAGTGTATCTTTTTCGCCAATTTGGCAAATATACGAAAATTAATCGAAAATTCGCAACGGTCTTAATGGTGATAGCCGAATATTGGAAACCACTTGAACCCCACCTGCCAACCGACGATGCCATTTTCACCGCACTGATATGATTATCACTTTTTGATCCTTTCGTAATGGTTGACGCAGTGTAAACTTTAATTAGAGGGCCGCCAACGCCGGCAATCAACGGCGACACGCAGTGGGTGTCACTTCGTGGAATTGCTGTAAATATGTGTGGCAGATGCAAAGCGAGTCAAAAATGGCATGCCAGCATAAGGTCCATTTCATTGCGAAACAACCTGCTAGTCGGTATCACATATACATACACCAACCTCGAATATTTCGGTTTAATTTTAAAATTTTAACGCCAATTTGAAAATGGTTTTATGCCATGCACCTAGTGAAGTCACTAAAGCTGAACACACATAACTTTTTATATACACAGGCAATTAATTGCAGTTTTATTATTTTAATACGCATACATGGATATATACCATATACATATTGTTTTATGGATACCTATTTTTTATAGTGTTCCATGTAGCAGAAGCTTAAATTAAAATACTCGCAGTCGGATGCGAAATTATCCCAAAAGTCCACCGAGTAGACCACCAGGGCCACCAAGTAGACCACCACCGGAACCGCCTAAGATGCCGCCACCGCCGCCACCAAGCGCTGGTTGTTGACCTGGTGATTGGCCACCACCACCACCCAAAAGGCCACCCAAGGCATTGCCAACCAGCGGAAGGCCATTTAAATTCAGGAGACAACTGTTTAAATAGAGTTTTTGCCGTAAGATTATATAAAACGTTGTAATAATTTCAAGTACTGCTTAATAAGATTGGTTGGTTCTTCACTTAGTACTCACCGTAAATCGAGGCGTATCAGGTATTGGCAAGCCCATTGACGCATGCACTGTGGAGCATAAGTGAATATATTATAGTTTTGTGATCGTAATAGATAGAAAAACTACAAAATACGCGAAGCAATTTTAGCATATGGTTTGAGAGGATTTAAGAAAAGGTAGTAAACTTTAAATTGAATAAACCGTTATATATATGACCAAAATATCAACATTTCACGTTAGTAACTGCTTAATTTACGTGGCGAAAATTTTCATCATCGACAATCATCAATAATCGGTTAAAAAAGCTATATAAATGAAAGTCGATCATATTTTGGATATATGACAAAAATAAACTTGAATACAAAATTTCATTCAGATATCTCTAAATACGATATGGCAAAAGCTAACTTTCTTATCATTTTGGTAAAAAATATAATGATTTTATATCTTATTTTTCTGATATTTGCTAACATTGGAATGAAGTAATACCACGATTTCATATTCAAGGTACACAACCCTAATTGTTTTTTATATTATGTGAGTATGCTATTCTTTAAAACACTTACCGCCATTAATTCTTCACTCGGTTCTGGACAAGTGCCTCTAGTTGGAGCTTGAGTAGATGGTGCCAAAGTAGTGGAAGAATCGTCTGGTTTAATACCTGGTATTCCCCATGGCAAAGGGGGCTAAGAACAAATAGTATGTTAAGAAATAATTCGGAGGCTTGCTTAGAGTACTTACGTTGGCAAAAATTAGCGGCTAGAAAAGTTAGTTAGTTGAAAACAGATTTTAATAAAATTTTTTCATTATTATTAATTTCATAACAATATTCTTTAATCAACTTACCATGGCAACCGCCATCAACAGGAAAACGCGCAATACTGTTCGAGCCATCTTTAACTAACTAGTTCTCTGTACCGTTAACGGGAAATAATTATTCGACTAGAGCAGCAAGGCTTTATATACTTGAAATTTTGTGAGCCATTTCTTATTACACACATATTTTTGAAATATTTAATAATTTTCTTGTTTATAAATGCATATGATAAGTCAGTGTTTATGTGTGTGAGTCGTCGTGATATCAGCGGCGCCATAAAAACGCAGCTGTTGTTGAGACTGACCTACAGCAAAAATATATTTTGTAAAATATTATCCAAACAAAATGAGGCCAATCCAGTACAGTTCGAAATCGTCAAAAATATTTTCGTAAAAAAGCAACAATGATAAACCGGGATTTTAGTTAATTCAGGGTTTTTCTTTGTTTGTAAATCGAGAACATATTTTCACAACGGTAGTTGAGTACTTTTATTATGATGTAAATAAAAGGCTTAATGTAATGTTAATATGAAAAATATGAATTTATATAGTGAGACCTAATAAATCATTTCACTGTTTATACTCGTATAGTAGTGACGTAGTCGAATTTTTATATTTTGTAGATATGCTTTTTACTTTAATATATTATAAAATGTAGATCTTTTTAAATAAGTCGCTTGAAAAAATTTGAAAATCTCTATTCTTAATAGATATGAGTACTTCGGATCGTGTTGGTGTGTTTCTGATGATTTCTTGAAATTTCATTTATTTAATATTTGACGATCTCATATCATTTTGAACTACATTATTGAAAAACTTTATAAACAGAGTTTTCATCATCGAAATTGTTTCATTACTTTGTTTTATAAAACTGTTGCAGTACCTTCAAAACAAAGTAATTTTGAGTTAATATCGGCTTCAGGCCGAACAACACTATTTTCGATATATTTGTTGTTCTCTTCTGTAGGAATTTTTGAGTTTCAGAGTCGAAAAAAGTTATAAGGAAGTTAATTTGGCAAATTAAATGTCCTGCAATAGATTTTATTGTTCGTATCGATGCCAAAAATTTCTCTCTTTTGAGCACTTCCCGATCTACGTTTTGCTCAGATTTTTATGGCTGCTGTCTGGTGGCGACGCGCTTCATATCCAAATTATCAAGTGAAATTGGTTTAGTCAATACAAAAGTTTGGTTAAGGGACTTCACTATTTCATCAATATTAATACGACGTTCTTCGAAAATAATTTCTTTCTTTTTTTCTCTATAACATCCTTGCTATCAAAAAGGAAAGGACGATCGACGATGATAAAACAAGCCTTCGATGATCTTTCAATCATTAAACGTCTTTTAATATGATTTGTACTAAAAAAATTGGCCACTATTTTCCAAAAAGTTAAAAAACAAACAGTTCGAAAACTCTAACTTTTCTAACCAAGTACTGTCAACTCAGCAGTCAACTCCATATTCGTATAAGATATGGTTTATTTGAGAAATCGTGTTTGTAGATATTTTTCGGTTTAGAACCGAAGGATAGTTGAAAGTTTTTCGATTTTCAAACGTACGTAGAAGCAACAGTCAGATCCATATAATCATATGATATCCAAATTTATTTCCTGCCTTGGCCGGTCACCTCAGAAACATATCTAGGTATTACTTTCGACCTTTTTTACGCTGAATGGAAATCTAATTGAATTTGCAACAAAATTGATGCAATAATACCTCAATAATATTTAAAGTAATTTCTTCATGAATGACATAGAAATACATCCATACCATCTGATCAAATTTGACGCGAACTCGTTAAGTTTATCCTGCGATTTTTACCATGGAAAAAAAATTGCATGACAAGTTTACTTGAAATTTTGTGTTTCCAATAGAATCACGGCTACGGAAACGTTGAATATGTCGCAGAAGTGTTTTGCGGAGTCTACCTTGTCATATACAGAAGTATTTGAATGGCACTAAGTATTCAGTGAAGGTCGTAAAATCATCAAAACCTTACATCACTTGCGAGCAGTTCATCCATTTATGTTAATGATGATAACATCGAAAAAGTTTAAGAAATATGTGTTTGAAAATAATCGTGTTGCTATCAGCTAACAGAGGATCTCAACATCACTAATGGATCGGCTCAACTCATTTCGGTTAATGTTTTGGGTATGAAACGTTTCAATACTTTTTTGCGAAAATTTCGTAACTGAGGAACTTATATCCTTCAAACGCATCGTTACTGGTGCCGAGACGTGAGTTTGTGAATATGACGTCGAATTGTCTAGAGAATGGCGCCGAAACCGGTAAAATCAAAATTCGCTGAAAGCACTGAAGACCAACCCAACTGAGACTGTGTGGTGGAGTATTTTTTATTTTTTTTATGAACACTGAAGAAAATTTATATTTTATATGAGTAATTGGCATTTATATCTCCAAAAGATTGTTACTTGTATCTTACCATTTTCATTATTAAGCCTAAAAATATGCAGCATGTGTCAGCACACCTAGTATATAATATAATATTGTACATGCTTATACAAGTAGAAGAGATGCTAATAAAGCCTTTGATTGAGCATCTTGGCCATCAATATGTAGTCGTAGAAACAAAAGTTGGTCAAGCTGAACTAAAGGTGTTTGAAGAAGAGAATAGAAGTCAAAGGTGTATTGTCAAGCCTATCCGCAAAGACAATAGTCAATTGCTCTAAATGTTATTGCTATACTCTTGTCGAAAAAATTATTTATAGTACCCTTTTTCTCTCCCAAAATAAAATTAAAACTTAATTACACGCTTGAATAGGTGTGAATAAGTGAATGAAGGGCATGAATTGCTTTTTCACGATAATGCTTACGATGCATAGAGCTGTTGTGCGTGTTTTTAATTTCTCGGCCGCTAAAACAAAAACATTCTCAATCCACTTTTATCTCGTTTTCCTATATTTTTTTTTACTCTTTATTTCCTTTTCTTTGTATTTTGTCACTTTTGTCTGTTATTTGTTTTGCTTGCGGTGGGGGTATACGTGTGTGCGAGCGTGAGTGAGCGAATGGGAGAGCTAAAGTGTTTTATTAGTAGCGGCAACATTCCAAAATCGGTGAAAACAAAACTTTGAAAACTTTGCAATTTAATCAATTAAAAAAGTTGAAAACAAATTTACGCCTCATATTGCCAGACTTTAAGTTTTCCACATCGTTCACATACATACACACATTTATATAGTTTACCGTATTTGCTCACGATGCCAAGTCACCACTTCAAAAGGTTTATTCTGGTCAGGCCTTCGTTCACAAAAAAGGTTTGCATGTATGTGTCTGTGTGTGTGTGTGTGTAAATGTGTGTATAGAGAATATTTGAAATTAAACACTTGGCGAGTGCCGCCGTTGCACATAACTGAAGCTTTTCAATTTGTTGCATCAACCGTGAAAATTTATTATTTTGGCCGGCTGTAGACTTTTAGTCTTACCTGTTGGAATGCAAAGTTTAGCGTCTTAAATGAACGTTTGTGTGTTTGTGTATTCATGTGTGTATTGTGTAAGTTTATTTAGTGAGGATATTCCAGTTAGAAAATACTTATTTCAAATACAAATGTACGTTTATCTACATTTTCCATAGCTATGGTTAAAATTTCGGTTTGCAATGGTGTTACTGAGCGACTTAAAGCACTTATGGAGGGTCGTGAAAACGCAGAAAGCGTGATCATGTTGGTTCACTTCTATTAGGCATTGTTATAATCAGAAAAATGCATGAAATCAGGCTAAAAAATCGTCGTGTTAGCAAGAAAGAGAGCTTGGTTGATTTTTTGAGTATGAAGAACTTTGCAGTCTGGTCCTTAGCAAAACAACTGCCTTTTTCAAAAAAAAGAATCGTGAAGTTAAACTTGTAAAAAATGTTTTTCAAGCGAGCTGAAATCAAAAGTCATATAGAAGCTAAGTTATGCAATACAGTTGGTTCTCTGTATTAACTCAAAATTAGCAGATTTTGAAAGGGAAATAAAAGTCTGTCTCAAAAACATGAAAACATTCACCGTTCTTTATTTTAACTAACAATGTACTATACTACAATATTACAAATTTTCAAAATTTTTTCTAATATCCTGTGCCACACTTGTGCAATATTTTTAACGTTCCGTTACCGCGATTTCATTGGAAACACATATTCATGGTAAAAATCTGCAGACAAACTTTTCGCGTCGTAAATAAACAGCTGCCAAACCCACACGATCTGTGCCACTTCTATGTTTTCCTTTTTCAATGGTGTATAAAATTTACGCTCTATGACTGATGTGTTAAAGGGCCAAGTTCGTTCTTCGAAAAATTTTGCATTTTTATATTTCAAATAACAATGGCCGGATTTGAAAATTTCTTATTGTTGTGAATGTTGTTATGTATTTATACTTGTATACTAAAAAAAATGAAACAAAAAAATTTTTTTTTCTGAAATTTGTTTAAACTCAATATTTCGAAGAATAAATATTTTATTGATTAAATAAACCCCTCTCGGTGAACAAAATAAAATTTCCGAATGATATATTGTATTATTAAAGAAATTATGCTAGTGAAGACAACATTTTCAAGATAATATTTTTTCCAAATTTACACATTTCACATCTTTTCACACATTTCTAGATGATTTTCGTTCTTTATGGCTCAAAATTATTATATCAGTAATTTAATCACTTATAAAAAAAAAAATCACCACACCTACATTTTTATAGATTTATCACTTTGTTTCTAACCAAAATTATGAAGCTAAGATTAACTTTTGCAAAATAATATTAAATGCAATCTTCAATTTTGCTAACCTTTTTATGACGCAAGACTCGGAACTCTACGATGTCTATAATGTTGATAGATAATACTCTACGTAGAATTGTTATTGAGATTAAGTTAATAATGTGTATGCTTTTGCAACGCTTTCAGCAGCCAATACTTATAAATAATTCATTTTTATAAACCGCTAATTATTGAATAAAAACTTAATAATTATATGTATTGTTTATTTGTATAAAAAAGTAAATAATATTATTATTATATAAATATTGCTTTAAAAGTTCACATATGATATTTATACTTCCTTCAAATCAACATTTTTGCTTTGATCTGCTTCGTCTTTTGCCTCATCATTTTTCGTGGCTGATTCGTTTTGACTTTCAATACCTTTGATCACATCAAAAGACGCTATGTCGCTCTCGGTTGGTTCGGACTCAGTCACAGCTGCTGCTTTCTCTTCCTTGGCGTCACTCACGGTATCATCCTTCGGTGGTTCGGAGTTTTTATCCTAAAAAGTAAATTTTTAATGGTCTATTTAAATACTTCGATTGTGTTTTTACTCACCTCAACCTTCTGCGTGAGTGCGGCCACTTCATGGAACGCCTCAGCTAAGCCAGGATGAATTTCACTTAGTGGCTGATCACCTTCGCGTATGTAAACTGGCACGTGACCAGCTCGCGGTGGTAACTCTTGATAGGGTGCAGCAGCTGGAATAGTTAATATATTTGTTAAGTAAAATTTCAAAATTTATTTCCGTTAGAAAGTGTTCAAAAAAGTGTTATTGAAGACTTTTCTCCAACTAAAATTTTATATAATTAATTAGAGGTTACTGAGTCTTTAATTAGGAGAATATCTGTCCGATTACGGTACGCCGCTGTAGAAGCTATTGTTTTCTCTACTATAAAACCTTTGCTTGGAAATTTAAATGAATAAATTGTAATGGGGACAAAATCTGTCGAAATTCGTGAATTTAAGAATCGTTACCAAAGTAAACTTCATAAGTGGAAGTGAAGCTATACCAGGCTCCTGTTGCTTGCTTCGAAACCGCATTAAGAAAATTTTTATTGAGATCTAAATATGAAAGAAGTAAATAAAGGTGGAAATTTGAGAAAAACCCTATAACATTAGTCTGATCAGGCTCACTTAGTAAAAATTATGTGGTTATGACAAGTCTCATTCGTTTTGGAAAATATCTGGAATAATAAGTGTGTATCATTTACTTGTTTTCATCATACATATCTTGAATCGCTTATTGGGAATAAATTATATAGTGACCTTAGCACTAGATAATCCTTTTATTTCTAGATATTACGTAAAGGCTATCTTCTTTGTGCCATACTATGGATAGTGGTGAATCGAACATGCAACTTCTAGGAGAGATTAACAAGCAGTAATAGTTCCCGAAAGAGCTCTTCCCTTCAAATATCAGTTTTTTGATAAAAGAGAACAGAGTTCAAACATATAAAGATCGGTTAGGCCCGTGTTATTCATAAAAATGCTCAGGTTGATCCCTTTTTGAGCTAATTTAATAGAATCTGTGGATATAATAAATTTAATTACCCTTATTTATGGGCCTATTCTGTGCTCTTTTAATTAATTAGTTATATGTACATAGTTGACAAGTTTTCAATAATGGAGAAATATTAAATTCTTACTTTTACTGGGCAAAAAGAAGGGCTCTGCTAAATATGTTTTTAGAGGAACATCCTTTTAGAAAAATGGTTTGAAGATATGTACCGTATGCAAAAACCAGTATATACCAAAATTGCTTAATAAATCGGGGTTTTGAAAGTCATTATGCCCCACATTTCTGTTAATTAGAGATCATATTGACGAATGCAAAGAAATCGAACTATGTATTTCAAAAACCTAATTGTAAACCTTAGTTATCAAATAAAATTGATGCAGATTTTTTGTCATTCCGGGTCAAATTTAATCAGATGGCATGTCTTTCGAAAGCATAACTATTTCATTATAGCTGAATAACTCTGATCTTACAAATCTTTGTCTTCATCTTTTTTACGTTGAAAGGCCGGAAGTATGATGTAAATGGCTTATACTCGTACATATGTACATACTTCAGTCAATATGTTTTATAAATCGATATGTAGGTACTTATACCCTTTATACTTGGCTACGCAAGACATTTTGGGGCAAAGATTTGCAATCACACAAGCCGAAATTACAAATAATAAGAAATTGTATGCGGATATGTATAAATAAATATAGATACATATGTATTAATATGTATGTATGTATGGATGTGTAAACATATCGCGATTGAAACAAGCTTTGAATGCTGCCTAGGAAATACGCAATGAATAACTTATATATTTGCAAATACACACATATGTACATATCTCAATATATTTATACTCGCTAATAGCTATTGTTGTTATTAATGCATATTTGTACACATGTTTATATTTAACTGTATATAGTATAGAACCAAAACTGATTGGCATCTTATTTGAGTAAATTAATAATTGCGGAACTTTGATTTTCATCGACAACATTGATGAATTGGTTGTATGGTTGCATCATTTGTTGCTTGATTACTTGTTTGGGCGGCCTTTGTAAATACACACTAATGCTGCTCGAGGTATTAAATCGTTGTTAACCGATTATTTACAGCCAGTTAAGCATGTATGCACATACACACCTACACCTACTGCGATATGCGAGTATTAGTGATTCTTTTAATAAATAATAACCAAGCAACCACCGGATGAAGCACAGTGGGATTTGTTAAGCAATTAGCGCTTAAAATAATAATGCTGATAGGTGAAATATTAAACTGCTTATTTATTACATTTATGTCTTAAAGATCTTATAGCCTCAACTAATTGTTTTTAATATGGAAGCTGCGCTTTTAATATCTTTACTTTTTAACTAGCGAGTTTTTGCTCAACTTTGAAAAAATTACAAAAAATATGAAAACAAGAAAAACGTTAACTTCGTTTGCATCGAAGCTTTTCCATACAAGACCCTTCCATACAGTAACTTCATCATTCAGTTTGGATGGCAACTATATAAGTATATGCTATAGAAATCCTTTCCAAAAAAATTCGCGTTGAGACTGTATTGTAGTCCCTATCAAGTTTCGTGAAGATATTTTGTCAAATAAAAAAGTTTTCCATACAAGAATTTGATTTTGATCTTATAGTGGTTCGATAGATAGATAGATGAAAAAAGCACGTGTGAAAATTTTCAGATCAATATCTGTAAAACTGAGGCACTACGTGTATATGAACAGACGGACAGGGCTAAATCAACTTAGGTAGCGCGACTCACGTCAGAGATCAGGTCATTTATATACGTATATGAGTACATATATTTTATAGGATCTCCGACATTTCTTATCATAAAGATGAATTAACAACTCATTATAATATTTTCAACTCATTCAGTTGATATAAAGTTACTTCAGCTTGCATTTATGCGTCAACAGAAATATTAATTATTTTCGTAAAAAAAACCACTGTTGCTTATACTGTAGTTGTCAATCTTGGCCCACCAGGCATAGAATAATATCGCTAATATGTTTTGTATATATAGTAATTGAATTGCAATATACATTTAATGTCTGGAGGGTATTATATTTTTGCCCTAATTGGAATGTGTGAATTTCTAAGGCAAAGCGAGTATATCGAAGGCTATGAGCTACCCAAGGGCAAGAGCACAAACTGATTGAAGTCTTGGGTATAAAACTACATAGCCAAAGCAATTTTATTTAAGTAAAAATATTAAATCTTCTTGTTTTTGTTGCATTTGCATAAAACTATCTCAAAATATTTTTTGGGTTCGATATAATTCGTACTTATTTCGATTGATCTAGCTCTTTAGAGGCTTTGAAAAACACTGAATTCGTCTCAGTGAAGTTTTCTCAATATCTTTTACTATTCAAAGAGTAATGACCTATCAATAAGTCATTCACCAAGAAGTTCGATATAGCTAACTTTGTCAACATAAGTTTTTTCGCTGTTTAGTTTATTTGTAATGGGCGTAAATAATTAGTGATTCGTAAGAACCAATTTTATCGGAGTTCTAGGTATCACAACGGACCGGCGTTGTAAGCTGTCCAAGTGCGATCCCTATTAAGATCAGCCATTTTACCTAACCTCTATCGATTAAGAAAATTTTACTTGAAGCTCTTTTGCTCTCTGAAACTTTGCTATTTCCATGCAATGTCGAGAGTAGAGAGAGCAAGCTTTTATAAATGATATCTATTGACACCAACAATCTTCATTAGTGCTATGTTTTTGCCTATTATTGTAGACGCAGTACTGTTTGTTTTTATAAAATTTTCGGTAAATTATTAGTCTGAAATCTAAATTGTAGAAAATGGTTGGAAATGTTACATTAGGAATCTCTCATCAACCTTCATAAAGCTTCTAGCATCCTTCTTTGCAAAAGCTAACTATAAAATGAGAGCAAAATTTGGAGTATGGAAGTTCAAGTATAATTTAAAAAAGATATTACCAAATAAGGACCTTAAGTGATGCCGAAAACATAGTGTATAGAAGTGTGTCTGTTCTTGAAAAATATATATTTTCTATATTCAGACGAAATCTCAATAGTTCAAAAGTTTAAGTCTCGCATAATTCTAACAGTCATAAAATTTTCATAGAGTTGCCCCATTTTCATCTATTGACATGACACTAAACATAAACTACAAGAGTTAAAATACTTTCAGCGCACCCTGTATTTTTCAAGATACACAGGCTACCTCATACAATTGTTCATTATTTGAGGATGCATTGAAAAACATATTTGCGACATCAAATTTCTAACAAAAAGCCATTAAAATAAAATATATTGTAGTTTAAAGCTAGTAAGCAGTTAGAAAGCTGTTCTTTATGGTATATTAAATACTGTTCTTTCGTATCGGCAGCGAAACAGCTGTTAGTCAAAAAATATTTTTAGCTATTAGTAAAAGTAATAAGCGCAAACAATGACTCATATGCAATGAAATGGCTTCAAAAATACAAATGATTTACTAATAAAGAAGAAGAAATATAGTGAAAGTAAAAACAAATTGCTTCTTAGGATTACAAATATTTTAGTTTTGCACAAATTAGATACTATTTTAAGCAGTGATTCTCGGGCGAAAGTATTTAACAAATTTCTGAGCTTTCATACGTCATACATCGTTCCGGGATGGGCTTTTGTAAAACTTTATAGCTTTATTGAATCCGGTGCATGTTCCTTTCAAGTATTTTTGTAAATCTTACCACCTGTTTGAATTACAAAATTTATTTAGAAATGCAAACAAAAGGATGAAAAAATGGCTGATTGATCAATTAAGTAAGTAATTGAGGTAGGTAGGTAGAGTGGTTGTCTGACGACGCACTTAGACCTTTAGGAGGCTCATTGTGAAACCAATTTTAATTTATCTTTAATATCTGATAGTTATAATTTTTGTGCATATATAAACCTATAATAATAATTTTAATAATAAATATTATATATAAGAAATTTTTAATTGTTTTCGATTTTCCACACAATAGGGTCATTGATAGTATATACTGATGGATTGAAAATCTTTAAATGAAAAATCGAATAAAAATCAATAATACAAAATCGGCGGCGAATATATTAAAAAAAAAGAAAATTGTAATGTCAAAACCGAGAAGGACGATGGGAGCAAAAAAATTTGTGACAAAAAGTATCGATCTCAGAGATTACCTTGTTAGCTGCAAAAATATATCTATTACCCGTTAAAATGTTATATCCTGAAGAGAGTATATTAAGTTTTTCAAGAAGTTTGTAACACCCAAAAGGAAATGTCGGAGAATCTATAAAATGCATATATCGTATATAAATGATAAGCGTGACGAGCATAAAATAATAAAAGAACACGTTCTTTTTAAGAACCGTCGATATCGAACCACCTTAGTACAAAATATATAAGATATCTTTACAACATTTGGTGTAGAGTATTGTTCAGGCAACCATCTCCGAACATCTTGTTTAGATCGGACAACCGTAGCGTATAGCTCATTAATTCTTTTTGTGCTATTAGAAATGCACCCGCGAAGGGTATACGCAGCCGAAGTCAACGTTTTTGTGTCTTGTTTTTATTTTTTGCTCGCCAACTGCACGAAGTGATATTTCATTGAAAACTCGATTATAATAATATAAAAGCCTACCAAGCTCTGTTACAAGCGAATAAAGTTTGTTTCACAAAAAAAAAAAAAACCAAATCAAAATCTAAATTTTAGACTGCTAGCAACAACTAATTGCTTAAGGTAAATTGTGTATGTTTAAACATCAAGTACATTGCGTCAATTTACAGCATAATTAAGTCAGCTGTTTGAACGTGTTATTAAGCGTACACAAACGACACTGAACCATCTACTTTACGGCTGACCAACAATCGCAGCAACACTGTATTTACACAACCACATATTCACTTCCACTGTGATAATATTTTTTCTTTAGCATAATTTTTCCATAAATAGTCAATAAATTGTCGTATGGCAAATGTTTGCGATCGCTGGCAATGATCAAAAGCAGTTTATTTAACTCTTCTCCCAACATGGTCTTCTTCTTTTCATGACTGTTTGTTAACAGTTCTCTGGTTTGTTGAACTGTTTATTCAGTCGCTTAAATGCTTTCTTTGTTTAATGACTTAAGCACATACAAATGTACAATACATGTGCTGTTTGGCTGTTGTTGTTGTTGCTGTTTGAGTACTCGAAAGTTCATGCTTACCAATTTCTGTGGCGCAGAGGCAGAGGATGATGGCCAAAATCAGCATCGCCAGCAAACACGACACACTTCTCAGACCGCTTGACCTCATAGTCGGTAACACGTTTAATTGCTGCTGGTGTTTACTTTTACGATGTTTATTTGCAATTTTTGCAATAAAAATCCCTTAAAATTTTACTTCTTTCTTTTAGTTTTATTCTAATACACTTCGTTGGCTTCTTGGCTTCTCGTTTGCTTGTAACTTCGCGATAGTTGATTTCGCGCTGCTATTGTTTTTCTATCTGGCTCTTTTATCTAAGTTGGTCGTCTGTCGAGTTGCTGCTTAAAAATCTAGTTTCAACTGAGGATCGGAGTTTTGCTGTTTGTAGCTTATATAGTTTGCTAGCGTTCACTGCGGTTCAGTGCTTTTCTCTAATTCTCTATAATTAATACGCTCTGCGAATGTTTAGTTGTGTTGCTTTGGGAACTTATCGAAGTGAGCTTGAGTGCTAAAGTTAGTCATAGAAATATATAAGTCTGTCAGTCTGTAGATAGGTAAGTCAGTATTACATGACTCAAATGACACGCTATCTCACGCTTCTATATATAAAAATATGTATGTATGTGTCTGCATACGTATGTATTTATATATTTATAAATATTTGGATAAACTATTATACTAAAAGTCAAGAAATATCGACAAAACTAATGCCAAGCCCTAAACTATATTTTTAGAAGAAGTGCTTTGAGTATCATGAAAAAAATAAAAAATATCTTCGATGTATTTGTTATTTATGTATTCATAATTAGCGCTTTTAAAAATACTATCGCTAAATTTCAGAAAATAATGTATCTTTTGAAGTAAAATTTTAAGTATACAAATAAGATAAGATTAAATTTGGGTGCAGCTGAATATTAAACAAACACATAAATTAAAAAAAAGTCGTTTCGAATTTCGGTAACTCACACAATAAATACGTCAGAAGTATAAAAATTCTCAAACTACATAACACAGAAGAAAAAGTAATTGGACAATGGTCCTGGTGACCATCTTACTTTAGGTGAAACCTTATAAGTCAGGACCTACTTAATAAATTTCAACCAAATTTAATGTATTAAATATATAGTATTATCCTCACAATCTTATGTTATAGTGTACAAATGGGCGATATCTAATTACAACCACGCCTACTTTCTATATATCAAAATTTTAAATTGTATCTGATTCCTTAACTTTACAGTATATGTACTAACTGAGATTCAATGACGTTATCGAAATAAAACTTTGCACAAATATTGCCTTTAGGTAAGTTATCTGACGTCGAAATTTTTTTATACCGAAAATATCCTTCAATTTCTGATATAAATTATTGAAATTCGAAAAGATTTTTTCCCTTGTGTGAAAAGTGGGCAAAATCAGGGCTATACTTAACCTAATCTCCATACATCTAGTATAAAGATTTTCGAGCTTCCAATTGACTTTATACCATATATGTACTTATATTGTTCCAGCTGTGAAATATTTTAATTAAATTCAGAGCCTCTTTCTAAAAACAGCGTGTCCTTGAGCTGAAAATGGATAAAAATGGGTTTCCCTATTCCTGTACAACTATATACTTGTAATAATAAACAGTAAACTCCAAAAATTAATAAATATTCTGAAGTAAAATTCATTCATTACATCGGAGATAACAGCCCACTTCTTAAAACGTGTTCAGAGGACTTAATACGAATATTAGCGTTTAATTTGCTTTAGATTGCTCAAGTCTGTTTGCGAGATACGGATTTTGTTGCAAAAAATTGGCGCCACCAGCTGTTGACATATGTAATTTTTGAGCTCATTAGAATGTAAGGCTTATTTATGTATATATTCCCCTCTTCAACAAATTTTTCTGCTTTTCGTTAGCGAGTTAAGTATTGCACTTTTAGTTGTTAGGGTCTTCTGAGTCTGCTGATCCCTTTAATAGGTTTTCTTATGTAGTGTATATAACTTACACTCAAGATCACAATTGATTCGGTCGGGTCAATTTAAAAAACATGTTTTTATATGTTCGTGTGAAGTTTGATCTACATATGTCAATTAGTGTATGCTTAACAGCTTTTTGTTCTCGTGGTGAAAAGTTTGCCTGGACATTTTTAACATGAAAAAAATTGAATACCGAGTTTGCTTAAAATTTTTGTGTGTTTCAATGGAATCACGGTGAGAATGTGAGTCCTCCATTCAGCTCTGTCAATAATGGTAACACTGATTACATCTCAAAACCTCTTATGGATCGACTTAATGTATTTTGGTTAATGTTTTGAGTATGAAGTGTGTCAATGCTAGACTCGTACCAAAAAACCTGAATTTTTTGTAAGAGCGACGTCAGGTAGCGGTTGCAAAAGAGATGCTTGACAACTTAGCTGATGACCCTACATTCGTCAAACGCATCATTACTGGCGAATGGCGTTTCAAAAGTGAGCCGAAACCGAGAGAACTACGTAAAAGTCGGTCAAAAATCGAGGTGATGCTCTTCGTTTTATTTGATTAAAGTGGTGTGGTTCACCATGAAATCGTTCCACAGAGTTAAGTTGTCAATAAAGAATCCTACTTGGTCGCTTTGAGGCGTCTACGTGAAGCATTTGCGGATTTGTAGACAGTCGCTGAAAAAATTGTCTTTTTTGGCCGTCCGTGTCAAATTTTATCAGATGGTATATTCATAGCTTATTTATATTAAATTCTTCTTACAAAATTTCTTGCAACAAAGTATATCAAAAAAAAAAATACCGCTAACAATAATAACCGTTATGTTAACCAGCTGGACAATAGAGGTTGTTAATACGAGTTATAAAACGGTAAAAACGAGCACAAAAGTAATTCAAGTGGAATTTTTTACGGTTAAAGATGCGTCGCACATGCAACTACTTAGCAATATGTATAATATATACATACATAACATACATATGCAGAATTATATGAGTTCAGCAATAAATTGTCAAGGTTTACATTCCATCAACATTTGTTGTAGAATTTTGTTTTTGTTGAATTTGCACTTTTGCTGCAATTTATATTTGTTGTATTGATTTGAAGAACTTTTGTCATATGAGCACTCTTGAGCCACTTGCGCTGATGTTAGGAGGAGGAGGTGGGGGGCGTTATACTCTTCAATTGATTTCCTTTTAATTTTTCCCCCTTCTAACGGTGCTGCAGTGCCAAATCGATGTTTGTTTTATTACTGTTTTGGCACACACACACACACACGCGCCCATTATATGCTCTTTCTTACATATGTAAGTGTGTATGCACGTATGTGTGGCATTACATATTTGCTTGTGTTATTTTTGTTGTAAATTCAATTTGCCATTTTCCGCCGGCGTTTGCTTAAGTGCTGAATGTCAACGCAATCAGCGTTAACGTTGTTTGCCCAAATCGTGTGTTATGCGCTGATGTATGTATATATATGTGTGTGTGTGTGAAATGTATTAATGTAGTACAAATATTCGCACGCTTCAGAAAATTGTTTACTTCCAATGTCAATCACGGGGCGCAGCGAACGTAGTCGAAAATTGCTCTTCCTCTTTTACGTCATTCTACTTTCACATGTTTCGAGGATAATAACGGTGCAGAGTATCTGGTGATTTTTTTTGCCAATACACGTAAGTGTAACACATATACATATGTATGATTGGGTAAGTACAAAGGCAAGCCTTTAGCAAAAATATGCAGCTTATGTGGTCTTAAATGGCCTAAATAGCTGTAAAGTCTGCGAAAAATGAAGATATGGGAGAGTAAGTGGAATGGCTGAGTGGTGTTACTCAGAGCGTATACTCAGGCTAGGATAACCAATGGACCTGCTCTAGGAAGACAATATTATCAAGAAGTGTTCTATTGTGGAAATCTTATCAATATTCTCAATTCAATCGAGTTTTTGAAATAGCTGCTTGAGTAACTTTCAATGATTCTGTGAGCTCTTCTTGTGTTTGGCAACAATCTGTATCGTGTAATGCTTCTACGTCCTCGTCTTAAAACTTTTTTGGCCGCCCAGCAGGTTCTTCGTCTTAAAAGCCAAAATTACCACATTTAAATGTAGTTTAGAGCATGTACAGCATAACCTTCAACTAAAATATGATGACTTTCAGCTGTCATTTTCTTTATATTAAAGTAATGAAGAGAAATTCCCCGCAAAACACTTTCTCAGGCACAAAGGTCGACATATTTGAGTCAGTTATCTTTTTAAATGTACATAGATTCATAGGTATACAGATTGGTTGAAAAGTTGGTTGGTCTTACCAAGAAATAGCACTACTAGCCGTTTGAAGTTGATGCGTCAGATTAATATGGAAAAAATTGAAGATCGTGCAGTGATTAGTTTGTTTTGAAAAGTTTAAAAGCAAAGTATATTTATGAGCAATTGTTAGAATTTTATAAGGAGTCCTCACCTTCAAAACGTACCGTTGAAATTTGCGCTGGGGAATTTAAGCGTAGTCGTACTAGGCTTGAAGACGATCCACGCGAAGGACGACCAAAAACCGCAACCACAGCAGAAATCTTTGTGCAAGTTTATAATATTGTTCGGGAAGATCCAAGTTTGACTAAGCGTGAAATTATTAATGCCATAAGCATCTCAGACGAATGAGAACTTCACATTTTACACGGAGAATTACATATGAAAGAGCTGTTTGAAAAGGTATGCCGCACACGTTAACAATTCAACAAAAATTGGATCGAAAACAAGTTTCTCAGCATAATTTGGAGTATTTTAAGCAGAACAAAACCATTTACTTGCGTCGTTTTATAACTATGGATGAGACTTGGATCTAATACCATGATGCTTAATTGAAACAAGAACGTTTACAGTGGTCTGAGGCTGGTTGTTCAGCTTCAAAGCAGGTGAAGTCACAACGATCAGCAAGGAAGGGTATGTCATTAGTTTTTTGGAATGCAGACCGAATTTTGTTGATTAATTATCTGCAGAAAGGTATAACAATCAACTCTGAATGTCATTGCAGCCTTTTGGATTAGTTGGATGAAAAAAAATTTCGCGAGAAAAGACCTGGTTTGCCGCACAAAAAAATCATTTTTCATCAAGACAATGCATCTGCTCACAAAGGTGTTTTAACAATGACAAAATTCAACGAATCAAAGTACGAATTGCTTAAGCATCCACTGTATTCAACAGATTTGACTACCAGCGACTACTACCTTTTCAGAAACCTGAAACAATTCCTTCGTGAAAAGCGTTTTTCGTCGCATGAAGAAGTCGTAGACGGGTATTTTGCAGAACTTTCGGAAAGTCATTATAGGGATGGCATAAAATTAGTGGAGGTGTTTTGAAGTTAAGGGAGATTATATTGAATGAAAAAATATATTTCGTACCAAAAACATTATTATTTTTTCATTTCGAGCGCAGAAACTTTTCAACCAACCTCTAGTTCAGCTTCAGTGCAGCCGAAGTTAACGTTTTTGCTTGTTAATTATATTATATATATACAGATGAAACTTAGGGTATTAGCTTTGTGTTGCCTTGTGATATGTGTATCACCTATATTTGCAGACATACACTAAAAGCCTCTCCTTTCAATAATTGCTATGTTAGATTGGATTCAGATTATTTATAGCAAATATAAACCATTAAGGCATCGATATTAACGCATGATAGAAAAAAAGTCGTCGGTAGCACTTTTTAAAAGAACATAGTACTGTTTTGCCCTGAAATAAATAATTGCCACATTCTGTTGATATCATAAGTATTTTTACTCTTTATTCTAATTTTTGCCAATGCTCTAAAAATAGTTTACATGATTCCACTAAAATGTAGATATATTAATTTTTATAAGGTATAATAATATTTTTTTTTTTTAATATTTATGATTTTGTGTTATTTTTTTTTCATATATTTTTTATGTTCTGTTCATTTGATGGCGGCGACAAATGTTCGGCTGCCACATGTGACTAGTATTTGACTCGTATATATATTATGTATTGTAAATTCTACAGCTGGCGCCTAACACCATGCACACTGCGTCCATAAATAATGGGACTTTTAATGCTGAGTATTTGTTTGTTAAATTTAAATGTTTTATTTGTTTTTAGTTTTATTTTAATGTTTATGATTTAGCTTTTTTTTTGGGTAAACTGTAGGTGTAAATCCTATGAATTTGGAAAAACTGTTATTTTATGGTTGAAATTGTGTGTGTGTGTATTTATATTTGTTTGTATGTTGGGTATATATGTGTATATATATATATGTATTAGTTGGAGTTTGGTTTGGAAAACTATTTATTCATTCAATTTTTTTATGTATATGGGGATGTACATATATGTGTGTGTAGGACTTTAGTTGGCCAAATTTTCGTTGTCTACTTTTCGTAAAGAAAAAATTACGTATATACTTGTATGTATGTATTTGTCATGCTGCAGTTAAAATTCTCATAATTTTTTTTTTGTTTTTTGCTAGTATCTTGTGTTTGTGTGTGTGAGTTTGTTTTCAATTTTTTTCTTTTTCTATTTTCCAAAAAAAAACATTTTGTTTCTTTGTGTGTGTGAGTTTGTGTTTACTTTTTCCTCCTCTCTGCGCAGAGCCTTCATCGACTACGTAGCTAGTTAAACGCTTATCTGTGGCATGCTATTTGCATTATTTTTTCAACTAATAATTAACTAGTTAGCGCAAGTTAACATATTATTTAGTTCAGCAATATTAATTGGAAATTTTCTAAGTGCAAAAGTACTGGATTTCGAACTAGTTTCAAGTTTTGAGTACAAAGTCAAGCAAAGTGTATGTATGTATTGCATGTATTGTTTGTATGTATGTTTCACTACCATATTGTTTTGCGTTAAACGTTCAAAATTGCATACCGTTATGCGCAAATATTCGATACTAAGTGTTTTCAAATGTAAATATGTATATTTTGTTTTTTATCAAGTGTTTTTTTTCAATTTATTGACTTTACTTTTGCTTTTCGTATTTCGTTTGTTTTTTACATAAGTTGTACATATGTATGCTCATATGCGTGTATATATGTATTTTCCGTGGAAAATAAACGATATAAGCCTAAAATGTTGTTAGCATAAATTCACTTCTCCTCTTTTCTCGCATGCAATAAATATTGGTGTATGTGTGTGTGTTTTAATTTTTCTTATTCACTCTTTGTAAATCTCAAAGCATATCAACTGCCATGTCGTTGTCGTTGTTTTTGTTTTGTTAATTGCTTTTTCTTTTAAATATTAAAGTATTTATATTAAATATAAGTTTATTATTATTCTTTCATTAACTGCATGTATAATTGTTTATTTATTTATAATAGTATATTAAATGTTTTCGCTTTTTGTTTTTGGGTTTTGTTAATCTCATTTCAAGTCTTATTTTGCAAAATGTTTTATGCACTTATTTATTATACTCGTATAATTGCCTCATTTCCAACTTTAATATGCACTAGAAAGTTTTTTTTAATTAATATTTTTTTTTTTCTTGTAGGTAAATAATAATTATTATTATATTTGAATAAATATGTACTAATTACAAATTGTATGGTTTTGGTGTTATTTGGTTGTATATTCCATGGTTTCGACTTAATCATCTCTACATATACTCTTTATTTAAGCGCTAAACTTATTTTTACCATTTTACCGTTATTTATTTAATTTACGTTTTTTATTTGTGCAAGAGATTTTTGTTGTATTTTTTAAAATTTTTTCTGGCTTTATGTGTGAATAATGTGTTTGGTTTCGTATGTAGAAAATCACAAGCAGAAATTCATTTCAAATTAAAGGCTGCAACAATAACTAAAGTTTGCCGTTAGAAAAGTTCAAAGCACTTTGGAAGAAGTGCGTAAACTTGCAAGAAAAAAATTATATAAACAGCTTTAACAGGGCCTCAAATTAAAACTTCCAAAAGCAAACGAATGTCTATTGATAGCGTAATGGAATATGTTCGCGAAAACATTTCACGACATAAATATCAGGTGTTACAACTAACAGACTGTATTCTTTCACTCCGCATACGTGATCTCATCGCAAACTACAGAGTCGTAACAAAATCCTTAAGTCGCTAGAAGGCAGCAGCTTTGGGTAAACGTTGTTGACAACTTGCAAGGCAATGGTCGCCTGAATGTAGTGAAACACAGACGAAGATGCTTCAGACGTGCCACAACACTACACTCCGTGCGATAACAGTATGTCTTTTGATTTCTCCCCTTGAACACCTGCATAGTGAGGCCTGTAGGCTTTTAGTTAGATAATACAGTGCACTCCTCTCAAAACAGTTTTTGATAGGATACTCTCGTAGAAATCACACTTGCAGTCATCTGCTTGAAGCGAAACCCCCTCTTAGAAGCATCAAGAGGTCATTCCATGATTGGAGTCTAACCATCATCTATTGCAGACGAAGAGCTCGAGTTGTACCGAGAATCTAGAGTGATCAAATAAATGTCCTGCATAATGAGTCCCCGCATGACTCTAACCACCTCTTTTCGTACTCAATTAATCCCACTCATCTAACACCCCTCTCGCTATGGTACCCCCATCTCATCGAAAGAGCGTTCGTTACATATTTGCGATAACAGCCAGATTGAGCCTTGTCAGCCAAACAACAAGAAAAGATAGAAGTTGTAATTTTGTCATTCATAATGATGAATCATTATTTCGGCCTAACGACAGTTGATTCGAAATTCATTCAAAAGAAAGATGTGGGAACCTTGTGACTAAAGCATAGCATAAGCATTTTCTTTACTGGAAACTGAAAATAATTTGCAGAAATCTTAATCTTTATTGCTTTCTCCGCTAAATGCGATTACTTTTGGTTTTAGTAATTTTTCATTAGCCAATTTAGAGAGAGTGAACAGCTGAAAATAATATTCAAAGGCGGACGATATCTTCTTTTAAAAGTCAACAAATTAATTAAGTTAGTGTCATCAGATTTGAACCCACAGACCAATGGGTGGCAGTGGTGAACTCAAACAATACATTTTGATAGTCTTCAATGTACCATAAAAGTTTCGGAAAAAATCGGAAGCAAGACTTTTTGCTTTCAAAAGCTGTTAAATAAAATCAGAATCAGAATTTTATGGTTTTACAGTTATAGATTTTTAATGTGTATCTATGTGTGTATATATGTATGTATACAAGTATGTTTGTATATAAGCAGTTGGGTGTCTACTTTATATTATATTTGTATATCATGCTTATATATACTAGTAATGTTAGTTTTGGTATTTTATACGCTAAAATATATAAGTATGTTACTTTGTATATATATTCATTAAATATCTAGCATTAATAATATGTAATAAGTATTGATCAATAATATTGTGTTTTTCGCATAATCTGTTGCTCAATCTCAAAATGTCGTTGTATATATAATTTATGTACTAATTGTGGTTTGTCTCTTTTGACAATTACATTTTTTACGCATACATAAATACGTAAGTATGTATGAGCATTTGCTTAGCTCGTAATTTTTAATAATTTTTTTATAATTATTTACTTAATTTTTTTTTTCTCAATTTTCATAGCGTTCTTAAGATTTTGAAAAATCTTCAACTTCATCATCATTTAAAAATTTTATATATATATGTATATATATAATTGTATATATGTATATATACTCGTATATATTGGGGCAAGCATATTTTAACTACTTTCCTGCGCTCACTTAAGACTTTCACTGTGTATATCTACAATTTTAATTGCACTCCTTAAAAAATTTTTAGCGACATCAGTCACTTTTCACTAATTAATTCGTTTTACTGACTTAATTGACAATTAATCATTCAAACTGCTAAAATGCGTGCAATCATTTATTTATTTATTTTTATTATTATTTTTATTTTTTAGCGTTTCTTCACTACTACTACTATATTTTGTTTGTTTATAAAGATTTTTTTTTTATAATAATTACTGCTTTCGTTAATGCTTTGCAAATTTTTTCTTATTGCTCTAAATTCCAATACTCGCTTTTTTATAATTTTTTTTTATAATTTTGTTTAATTCGTTTGTGTTTAAAATATTTCTTTGATTTTTTTAAAATGTTTGTAATTAATTTTCATATATTTTTGTTCATTGTTTTCAATCAAACGCATTGCTTGCAGTTTTGTTTAAGCTTTCGCTTTGCATAGAAAATAATTGTATTGACTTGTGTTTGTATACTCGTTTGTGTGTATGTTACATGTGAACCAAGTTCCACTATTGTTCAAAATATCAATAAATATATACTTGGGAATTTCATTAAAAGCATTTTTGTTTGCGCTCAACTATGTTTCTATTAATTGAAATGCAATTTCTAAGCTTTAACTGCGTAAATTATGAATGTATTGTATAAGTAATTTTCTGCTTAATTAGTAAACAAATGTAAATATGTGTGTATGTTTGCATAGTAATTTTTTTTGTTAATTTATACTATAATTATTTATATGTATATATATTTATAATTTTTTGTTTTGTTTTTTATTTTTATTATAAACTTGATTTATGATTAAGTATTGTCCTTGTGATATGTTTCTAAATGTTTGCTCTCATTATTCTTAATTCTGAGTAATTGAATGTTAATTAGTACATATGTATAATATGTAAGTATGTACATATTGTGTTAGTTTGTAAGAAATTGAATCTGTTGAAATGGCTTGCAATAAAAATAATGCAAAAGTTAATTTTTGGGGTAGAAAACTGGCGTAAATATGGCGTAAATAACTGTGAGTTGAAGGAAAAGTTCTCTCTAATTATTAAATAAAGTAAATATAAAATTTAATTATATATTGAAAATAATAATAAGCCATTTTAATTGTGCAATTTTAAGGTTACTTTAGTAATTAATAACAATATAATTGGATTAAATTAAACAAATAAAGTTAATTTCGAAGGAAATATATACACTTATTTAATTTTAAGCGTATTTTAACAATAATGAGACATTTCGATTGAGTAATTCATGGGTTAAAGTAGTAACTAATCACAATATTTTTTGATTAAATTACAAAATATACAATAAATAAAAAAAAAATGAAAGTAATTCCAAAAAAAAAAATTCAAATATTTAAATTTAAATATGCCTGTGTCGGTAATAATAAGACATATTAATTGAGTAATTTTGAGGTTAATTTGGTAATTAAACAGGATTTTAAAATTAACGGAAATTAACGCCAAAAGTCGCTAAAATTTTTGGAAAACGATTATGTATGTAAATGTAAAGCGTCTCTGTTTCGTTATTCTAAACAACTATAGCTAAAACTTAAATAAATACACTATAACAACAGTTGTTATAATACTAGAATACAAGTTATAATACAAGAAAGTATTGTAGTAGCAATAATAATACGTCTAATTGAGCTCAATTTGCTGAAAAAAAAAATTCCAAATGTCATCATTCTTCATAACGACTCAATTTAGATAAAAAAATTTATATTTTAAATTGACAATTAAAAGTTAATTGTCTAAATTTAGGTTGTGAAACTTCTGTGCAATGATAATATGGAATAATTTAATTGAACAAAGATATTTACTGGACTAGCGAAAATTTTTTTTTTAATTATTAGTCAATTTGGAGCTTTGGTTACTACAAAACAAAAAATAGAGTTTCAGCAAAGCAAATATTGCTCTTAGCAAAATTAAAGCACAAATATCCTACGAAAGAAAAAATTCCCCTCTCATCTTATTCCATTCTGTTTGGTTTATGGACGATAATTTTTTAAAGTAAAATAAAAACAAAATCATAGCAAGATGAAATTCATAGGAATATAAAGATAAAATAACGAAAATGGAAGAAAAAAAAATGTATCTGAGGTTACGAAGAGCAAGGGTAGGGGCGTGTCTGAATTTTGCAAGGTTTAAAAACAGTTTAAATCGATTTCCGGGAAATTCCGAGTCCTATGGAAAAAAGTCAAATGACAATGTTGTCGGTAATAAAAAGATCTACAACTTTCGTGACAACACTTTTTCTCGCGCTCTCTCACTCTTATTATTTTGAGTTAATATCGAAAAAGATCAAATTTTCAATCGAAAATTAACACTTCAAAATATCTGGTTTTTGTAAAAAGGCGATAGGCATTTTATTCGTTTAAGTAAGCATTTTTTTAAGTTATTGGTTACAGTTTTTTATTTGCTACTTTTTAATTACGTATTTTAACAATTAGGTTAGACATGGTTTTATGAGCTTGTCGAATTTCGTTTGCTCACACACACACTTCGTCGCTTGTTTGTGAATTCTTGAACAAAACCAATACTGTAACAATGTCTCCCAGCCTCCACATTCGCCAGATTTGGCTTTGTGTGACTTTTTCTTATTTCTAAAAATAAAGAGAACCTTAAAGAGATCTCGTTTTACAAGAGAGGTGAAAAGACGTTTCTGTACGTACTTTTCAAGCAAAAATACAACCGTTTTTTAAAATAAATTTAAAAAAATACCAAAAAAGGGATAATTAATTAAGAACAAATATTTATTTTTGATCTTTATATTTTTATTTGCGAATTGACGTTTGGTCTGGACGGTAACTACTAATATACTTTCATAAGTATATTATCTTCAATTCTACGTAAATAAAATGCTTGCAAAGCTTTGGAATCTTTTTCTTGTATTTTGTTTTTGCTTCATTATTTAATTGTTTCGAATCTTTGAATATCCGATTAAAGGATTTTCCCGATTATTTGATAATTAAAAATATTAACATTTGACAGTTAAATGTAGGAATAAGTTGATTCCAAATTTATATAAACAAATTTACGTAAACTATACTGAAAAATAAGTTTTTTTTGGAGTATTTTAGAAATATTTATTTCAATGGTTTGAGAGGTTCACATAAATGAGTATCGGATAATTGAATTCTTATTAAATTGAAACCATAAATGTGCCATGCGTGAAATACAAATTATTATTTTTTGTCAAGCTTCGTTGTTGTATTATAAAAAAATATTTAAAATAATTTTAAAAATTATTACGCCAGATTTTCTACAGAACGTTTTAATGAGTTTGCATTTCCTTTGGGTTTGGACTGCATGCCTTAGTGATGTAAATTACTATTCTAAGCATATAAGCTTTAGAATGCAGTACTTTAAGAGTATTTTAATTCAATGTAATTAAATTTTTTTAATTTTCCGCCATTTTTGCTTAATATGTCACTTCATCAAGTAAAATATATGTATATGACTAATACTTTAAAAAAATATCAACTGCTGCTCAATGCCTTTTATTAATATTATATATATATATATGTATATATATACATATATAAATGTGTATGTATATCGTATAAACATGTCTGTATGCATATGTCAATGCATAAACATATTTAACTATGATTTTATATATATAAAACATGCCTCTGTATGGGCTTTGATCTTAAACGCAGAATTTCATAACCTCAAATAAATGGCGCTTATCTACTCGCTCAGCTAGATTGAGCGCACTTACAGTGCTTATTTGCTTGCTTGAAGAGTGAAAGTTGCTATATTTTTCACTCTCTTTTACTAGATGGCGCTACTGACTGCTTTTCTAATTTTTATGTCTTTACTTATTTTAAGAATTTTTTATGTATTTTTGTTGTTCTTTTGGTTTTTGTTTGTAATTTCCACTACGAATATATCAAATGTTCACTTGCCTCAGGTGCCAACATAACACACTTTCTAATTTAAATTTTTTCTTATTAATAAATCCTAATAATATTTGCTTCATAATAATTTCAATAATAATAATTATAATAATTTTGTTGTATATATATATTTATATGTGTATGTATATATAGAATTTCTACTTATGTTCCATAATATTCGTTGCATGGGATTTTTACTTAAAGTTGGTAGGTTTTGTATTGTTGTTTAATTGCGTTTTTGCGAAAAAATCTACAGCTTTCACTTTAGCTTTCACGTCTCTTCCTTTTACTCATATATCATTTCGTTTCACTTTTTTTCTACTTTTACTTTAACTATCGAACTTCTTACTATAGAAAACTACTTTTACAATATTTTTTTAAAACTACTTTACAATAGCGATTGGTAAAAATTTTATGCTTTCCATTGTTTAGGAAGAGCTTTCAGAAAAAAGCTTACGCATTTAAAAGAAACTTTCACATCACTACTAAGCTTTTGCACTTACCCTGGCACACATTCTGTTCATTGCAGCTTTCTTATATTGCCGTCTCTAAACAGATTTTTATCGGCATCTATGCGACGACTATATCTTCGTCATTATCATCACTGCTTTGCGCTGTCGTTGATTCGCCTTCACCATCGCCTTCGCCTTCACCATGCCCGCCGTACAAGTCGGCCGCCTCCTCACTAGACATGCCCATCATATCCTTGAGGCATGACGACTCCAGATGCTTGTTTAGGTACGACTTCAGTGCGAATGTCTTGTGGCAACGTTTGCATTCGAAATTCTTATCAATCGAGTGCGTTTGCATGTGCGCACGCAGATTGGAGCGATCGGCGAACGCTTTGCCGCAGTGTGAGCACGCGTACGGTTTCTCACCGGTGTGTGAGCGTAGATGACCCTGTAGTAGCCAAGGGCGTGAGAATAGTTTGCCACAAATGTCGCAGCTATGCGAGAGCTTGTGCGTAAGTAGATGCATGGCTAGTGCCGGCATCGAGACGTAAGCTTTGCCGCAAGTGTTGCATTTTTTCGCCGATTGCGAATCAAGTGAGCGATGCGTTTGCTTGTGACGCGAGAGATTACTCGATGTCGCATACTGTTTGCCACATTCGGAGCACTTGTAACTGCCGCGTTTCTTCTTCACATATGCGTCCGTATCTGTGGCGTTCGCGCCGTAGTTGCCAGCTGTGTGCGTTTCGATTGGCTCCTTGTGGCAACGGCTCGCTTTGGTGCGCCCATCTAGTATATTAAGGCCCAGCTTGGCGGCGGTGTGACTGGTCTTTCCATCGATCACTTCATCAATTGCCATTGCGTTGGTGGAAGTGCGTCGCATTTTGTAAGCTGCCATCGGTTCGTCGATCCACAACTTAAGCGTAGGTTGATAGTTCGAATTGGAGTGACCTGACTCCGATGAGGAGGACATATCGATGTCTATATCGGATGAATGATCGGAATTTGGTGGCGTTAGTGGTGAACAGTTCTCTGAGTTATCTGGTGTATTTGCGCCTGCGAGACTATCATACGAGCTACTGCTGCCGCTGCTAATGTAACGTATCTTTGGGGGACCTTGTCCGTGTGCGGTTGGCCGATGTGTGGACGTTTGGATCTCTTCCACCGTAAATATAGTAAAGTTATCCGCATTAATTGTTGCCGCACAAAGTGGTGGTGGTGCGAGCTGCGGTTGTGATACGACGCCAGCTCTTTGCTGTTTGGAAGCACTGGATATTTCATGCATGATGCCTGTGGTTTGTTGTATTTGTGGTTGATACTGATTTTGGTGTTGTATTGTGCTGTTGTTGTTGTTGTTGTTGGTGGTGTAATGGTTGTTGTGGTTGCGGTTAGTCGACGCCTCCTGCTGATGTAGTATGGTGACGACACAAGGCGGTGTTAGTGGCGGTAGACTTTGTGATAGTGAGAGTAGATCGTGGGCGGCTTCGGTCTCCTCGATACTGCGTTCGCGATAAAACGCCGGCAATGTTGGTTCTTGTTTGATCGCAAAGGTTGGCGCCTGAGTGGATGTTTGATTGATGTTGAATCCACCAGCTGGTGGTGCATAGAATATAACTTTGCCATCTTCAGCAGGTGATCTTCCACCAATGGTTGTTAATGGTGCTACACATTTTACGGTTGTGTTTTCATTAGTAGTTGCTTTGTAGTTGTTGTTGTTATTTCTGGTATTCCACTTGACAACATTGCGCCGTTGTTCCACTCTATTTATATCTGGAAAAGAGAGTAAATATTTATTTAGTAAATTTGTGAATTATGGTATGAGAAAAAAAAAGCTGCTATGTTAAGAAAATTTATATATTCTTTCATCCCTCTAAACTTTTGCTCTGAGATCTTTAAAATTTGTTGCAGAATGTTGCTCATCTTCTGATTGCGGTGATCCATATTCGAAATGAACTTTAAGCAGCTAAGAGGGTAAGGGTGAGTTTCAACTTTCAGGGCAAAGACTTTAAGCAGTACATTGAAAGTCTCGTCCAAACTTTCTAGATTTTGAGAAATTTCGTATACACTTCGTATGTACTATGGCAACCGATGCCTGTATACCAATACTTCACATATAAAGCGTGTGATTTTCTAACAAAATAAAATCTCACTTCTATCTTTCACCATAATCCAAGTTAAATACGTTAAAGTTCAAATTTGCAGATTCACACTTTAAAAGCAAATATTTTCAATAATTACTTTTCCACTTAATTCCACTTAAATGTCGTGGTTATCTCACCTACATGCATAAGGCATTATGTTTTTATACATTTCAATGTATACACATTTACTCTTAGTATACTATTTGGAGAGGGTCGTGTTAAATGTCTTAATGTGTTGCGCATACGCCATGGCGGCCCATAATTCATGCACATATGGCGCGACAACCAAATTTGCTACATTGCATATTGCAGGTATTAAGCGTGTTGCAAAGCATAACTGAATTTTGATTATGGAAAAAGAAATGGAAAAAATGACAGTGAGCAAATTGCAGGTACATAAACATATATATGAAGAGTATTTGGGGAACTTAGTGTATTCATACAAATGTTGAATATCGCTTTGGATATTTTGTTCTGAAGAAATCTTAGTAATGTGATAATGGTTTAAGAAATCGGAAATTTAAACTTTGTTATATTATCTGAGTACGCGTTAAAGATGTACACCGACAAAGATAGTAGTGTTTATGAAGCCTTTTGCAACCATTTAAAAATGCTGGATAAAAGACAAGGCTCGGTATATGAGTGGGCTGAATTCCCATCTGTGAATGTGTGGATGATTTTGTAAGAAAATGGGTCCCTTACGAAAACGTCAAGCAAAACCAGTTGCGGACCGAACTCTTAATTCGAGCCTGTACTATCAGCAATTAACCCGTTTGAAGGCATCAATAATCAAGAAGCGGACAACTTTGGCCAATAGTAGAGGAATTGTGATCCATTGCCAGACCACAGACCGAGATAGTGACTCGCCAAAAGCTGTAGGAGGTCTGGTCTGTAGGTTAGCCTGATATGGCTCTTGTAGTTGTGAGCTACGAATGTTAGATGGAACTTTGAATTGGGTGAATTTTGGAAGGCAAGTTTTGATGTTTAACCAAAGCTTGTCAAGTCCACACGAAAGCTACCCTTCCGGTAGTAAACCGCAATAAGACAGTGGAACTTCGACTCATTCTTCTTTCGATGGCTTTGTAGCTCCCTGTGTTTCCGATGTGTCCAGTTGCCGATATGGAATACTAGTACTAGATTACTTTAAACTGCTACAAGCAACCGTTAGCTGAACAAAACCATCATCTTCCTACTCCTAGTTGCCTTTACTTTTTGTGTTGAATTTACAAAATGAGACTTAAATTAAATAACGAGCATAAAATGTAGACAAAGGAAACCCATCAACGAAGTAACCCCCGCCTCAGGTTAATAACTTCCATACTTTGAAAAATATAAAATACAACAAATACGAATATACGCAATGCTAATGAGAATAATTTTAACAAACCACCATTTTGCGGCATTTCACATTTAAGAGAGTGGTAAATATGTTATGCATGTAAGCCGATGTCAGAGTGTTGAGTGTGGCTGAAATCACCCAAGGCCAAAAATGAAACTCACGTGCAGGCGAACAAAAATTGAAATACAAAAACAAAAAACCGAAACAACAACAACAGAGAGAAAAAAAAACAGCGTAAAAGAGCCAGCGACCAGTCGCTAAATCCTGCAGCCACATCAAACATTTTGCGGCGGCCGACAGAATAGCGTAGAGCGTCCTCATTTCCTGTTGCCGACGCGGATGTCAAACTGATTTAAATTTACAATTGGCCGTTTTGCGGAAAAACACATGCATACATATGAGCTATGGACGTGATCGCAATAATTCATCAGCCAACCAGTCAACCATCTGTTTGTCAGTCCCCCTCTCGTCCAACACACAGCTGTAGAAACAACAATTCCTGTTGAGCTGTGCGACGACCAGACGGACTGCCATTTCAGCCAAATCATACACGTAATCAACAGCTTCAATGGAATACCTAACTGTGAATTGCCATTGTTGCAAATCGAATGGAATGTCCTCTTCGCAGTTTTGTTGGTGGATGTAAGTAAGTACCATATATAAGTGGGTTAGTGTATGTGTGTGTATAAACGCAAATTATGCCGTAATTCAAAATAAATTCGTTACATTGTTGTTGTTGTTAAAGGCAATTTGCCATTGGCGCGCATGCATTGCTGAAATTTGGAGCACTTCAATTGATGTCCAAACACGAGGAATCTGTTTAAGCTTACGTACTAGGTATATATAAATAGTAACCGCTGGTTTATACATTGCAAGAGATTTCTTAATGAAATAGAAGCTTTTGTCCTCTAAGATATTTCTTACTTGCCAGACGCAGTTTGGTGAGATATCCATTACTTATGGTTTTTGTTTTTGCAGTTATGGAATAATGCATAGTAAGATACGTCGGCCTGTTTGGCAAAGCTGAATACATAAACAGTTACGAAGAACTGTTTGGTAAATCTTCCATGGCTATATCTTTGTCTGAAAGCCTGTATACTGTAAATATGGATCTGAGTCTTCTCATGTTCTATATGATTTGTTAAGAAGTTTCTTGCCTTTATATTTTTATGTCCAAATCAAAACAAATTTCAGATAATGTACTATTCGATTGACTTCTGCAACATATTTGTCTTATTACTTAACCGTGAGACCCCGCATCTTGATGGGTTGAGTAACCAGTCAATCAGTTAGACAACATTCACTAACAATCTTTGATTATTTTGTAAGTCACTTTCGGAAATGTTAATGTCCAGCTAGTTTTTGGATCGCAATTTGCTAGACTGTTGAACAGTTTGTACACCATATTCATAAACCCACGTCTAATGATGCGTTTAATAAGTTCAAGTAGCGTTCTCAAGTACGTTGTTAAGCATCTCTTTTGCGACTTCTACTTGACTCCGTTTTTGAAAAAGATTTAGATCTTTTTGTACGAGTCTAGCATTGACATAAGAGATATCGAAATATTTTGCTTTCTTTTTGATGCCAACACGACGAGTGTGAAATACTGTTTCTCTAACTTTCGGCATTCCCTGAAGTGGATGGACGACTCGTATAAGGCAAATTTATTTATGACTTTACGACCTTCACTGAATGCTTTGTGCCACTCAAACACTTGAGTTCGTGATAAAGTAGACTCCCTGAAACACTTCGGCAATACTTTCAATGATTCCGTAGCCGTGATTTCATTTGAAACACATAATTTCATGGAAACACGTTGCTGGCATATACTTGTAGAGTTCAAACTTTTCACGAACATAAAAAATGTTGTATCAATCTAGGAACAATTGTTCTATTGATTCGGTTTGCGCGCGAGAAAAATTTGATCAGATGATATATGAAATCTATTAGAATTTCAAGTTTAAAAATTTTGGAATCATTTTTATTGATTTGCGGTATGGTGCATTGACAGGCTGAAACAAAAGTTTCAGATAGCTGTCGTTTGGACTCTACATAGAATAGAATGATGGTGCTGTGTTTCATCTATTGTTACATATGGTCGAAAAATTCTGGATTATTGCGATTGAACAGCTCTAAACACTGCTTAGATTAATTAGCTGCTTTGACATCTTTCGAGTAATAAAGTTTCCATAGTCTTCATACGCCGATCCAAGGCCAGAAAGACTAATCTCACACCCATAAATTCTGTTACATTCGTGCGAAGTATAACTTTCAAAAAAACGTTAGTGTGAATTTTAAATAACTTCTTGATAGAAAAACTTTTATAGAAGTTTCTAATTCGACACACATTTTTAATAAATGTTTCGAGGCCTTGCTCTCATTGCCAAAGATGCAATAGATTGGCATAAATATCAAAGTCTCAAATGAAAACGCTTTAGAACCACACATGAGTGATTCACAGGGGAGGCAAGTGAGCTACCCGAATTTTGAGCTTCCGTATAGTTGAAACGAGCAAGCGAAGTTATCTTACGAATGTCAACCCTGCAACACGAACGTCAATACACACGCAATCTAGACAAATTAAAGTTGTGGGTGGCACATACTGGGGCAGGCAATTTTCTTTACAACATTTGGTATTGTCTACATAGATTATGGCTTTTGTACCCATACCAAGTTGATTAGAATCGGTGGTAAATTTGGTTAATAAAGCAATTCGTATGCGGGTGGCTCTACATCTTTTTAATATGCCATATCGGCCGTGCTGCCAACCAACCCCCTGATGCTAATAGACACATACAATGAATGTGGTGGATATATAGATACAATACATATGTATACATATACATATACGACAACAACAATGCAACGCCACCGCTGTTGGGCTGTTGCTTTACACAACGCGCCCAGCTCACCAATTCGCATGCGAAAGCAGTCTTGTACTGCAATGCCCCCATCCGCCTCCGCGCGCATAAACGTTTCATTGTTGCTTTTCTGCGGAATTGGGCGCTCGAAGCGTTCAAAGTCAATTTGGTGCGTGACGCGGTCGCTGTGATAGCTGCCGATAACCACGTGCCTGTGTCATCAGTGCGATTACTGTTGCATATGCGGCAATATTCAGGCGCATACACAGACACTGGATTTGCGCGTGCGGCTCCACGGCTCCACTAGAGGCCATCTGTAGCTAACATAGGCTGGTAGGCGCCCGCAGCTGGTTGCGAGTTTTTGAAAGCCTCAACTAAGGTGTGCGAAATTTCAAAAATATACAAAATTGCACATGTGTGTGTGTTTAT